GCAGGAGACACCGATACCGACAGGACAGGATGCACCGTGGCGAGGCAGTCTGATGACACGCACATCATGACAGAAATACTTACCACCAAACTGTGCACCAATACCAGTGTTACGACACAGTTCCAATACCTGCAATACACAACACAGCAGCATGCAAGAACGTGTGCATACAGTAGTGATGCAAAGGAATATTCAAATTATTCGAATATTCTAGAATACCGGCGCCCGAAACAATATTCGAATGCAGACAGCAGCATCGATATTCGAAACATCGATATTCGAAAAATCACACTACAGTGTGCATGGTTGTGTTTGTAGCTGCAACATTGATCTCCTGAGCAGTGTTGAGGATGCTGATGTATAAATTATGCTCTGAGAACTGTGAAGCTTGTTCTTAGGTCAGATCTGCTCCTTAACCCTTTGACTGCCGCTGGGAGGTGCACCAGGGCTCTAAGGACCAGCAAAACGGGTCATTTTTTTACTGAAAACACGCCAAACGTAAAAATAAAAAAATCGTAACTCTGGCATCCATTCTCTACATGCCAAGGTCTTTAGGTTCCTGGGAAGCTACTACAGCAAGGAAAACAATGTGCGGTAACACCAGTCTTCACGACAGAGTTTCAAGCTGACGTCATGTTTAGAATACAGTGCGCATTGTACACGTATTATCATATGCATTCTGGGCATGTGATGGACAGATCCTCAATTGATTCTGCATGAACTAGTGCAAGGAAACACGTGTGATGCGTTGACACCCAGTGCAAACGGCGTATAGCACTCGAGCGAGTAGCTTTACATCTTTTAAAGATGACGTCGGGATAGCTCTGTATACGGGAGTTGAGCAGTATTGGGGGGTGTTTTTAAATATATTTTAAAACCTTATACATAGGGTAAGAGTCATGCTGTAGCTCAGTTGGTTAGAGCACTGCTCGCGAATAACAAGGTCCCTGGTTCGAGTCCCGGTGGTGTGACTGATGATTTCTTTTTTTTTTTCATATCTGGCTTGCAAGTGTTGAGTTTCGGAGAGAAAAGAGCAGTACGTGGCATGTGGCCTCTAACTTCCTAACACTTTAAAACCTTGGTATCACTACACACATTGATGTCGGTATCTATCTAGTATCTACACTTGCCTTCTGTTCCCAGTCCAGGTCGCGGAAGGCGTGTCCGTGTGAGTTGCCCTCGGTGGGCAGATCGTCGAGGTACTTGCACGATGCCATCTTCACCGTCTTCAGTGTCATCTCAGCACTCAGGCCGCCGACAACGATGGCCAGATGGTACGGCGGACAGGCAGCCGTGCCGATCGTCTTGATCTTCTCGTCAACAAACGCCGTCAACTTCTCCGGGTTAAGCAGCGCCTTTGTCTGGACGCACACACACGCACACACACACCAGCAGATCGACAACAGAAAAAATAGAGAGCAGTTTGAGCGTTGGTGAGTTAGAAGTGGGGATTCACGGAGCCCACGTAACAAGCACTGCACATCAAAAGCAACAGTGGCAGCGGAAGCAGCAGCAGCACTAGCATCAGCGTCATCGACATCACCACCAGCCTCATTGCTGATAAATCACTGCTGACTAGACATGACAACAGTATAGTGTGTGTGTGTGTGGGGGGGGGGGGGGGGGAGGGGGTCAACAAGCACATGTGAACAATATGTTCATACATGTGTGTGTTTGTGTACGCAGGAGAACATCACCAGGTGTTGGCTCACCCAAGCTGGCCGCATACCTGTTGATAAAGAAAGGTCTTGTTAGCAGAGCCGCCGCCCTTAGCAATGAACATGAACTTATACTCATCACCGGGCACGGAGTAGATGTCAATTTGCGCCGGCAGGTTGGTACCCGTGTTGGCTTCCTTGAACATGTCCAACGGAGCAACCTGTAGTCATGGTAACACAAACACATACAGCATGAATGGAAAGGTTCGTCAAGACAAGCACATGCACATGGCAGCACATTACATAAAACAGTTGTGCTCGGTGAAATCCGACCCAAAGTGGAAAGGTGGCGCTCTGGACTAGCTCTGATTACATCATTGAATTCGTACATGCGTACGTCCAGCCGCATCCGTGCCACTGCCAGGGCGTCAAGGGCCGTGCTAGTTGAGGGCGCCAAACACGCACTCTGGGTCGGATTTCACCGCGCGCATCTGTAGTACACAATATGAATAAACAATAGCTTAGTGTTAGAGCATGGCTGGCCATAAACGAGGCCAAGGGTCCCTTGGTTTGAGTTCTGGTGGCGACAGTCAATTTTCTCTTCAGACTTCCCCTGTTTGCAACTCCCTTACCCTCATGAATGCGTTACAGTACAGTGTATACTATCAATACCAAAGACCCCAGGGGGCGGGGGAGGACAGGCTGGGTATGCATCTGTTCTGTGTGTGCACTGCACATGAAGGTACTGTTGCGGCAATAACATACATGCTCGATGCAAGTACAGTCGAACTGCTGGTGGTGAACACCTGCCAAGGATGGATCCTTCACTTCCAAATGTTCCCAACCAAATCAGTTTGTAACCAGTTTGGCAACATGGCAGGGATCGATTTACTTTGATTTTTTTGCATAGCAGTCACTGCTACACAGTTTTACAATTGACTAGCAACTCCAAATATTGATTAGCAGTTTTCCGTCATCATAAGTTTACATGTATAGCTGTACAATAGCAGGATTTCGTAAAGAAGAGGACAATAGCTGCAGTTGCTATTTGCTTTTCCAAGCGAATGTTCAACCTGAATATTTACGTTAGAGTTTTCGCTTGGGCACGTTACATGTTCAGCGTCCATCCGTCTTCGAGTTCTTCACAACACAATGTCTTTCAACAGGGCAGTTCCACTGATTCCTTCGACAAAGAAACCTCAGGAAAGCGCTCAAACGATCGGGACATTTCGTGCAAAGCACATCGAATTTCGCTTTTCTCCTTTTCTTCATCGAAACGAATCGACATTCCTGGCGCGTCCAGTTCTTTGTCCCTCTTCTGGGCAGTGAATCACTGATCAGATTCACTGACATGTTGGCTACATGAGACTAAGAACCATCTACTTCAACTGTGCCTTGTCGAACAGAAACAAACTGAGCTTGACAGTGAAAGAAGAAAGGAGAACATCAGGAAAAGTCACCGCCGTGTACAAAACTTCAGAAGACTGCAGTCTAGTCATGTACGACCAGTGCTAGTGCAGTGTCCAAAATCGAAAGAGCGCGATCCGCGAGTCCGCGACCCGCGCGGACTGAGCAGGACAGGCCAGTTGGTTGGAGTAGTAAAATACTACTCCCTAGTCAGCGGTGTGTACATCAGTCGCATGTAGACTGCACACAACTGGTCTTTGTAGTGCATCGCAGTTTTGGGCGATAAAAAACGAAAAGCGAATCGCAGCCAGTGAATTTTGATTCGCAAACTGCGATGCGAACCCGGATAAATCGATCCCTGCATGGGCATAATTATAATACGATGCTGGGATTTTAGTACCATCACAGACACATGTCCGACTTCACAAGCTGTATGGCTTTGGAGTGGGACCAAGTTACGCATTTGTTTTGCTGGCACCGCAGATTACCGAACACTCCCCATGAAGACCAGATTAAATTGTGTCCATATGTGTGTGTGTGGGGGGGGGGGGGGGGGGGGCTATGGCTTCTGCTGTAGCATTGCTAATATGCTATCATCGCCTCTGGCGATGGGCGTTAAAATTAGGGCTCAAACGATTAGTCCGATTAACCGGTTGCAGACCGGTTACGAAGAATTAACGGTTAACCGATAAAGATAACGGTTACGCAGTAACTTTTCAGTCAATTTTTCAAGTATCAGATCGTTGCAAAGTGTGCACTTTCGCAGGCTGTCGCACGCGTACGCAATTTCTGGGCTGTCAACTCGGTCATATCTGGTCTCTTGGTGTGAGAGTACATGTATGTATGAATGAGCATGCAAGAGAATGTACATGTGTGCGTTGTATACTGAATAGGGTACATATTTTTTGAATAAGTATAGTCAAATATACGGTTAAAAAAGAGTCCGCAGGATTGCCGTGGCTTATAGGTTATAACCGGTTAACCGACCGTTAGCTTAGCAGTTAACCGTCAGGGGTAAAACCGTGACCGTTTGAGCCCTAGTTAAAATGTGTGAGTGCGTGTGTGTGTGTCAGCTAGTTTGGTTGGTGGGTACACTCATGCCAGATAGTGTTGGGTCTGTTGCCAATGGACTCGGCTGCTTGAGAGATTTACAGCAATGCAGGGCATCCCCACTGTTTCATTGCTTACGGGTCCATAGTCCATTGGCCAGTGACAAGTGGTACTTCGGAGTACTACGTACGTGTACATATACCACATGCGGAGTGCCTACCTGTGAGTAGCGGAGATTGCGTTGCGTGTATGCATCATAAATGCCATGAGAAAGCGATGATTCATCCTCATCACACATGACGCGACGGCCACGTTTGCCCATCACGATAGCCGTGCCTGTATCCTGACAGCCGGGCAACTTCATACCAGCAGCAATGTTCGCGTTCTTCAGCAGCTGAAAGGCCACGAAACGATCGTTGTCGCTCGCCTCCGGGTCATCTAAGATGGAGGAGAGTTGCTTCAAATGAGCAGGACGAAGCAAATGAGCAATGTCGATCATAGCCTGTTTGGACAAAAGTCGCAGAGCTTCAGGCTGCACGACCGTAAAGCCGTCCTTCACCGTCACCAAACCCTCAGACGAAGGTAGTTTTCGGTAGGAAATTCCAACATCGTTGGCTGTCTTCGGAGACATTATGTCTTCATAGTGGAAAGTAGGCGCCGTGGAGGCAAGGCGAATGGCCTGAAGCCTCAGCGGACTGCTGAGGCGACTCGCGCACCTCATAAGCAAGGCCATGATAGCTTGAAAGTCCGCAGGAGCCCACCCTCGACAAGAAGCAGGCACAAGCTCTTGCGGTGTTTGTGTGTGTTTGCTTGAAGATTTGAAGCAAGCTTGCTGACATCTTGCAAAATAAAAAATCTTTCGAAAGTTTCTTTCTTTGTCGGGACTCGGCAGCGCCATATTTTGTTGGGGAAGTCCCGAACATTGCCAACCACACACCCAAATCGTTGGGGTTAGCCCTTGTAAATCATAAATCATAAGATGAAACAGTTCGGCTGAAAACTTCCTTCACATGCACAGGCTGGACACCTCAAACCTCCGATTTCAGTTACAGATTTATACAAATTCGATGCGAAACCAGTGTTACGTTTTCCAAAAGAGACTCTCCATGGAAACCAAAATGGAGCCGAATTTGTTCAAGTTTTCGAAAGTGAAATTTCTTACGAAAAATTAATGGTTTATTTGGATTGTACTCCAGTACGGCAAAATTCGTACCAACGCGAAAAGTACTGTACGTGGAGTAGATACTGCCTACGCAGCATGCATGGTTGGTGTGGTTGACATCATTTTGGAAAGATTACTCTTGTCGAGCTCTTGCAACCCCTACACATTCCGTTGTTTTCCAGAAAGAGTATGAACGATTTGTGAGCGACAAAGAAGAAAAAGAGCCAGTAGATTTGAGTGTCTGTTACTGTTGGTACCTGCTTGTTGGTTGAGAGTTTCCTTGAGGTGTCAGCAGATGATGCGTCCCTAGTCTTGCTGGTGATGGAATAAAACCAGAGGTGATTATGCCTCGCACGTCTGCCCGTCGTCGATTCACTGCAGCAAAGCCGTACGATGCGACTGTGGATTTCAGCTCGCCGCAGTTCAACCCGCGGCGTGCCCTGAAAGCCGTGAACCTGAAGCCGCCACATCCCGACGTACCACCGCTGGACAATTTGTCGTCGTATTTAGCATGTGTTACCGGACATTCTACAGGACCGGCGGCGGGTGTAAAAAGTGCCAGTGAGGCTAAAGTTTGCGCTTCTCCCAGCACAAGTACTGGAGAGCAACATAGTGTAGCTGACAATGCTGTCAGATCGGCTGTAGGTAAAGCATCCATCCAGACTGCTGGCACTGGCTCAGATTTGGCCGTGACTAAAGACGGCCAGCCTGTACAAGGCGGCAAGGCTGACGACTCGTCGCTAGCCCCCAGCGGACAGCGTGTGAAGGGCAAGGGATTCCTGCGGCTGAACACCACAAAGGTGCCATCGTCTAGTGGCAGTGGAGATGAGTCGGCTGATGCGGATATTGGCGATGCAGGTGCAGGTTCTGGCACTGCAGACGCTACCGGGACAGCAAGAGGAAACAAAACGCTTGGCGGTGGCAGTGATGGCGTGTCGGCGTTAGCGAACGCGAGTGCGGAACCAGCTCATGCGGACGGCATTGTGAAGCGGAGTTCCGTAGAACTGTTTGACAAGGCTGGCCCAGCAAGCACTGCCGGTGGTACTGGCAGTGGTGGTAGACATCGGGGCGGGGTTGTGAGCAAGTACCGGAAGACCTTGGAGCCTTTCTGCATGAAAGGTATGGCGGGGATAGAGACATGCGAATACAGCATTGTAAAATCGCTGTCTTCTCTAGCTGAGTTTGGCTTTGTTAATAATGCTCTCGCCATGAGCTTTCCATTCAGCCACAGGTCATCACACCAGCAGTGTACTACTAGCTGGTCCTCCATTGTTTTGGAATACAATGTAGCACGAAATGCTTTGCCAACGTTTACCTGTCACCATGAACATTCTAGCGGCACCCCTTGAAAACCGTTTAGACCTGTTTGTTTAAAGCTGGTCTGTGGTTTATGTCATAATTAGGTCAATCTCCAGGATAGCGGGACAGTTTGTACTCTCTGTACTAATATGTTTGTGTGTGTGTCTGTCTCTCTCTCTCTCTCTCTCTCTCTCTCTCTCTCTCTCTCTCTCTCTCTCTCTCTCTCTCTCTCTCTCTCTCTTTGTCTCTCTCTCTCTTTGTCTCTCTCTCTCTCTCTCTCTCTCTCTCTCTCTCTCTCTCTCTCTCTCTCTCTCTCTCTCTCTCTCTCTCTCTCTCTCTCTTTGTCTCTCTCTCTCTCTCTCTCTCTCTCTCTCTCTCTCTCTTTGTCTCTCTCTCTCTCTCTCTCTCTCTCTCTCTCTCTCTCTCTCTCTCTCTCTCTCTCTCTCTCTCTCTCTTCACCTTACTGTGCAGAGGAAATCTCCGGGCCACTTGCTCTGCTCGCCAAGGCTGTGCAAGAGAAACGGAAAGTTCGCGTTCTCATCCGCCGCTTCCGCGGTGCACGCGGCTTCTGCGAGGGTTTTATCACAGCGTTTGATCGGCATATGAACATGGTACGTGCGGTAAAATCCAGTGCTTTCATAGGCGATGGGTTGGTGCTATGTTTGCTGCACTCCACCAATAACAGGTGATTTGACATGGCTGATACTGGATAACACGGTTATTTCGACTGGAACATTATTTTCGGTAATTTCAGTAGAGAAACCAGGCACCTGAATTTAGATTATGTCTAAAAGGCTCTAGAGTGTGCACTGTATGTGAAGGACCAGTGAGCCCTCGGGGGAACTACACTGCTCTGCGTTTTGATTGTGGAGCACCTCTGAAGCGATACTTATGCAATGGTACAAGTACTCCGGAAAACACGTTGTTTGGTTGAGAGCATGTTACAAGGCGGGGGATGCACTGTGCTTGAAAACAGTGCTCCTGACTACAGCCTCCACGGTTGCCAGAGCCCAGGTCTTTAGCGTGGATGTTGTAGTCAGGAGCACTGTTTTCAAGCACAGTGCGTCCCCCGCCTTGTAATATGCTCTCAACCAAACAGCGTGTTTTCAACCAAACAAGGCTTATCTAATGCCAAGTACTCCAGAGTACCACTGAGGGCTGCCACTGTGTGTTTCAATCGCGTATGTTTATCTTTAGTGTAATCCGTGGTCTATACCACACACGACCGGGAGCACAAACTGTCCCTTCTCCCGGGGGTACTCATACAGGCAGGCTGTGAGTGAGTCCCTAGATACTGTGTTACGTTGCAGTATACAGCTGTATTGTCTGGCTAGGTGCAGTGTTACGCTAGTGTGCAGAGATGAGGGCTGTGTTGTCTAAGCGCAGCCTCCCAATACCGTAAAAGTCCGTAAATAAGTACCTGCCCGAAAGAAATACCCCCTTCATTCTTTTGGCTCTGTCTGTTAAAGTCAAGTCAAGCCCGATAAACATACGGCCCGAAATAAGTACCGGTACGATTCGCGCATGCAGCACGTAGCATGTACATCGACATGCAAATGACTTCTCCACTACACACAAATCAGGTCCGAAAGTTAGTTCGTGCCCGAAAGTCAGCATCCGTCCGGAAGTTAGTACGGGTGTGATCACTAAATTCGAAAGTAAATACGTACTTATTTACGGACTTTTACGGTACTTGTCAATAGAACCCGGATGTTGAACCAATAGATTATCTATTATGTAAAAAGAAAGGACAAATCCGTTGATCCCCCAAGCTGCACAGAGTACCCAATGTCAGAGACGCAGCTTAGTACATAGCAGACTCAGCGGAGGACGTTCAGGTGGGTTGAAAAGAAAGGACATATAAGTTACTAGTTATGACTAACAGTCCACCAAGGTACCGAGATAATATACAGTCAGATAGTGCAACAACAAGGCACAAAGCTGACAGGGATATTGATTATTGAGACTTTTGACTACCTGACACCAGAACCTGTGTTCTGTTCAGAGGTAGACCGAGTCCCTTGTGTAGCTCTGAGTATCACTGGAATATCCCTATAGAGCTTATGCGATGACATCATCAGTTGAGAATCTTGAGATGCTTCGGCAAAGTCGTGGCACGGCGATGCACTAGCTAAAGCGAATCCGCCGACTCATGCTGTATGTGTGTGTGCATGCGTGTGTGTGCTTGTGCATGTGTGTGTGTGTGTGTGTGTGTGTGTGTGTGTGTGTGTTTGTTTGTGTGTGTTGTGTGTGTGTGTGTGTTTGTTTGTGTGTGTTGTGTGTGTGTGTCTGCCTGTGTGTATGTGTGTGCATGTATATGTGTGCTTGCATGTGTGTGTGCACGTGTGTGTGTGGACGTATGCTTATCTATGTACTACTCAGATATTGGTTGACGTGTACGAGGAGTACTGTCTGTTGCCATGGCAGGTCGCTATGACGGACGTTCCAAACAAGCGCGGTCGGCACGGGAAATTCCTACCGATTGCTTCGGACGATTTGGCCAGCGCTTCGACTGGTGAAGACTCCGGGGGCATGTCTGCTTGCGAGGGCCTAGCCTGTGAGGCCAAGAAACCTCACATGCAGAGGCAAGACTCCCGGTCTGAGACATTGCCAGCCATTGCCAAGACGCTGAAACCCGTGCTGCGACGCAACACAGACCAGGTCGGCTTGCCATCCTCCGAGTCGTTAAGCCTATCGTCCGCCACTCCAGCGCCGGCGCCGGAGAAAAAGAAGCGTGCTCGCAGCAAACACTTAACGCGCCGTGCAAAGGAACAGGCCGCCATGCTGGCTGCTGAAGAGAAAGCGCAGTCCACAGCTTTGCTGCTAGCCCAGGAAGAGCAAACAGAGGCGGTGGCAATGGACATCGGAACTGACAATGAGTCTGCTAACGAGTCGCAGCCGTTGACAGCTGGAGACGAGCGAGTAGTTGCCAGGAAGACCAGTACCGCCCGCGACCAGCATGCTTTCACCGCTGTGCCTACGTTCGGTGCTGCAACGAGTGCTGTACAGGCGAGTTCCGTGCCATCCTGGCCCTCGGCTGATCCCATTCCAGGATTACATCATCACCATCATTACACACTGCCTCCCGCTGCTGGTAATCCTGCTGTCGCTGGCGGCCTCGCAGGCATACCGGGCCCACTGCCATTGAGGTGTGAAGCTGCCGGTGCAAGCGCTACGACAAACACGGATGGCTTTGCAGGGTCTGGTCACACACGGTCGACATCGGCATCAGCGATGCCGGCAGCGGCGGCGGGAGAAGTCGGTAGTGTTACACCTCAGGCCATTCTCTCTCATCTACTTAGTCGTGTGCAAACTGTCCCCGCAGGCGCTGGCGCTGGCAGCGGGGGTGGAGTGTTAGCTAGCACGGACACACCACTGCTGCGGCGCGACCGGGCTATCTCGTCACGGCCTGCAGCCAACACCGGTGCGCTGGGTCCACCGGGAGCAACGACGACGACAACGACAACTGCACCGCGTAGCGTGGAGACCCCGAACACCGGGGGTGCGCGACGACCTCGAACCCGGCCATCACGGTTCAGCACCCGGCCATCTTCGACGGAAACTGAGAACGCTACGTCCACCACCTCCTCGACTACTGCTGTCACGCCTAGGGCACCAGCAACACCAACCATTGCCCAACCTCCATTACCTGCCGAACAGCCACTGCAAGAGGCTCCTCTGCCGCAGTCGCTGGCACCGTTCCAGCCACCACCAATGTTATCGTCGCCGTCCAACCAGAGTGCGGACAGCTCAGGCGCAGCAGCCATGACTGGATTACAGTTTCCTGCGGGCGGTGCTGCAGATGCTGACGGCAGTGGCGAGAAAAAGGAAGCACCGCCGGTCGAAGTCAAGAAGCCGCGCAAGAAGATCGACATCCAGAAGTACCGCAATCGCCTGGGTCAGAACCTGTCGCCCACCGGCACACCTGTATCTCCGGCACTTACCAGTGCCGTGTCCACTCCCACGTCCGGCGCTAGTTCAGCTTCCAACACACCCAGCGTGACCCCTGGCACACAATCACCGTCGGATGCCATGCTCCAGACGTCTAACAACTCAACGACAGCGTCGGCCTCCATCGGCACTGCCGACGCTGCGGCTACGGACAAAGCTAAAGCGTCCTCGTCGTCTAGCATGACCACTCCCAACGGCAAGGAGAAGTCGAGTGGCACCAAGTCATCTTCCAGCCAGCCCCGCTCCGGCGGGGGACAGAGGACTAGCTCGTCATCATCAACAACTAAGCCATCGTCCGCAAAGGGTAAAGATGGACAGCGCTCCAGTACAGGTAGCGCCAGTGGTGGCAACGCTGCCAGCAAATCCAGTCGGCCCAAACCAAAGCCAAAGAAGATCCTGCCCGAGGCCGCGGAATCTCTCAAGGACCCGCGTTCACCGAAAGAGTCTTGCGAAGCGCCATCGCTGATTGTGCCCGCTTTCGCTGTGCGTTACGCGAAACGAGCCAAGGCAGGTAGTGGTGACGGCGGAAGTAGTTCAAGCACCTCCACAGCCAAGCATAAACGATCGTCGTCGGGCGACCGGCACTCTAAGTCTTCTGTAAAGCCGACGTCTTCATCGTCAACACCGTCCCACGGCAGTGCTTCCTCCAGGCCCTCGACTACGACACCATCTTCTGCTAAGAAAGATGGCTCGAAGAAGGTGACCCCTGAAAAAGCGTCTTCGTCCGCCGCCCATTCCCATCGCCAGCGGCAAAGGTCCTCAAGCGTCCGAACAACGCCGAAGAAGTCCGCATCTACTTCTAGCAACAGTGCGCCTGCGTCTGCTACTACTGCTTCTGTTAATGCTGGTACAGATGAAGTGACTTTCCGTCCGTCTCTGCAGAGTATCCTTGCACAGATCTGTGATGAGGAGAGTGCTACGGCCGATGGCGATGCCAATGCTGCTGCTGTTGCTACGTCCACACCAGCGCAAAAGCAATCCTGCGATGACACAGTACAGGCAGCAGTACCTACTTCTACTGATAACGCTGACAGAACAGCAGCAGCAGCAACACCCTCGTCCTCCTCGGTATTCGCGCAGCCAGCACCTTCCCAAGACTCGGAATGCACACCCAGCATTGCAGTGACAGTAGCTGAACCGTCCTCATCATCGGCGCCCGGAGCCCCAACCAGCGAGAGTACGTTCGTTCCGCCGATGCTGGCAGACCTAGCTGGGTCGGAGAGCAGCGATGTGGATGATTCTGCCACCGCAAAGCTGGCAAAGAAAGCCAGCAGCGCAGTGCCCAATCCGCTGAGCTTACCGGCCAATCGTGACAGTGTTAGTAGTAGACTAACTGCTAGCAGCAGACCTCGAACTCCAGTGAGTGCACCTGCATACAATGTTGCAGTGCCGGCGGTGGTACCAGCAGCAGCAGCATCACCGAAATCACCTTGCCAGCCGCGACCAGGCGCTGTGAGCGCGCCAGGTTATGTCTGTGTCAAGAAGGAAGACTCGCCGAGTGATACTGTTCATGTGAAAACGGAACCAACTTTCGCTACCACCGTCGGCAGCAGTAGCAGTAGCTGCAGTGACGTTTCCACCAATGCTGTTACTGTAAAGAGGGAAGAAACAGCAGCTGAGCAGCCGGCCGGTGAAGAGGCTACTTTAGATATCTTCCAGTCAACGCCCATGGAGAATGAAGATGAGATACCGGGGCTAGGCGATCCCAAGTCGTCGCGTGTCTTACCACCCCGCCATCACCACCGCCACACTGCCTCTGCCTCTACCCCTGGCTCCGGCTCTGTTCCCAAACTGAGCAGCGACAGTGATGACAGCATAGCTCCGCCGGCATCCATCGTCCGCTTTCCTTTCAGGACGAAATGCCGCAGCAAGCGCTCCACAGCCGGCGAGGCGGATTCAGAGAGCAGCAGTGACCCTTCTGACAATGACGGGTCCGATGACGAAGAAGCAACAGCACCGGCAGCCACAACGCCAACAAGAAAAGCGAGCTGTGACAAAGCTGCTGCTTGCACGCAGGAAGATAGCTCATCGGGAGAGCTCACCGATGACAGTGGCAGCGAAGTGGATGCGCCGATGCCAGCACCAGCAGCAGCTAGTCGGTCCAGCAGTACCGCTAGCAATCACCCTAGCGGTGGTGTTAGCGCACTGCCCACCACTGCTGCTGACATGCCGAGCAGTGACGGAGAGATTACGGACAGCGACGATAACAATGAGACGTACTCTGCTGCTAATCGCACTGCTGGAACATCTTCATACAACAACTCATCATCTTCGGGAACAGCAGCTAAGCCTGTAGCAGCCAGCAGCAGCACCACGGCCAGTGGGAACACATCCCCAGGCGTTCGCTACTCACGGTACTGCGACATTTCCAGCACGGAACGGCCGTCGTACGCGCCGCCCTCCACCAAGGAGATCATCCTGCCGCCGATCGTCAAGTCGCCGACCACCGGGCGTATCCGACACTTGCCGTATCGCGACGAGGTCTTCCCGCCCGTCCTCTCACCCAGCTCGTCGTCGGATTCCGACTCGGGAGGCGGGGGACGCTCTCCGGGGGCGCTGCGACGTCGTACGTGTTGGAATGGTGGCAGTTCTAGTGCAGTTGGCGCCAGTGGTACCGGTGCTGCTGCTAATGCCACTGCTAAATCACCCTGGTCTGTGATCGCGGGGCGCGGTGCGAATAGCATCGGCGGCAACGATATGCCGTCAGCATCATCGTCTGCCAATCCAGCAGCCGGTGGTTTAAGTGGATCGCACTCCTCGCAGGACTATATGCACGAGAGCAGCAGTCATACACACTCGCGTCGCTCCAGTCCCGACCACCACCGCCTGCAATCCAGACCAATGTCACAGTCGGACTCCTCTCGTCCCAGTCCGCCGCTGTGCAAACCGCCGCCGCCAGGGTCGGAGCAGCGCGAGTCTCGCAGTCGCTTTGACCGCAGCATGTCGTCGGATAGCAGCAGCCGCACATCCAGTGTGTCGCCCGTGCAAAGAAGCGCTCGCACTCCAATGTCCTTGCCAATAGGCCCTGCTGCTGATGATGACTCTGTACAGCAGCCTAAACCAATCCTATCTGACCTGCACCGCTTTGCTGAAGAGCGCTTTGTACCTTCATCGTCATCCAGGAAATCTTCGCCGCCGCCATCGTCATCAAGGAGGACATCATCTCCGTCGGTCTTCACCCAACCGTCTCCAGTTGTTGCCTCAGCTGCTGCCATCACCACAGCCGCCGGTACTGTGACTAGTGGTGGTGTTGCTGTGTCTCCCTCCATCAGCTCCACCCCGGCGAAGCCAGCGCTTGCCTGGGAGCAGCCAGTGGCAGATCATGACAGTCCGCCGCTGGCGACCGGTGCTGCTGCTGGTGATAATGAGCTGCCGCGTAAAGACCCCGTCTCGTTCATATCCGCCACCGTCTTCACCAGCTCTGCCTATCAGCCGCAGGCCATGCTGTATGCATCAACACTGGCCACCGGTGCGTCTGCAGCACTCTCTGACGCCCCCACCACTACACCAACACTCGCAGCGGCAGCCATGGTATTGCCCGCCACCACCTCTGCCGCCTCCAGTACGGGTGCATCAGCAAGCCCGCAGCAGCTGGCCAGCCCTGGACATTCCGTATCTCCAGCCTTACTCTCCACCACTAACACGGCGGGACAGTCGCCGAAACGCTCGCCGCTCATCCTGCCGTTCAAGGTCACCTCACGGAACCGCACACTCGCTGGACCAAAGGTACACGGAGCTAGCCCGGTGGTAGACGTAGCTACAACGGGTGAGTGTGAAGATGGCAGTGGCACTAACAGCGCCTCTGCGTCGTGTCGTGCCTATGCCGATACTCCATCCGCTGGCGGCGGCGGCAGTGCACTTGCATCCACGTCTCTAATCGCCGGCTACTCGGAGGAGGAGTCCTTTCAAGTGGACATTCCCGTGTCGTTTCCGTCGCTTACAAACGATGGTGGCGCCAGCCATCGGTCGGTGTCCACTGACGATCAGCGTACGCGACCACAGCAGTTACATCTTAAGAGCATGGCTGCATCAGCAATGGCTAGTAGCAGCAGTCAGAACCGTGCTGCCAACACTACCGCCGATCAGCCTGGGAAACGGAAATATTCCGCGTCGTCTTCCAGGTCCAAGCAGCGTCACTACTCGTCGGGTGACTCGGACTATTCGCTGGACTCTCGCCGCCGTAAGTCTGACTATTCACGGTCAACGATAGGATCACGCGGCGGCGGTGGTGGGGGTTACTATTCCAGCGACGACGACCGTCGGGGGTCACGGCACGGAGACGCTAGCCAGTCGTCGAGACGCGACTCCTTTCATCGCGACACTGCTGCCCGATCATCGTCACGGCGAGACGGCAGTGGCGGTGGTGGTGGTGGTGGCAGTAGACGTGACAGTCGGGAACGCGAGCGTGCTTACGAGCGGCGCGGCAGTCGGCACGATGACAAGTACGACGACCATCACCGTCGCTACGACGATCGCTACTCCAGCCGAAGCAGCGCCACGAAGGACGGTCATGAGCGCAGCAACAAGGACGGGTCTGCGTCCAGGACGGCACGTGAGAAGTCCTACGACAGAGATCGGCGTGACGACCGCGGGCGTAGCTATGACGATCACTATGCCGACGATCGCTATAGAGATGCCGAACGATCTCGCGGCGCCAGTGATTATCACCGCAGCAAGGACAGGTCGAAGAGAGATCGCTACGATGCCGACTACTCCACACGCACGGGTGGTGGTGGCAGTGGCGGGGGCAGAGGGGACCGGGATAGAGGCAGATCAAGATCAGTGAGCTCTGACGATGGACGTCGCGGGCGCTATGTGGAGGATGACCGACTGGCCCCGACCACTGCTGGTGGTGGTGGTCAGTATTCGAAGAAACAGCGCAAGCAGCGGCGTAAGGACAAGCGCAAGGAAAAGCGCCAGCATTCACCGCCCAATCAGAGATCATTGTCGCCTAGGCAACGCTCACCTAGGCAACGATCGCCCACACGGTCAGCATCGCACGCTGGTAGCAAGCGCGCGGGCAGCCCCCCACCTCCTGGTCTTACCAGTTCTCGTCAGCGTGCCGCGACTGACTCGTCTAAATACCCGCCGGTACACTCCATACCGAGCAAGAGAAAGCATCCCACCTCTCCAACATCCTCGTCACCCGATCAACGCGAGAAGCGCAAGCAAGGCCGATCACTGAGCACCAGCTATGCCACTGCGGTGTCGAAGAGGGCAGATAAAAAACAACGCTCATCGACTGGTGCTGTTGTCGGGACAACCAGCCACTGTCATCCGTTGTTGAAACACCTAGGTGAGTACACTGATGATGATGACGATGATGATGGCTCAGACTCGGACATCGCACATAGCAAGGAGCAAGCGGAGAAGGCGGCTGAGACCAGTCGCTCTGTCAACCCAACCAGTGGCAGCTCTGCGATTTCTGGCACTGCTGATGCTTCTGTCCAGTCCTGTGGCGGTGGTGGTGGTGGTGGAGTCGGTGATGCTCGAGATGGCCGTGGCGATGGCCAGCGTGCTGCTCGCACTACGCTCAGTGCTGCAGATCCTGCTGCTGCTGGCACTGGCAGTGTAGTGGCAGGCAGTATCACTACACGGGATCATTATCACACTGCACAAGATGACAATGCTATGTCAGAACGCAGCCGATCGCTATCATCTCAACGACACGAGCAACAGCAACAGCAGCACTCTCCGTCACGCAATGGTGCCTCGCTAGGCACGCAGGAAGCGGCCGAAAGCGACGATGTCTGTGTTCAGACGATGGTCATTGAAATGGAAATGTCGCCACCGCAGCAGCAAGGCAATTCGCCTGTTATTTTACGCGCACACCAGCACACAGACGCCTCAACACACCAGCAACATGGTAGTCGTCAGCAACACACAGGCGATACCGCTAGGTATGGTACCTCACTACGTGCACAGCGTATTGGGGCCGCCACCACGTCGCATCTTGCCGACAATCCTGCAAAATCGTCGACTTTGACCGCTCACGATACAACCAGACTTAGCGCAGTGTCGGCTCACACACCACCACCACAATCATCACCAGCAGCACACGCGCTATCCGGTGGTGTCGGCCGCTCAACGAACACTCAGTCATCAGTACTGTCCCTGGCGGCAATGACGGCCACCGTGTCTACATCCGCTCAAACAACCAACGCAACCAGTGGCCATACACGGGCAAAGCCAGCAGCATCGCGCACCGCAGCGCAAGCGACTGAAGCAGTGAAGCCGCGGCGGAAGGCATTCACACCGCCAGAAATCACGTTCGACACGAGCCAGTACCGGACGGTACGTCGGCCCAAGACGGGCGGGAGTGCAGCAGTGGATTTGTCTGCCACCACCACCGATGGCACTGGCAATGACAGTAACGACGAAGAACTGGAACTTCCCACGAGTGCTTGGCTAAAGAAGTTTGCGGAGCGCTGGTGGCACATGCGCGGCTCCAAGCTGACGTTCCGCCGTCGCACCGCCAAGCAGTTGTTTGTACGCGGTGACAATGTTATGATGGTGTCCATCGTCTGAAGGAGAGTCTTGTCCCAACCCTGGTAAGTACTCGTTCTGTCTGTCAGGGAGCGCGGGGGGGGGGGGGGGAAGAATGGGGGTTACAACCCAGGCAAGTACTGTACACCACGTTGTTTTCGGTGTCATTTAAATTTCAGTAATTTCGGTAGAGAAACCAGTCACCTAAATGGCACTGTAGCATGTACAGTAGGTGCAGGGAACCGCTGAATGGAAGAAATAGACGCAAGCAAGCACGGGATCCTATCATTGCCTGACGAGTGCACAATACAGTCAATAGTAATAGTAGGGCTGCAACGGGTAGGGGTTTGGTCGGGTAACGAGTTCGCGTATTTCTGTCCGGCTAGCACGGGTACCCTATTAGATATTTGTTTGACATAGTTTGTGCAGTGAGTGTGCACTTTCGCTGCATTGAAAGTGTATAGTAAGCAGTACTAAGCACATGGCTGTGCTGTTTCCATGCACCGTTGCGAAAACACCGTACTCCCACTACCTGGTCAGGTTCTCAGGAGCAAACTGCTACCCGAATACCCGCTCTAATCACGGGTAGCACGGGTACTCTACTACCCGTCGTTGACACCCCTAGTTCTCTTACCACTCGCACTTTTCCGCCGACTGACTTGACACTTGAAAAGCGCGAGCTTCAGGGTGGAGAGCACTTTTCCAATAAATCCCTAGAGTAGTTAGAAGTGTTTTCCTCTAAGATTTGGGCGTTTGTTGTGTTTGCACGGTGCAAGTCGCGCACTGTGCAGAAACAAAGGTAAAAAATGTGTTCTGCTGAGTTTTACTCGTAAGTGCCCATGCCACAGCCGTCTCTAAGTGTAGCTGCACTGCTTTTCTCTGTGTGTGTGTGTGTGTGTGTCTGATTGTGTTGCTCTACAGCCACCAATAGTGTCGGGTTTGCTCTGCTGCGTGCACACTGCTCCATAGTCGTCTCCTGTCGGGTTTGATTGCAACTGCAACTGGTATGGATTGTTGCTGGTTCGTTTGTTGTCCTTAGCTTGTGTGTTCATTGTGTGCAGCGATGTGTCTGTGGCGTTCTTTGTCCTTGCATCATCCGACGTGCTGGTCTGATTGCGATACAGCCGTAGAAATTCTTGCCGCCGCCCCCGCAACGGCGTGTTAATATATTTGTGTGTGCGTGTGTGGTAATGTTGTCTGTTAGCTCGCCGTGTACTAGTACTAGCACACCCATTGTTGTTCGTGAGGCTCAGCACACATGGACCAGGGTATCTGCCTCGGCCCGTCCTCTTGTTCTGTCTTTTATTTCTCCAGTACAGCTCCTACATGATTTAACAGATACATTTCCAAGTCACTTTCATTCCTGTCTCGTTTCTTCCATACGTTTTATATATTTTTTATGTCATTCTGCTGGCTGCTTTTTAGACTACGGTATTCTCTCTCTCTCTCTTCTATTCTCTCTCTCTCTCTCTCTCTCTCTTTCTCTCTCTCTCTCTTTCTCTCTCTCTCTCTCTCTCTCTCTCTCTCTCTCTCTCTCTCTCTCTCTCTCTCTCTCTCTCTCTTTCTCTGAATCTCTCCTTCTCTATTTTTGGATACATATTTAGAGTATTAGCTTTGACCCATTAGCTACTTAGTGTGGCTGTCAGCATTTCTAGGCTTTCTTTCTCTTTTTAGTCTATTTTTGTCTCGTTGGGGAGGCGCCTTGCTGTTGTAGCTATATCAGGGCACACTGATCACATGCGCACACACACACACGCGCGCGTGCACGCACATACACACACACGCGTGTGCTCGCACATACACACGCACACGTGCGCGCTCATACTTTTCGTTTGCGTAGGTGGTTAGCAGTCCCTTGTTGTTGTTGCTTCTAAAGCGCTGGTTGCGTACCATGTTCCTTTGTCTTGAGCCAGATATCAATTTTTTGTACCATGTTCCTTTGTCTTGAGCCAGATATCAATTTTTTGGCTTGAAATTGAGCTACCGTCCGCAAGAAGCTTATCTTATCCAACCTCCATTCTCACCCAAGCATGGCACTTCAGACACTGATTGGCCACCGACTGGATTTGATTATTTTCACTGCTGTCCATTGCAGGTACAGTGTATCTCTCTTTTGTACTGTCTACAAGATCATGTTTTTTTCCGGATTCCGATTTACACACAAGTCGGCCACTGGGCCTCCATACTATATGTATGCCATCCGGGAACTCTCTTCTTGTTGTGCGCTGCGCTGCGGTGCGCTGCGTGTATGTGTGTGGGAGGAGGGGGGGGGGGGGGTTGTGTGTGGATATGGGTGGGAGTGTGTGTGTGGGTGAGTGTGGTTGGGAGTGGGTGTGGATGTGTGTGTGTGTGTGTGTGTGTGTGTGTGTGTGTGTGTGTGTGTGTGTGTGTGTGTGTGTGTGTGTGTGTGTGTGTGTGTGTGTGTGTGTGTGTGTGTGTGTGTGTGTGTGTGTGTGTGTGTGTGTGTGTGTGTGTGTGTGTGTGTGTGTGTGTGTGTGTGTGTGTGTGTGTGTGTGTGTGTGTGTGTGTGTGTGTGTGTGTGTGTGTGTGTGTGTGTGTGTGTGTGTGTGTGTGTGTGTGTGTGTGTGTGTGTGTGTGTGTGTGTGTGTGTGTGTGTGTGTGTGTGTGTGTGTGTGTGTGTGTGTGTGTGTGTGTGTGTGTGTGTGTGTGTGTGTGTGTGTGTGTGTGTGTGTGTGTGTGTGTGTGTGTGTGTGTGTGTGTGTGTGTGTGTGTGTGTGTGTGTGTGTGTGTGTGTGTGTGTGTGTGTGTGTGTGTGTGTGTGTGTGTGTGTGTGTGTGTGTGTGTGTGTGTGTGTGTGTGTGTGTGTGTGTGTGTGTGTGTGTGTGTGTGTGTGTGTGTGTGTGTGTGTGTGTGTGTGTGTGTGTGTGTGTGTGTGTGTGTGTGTGTGTGTGTGTGTGTGTGTGTGTGTGTGTGTGTGTGTGTGTGTGTGTGTGTGTGTGTGTGTGTGTGTGTGTGTGTGTGTGTGTGTGTGTGTGGTGTATAGGCATACATGTTATTGCGATTGTGCATAGTTAACTGTTGGTATGTGTGTAGGCACAGGCTCTGATCTGCTGTTGTGTTTGTGTGTAGGAATCCGTAGCCAGTCTACCATGGTCTACTAGTAGATCTGTGGGGATTGCCCTATCAACAATTTAATAATAATAATAATAATAGTATTAGTGATGTGCACGGGTAGTCGGGTACCCGTGCTACCCGTGAGGACCTCGGGTAGTCGGGTACAGAATAGTACCCGAAAACGCGAAGTCGCAGATGACATCATGTACAGTGAGTGCACGTGCACAAATTCATGCAAAACTCCGCATGTCTACCCAGTGTGTAAGGGAAGGGGTGCATTGTGGTGTTACCATGGAAACATTACCCGATCGGGTACCCGTGGAAAAATAAACTGCAATGTACTATGTACATTTATGTACTCTTGCTAGTACTACTGTGCTGGTACATGTGGAGGGATGCCTAGTTACTGAGTAGTTCATTCATTTTATTCATTCAGTCTGTCTGTGTGCTCCGCCCATACAACACAGCAAACAACAACAACAACAACAACAGAGTTGCATAGCCAGTGGCTGGCAATGGCAATTCATCCGTTCATTCATTCAGACTTTATTTGAAGGATTCTCCAAAAGTACATAACCCGGCCCAGGGGGTTACTACAATTGTACTTTTCCTGGTACAGTGTACACTGTACAGTGCTGCCCAATGAAATCCAATCACGTGTGTCAAGTTGGCGCCGTGCACCTTTTCGCAGCCCCGGTGTTCGCAGGTCTACAAAGCTGTGCAACGCCTGGCTCCTACTTGAGAAACTCAACTGGATGTCATCAAGCACTACTGTATGTGTGCGGGCACTGCGGGGATCTCGAACGTTATTCTGGTCTACTACTGTATGGGTTCATGTGTGGAGATCCCTAGTTAGTACTGTAGTTGGTATGTGTGTAGGCCTGTAGCCTGTAGGGATCCCTATGCTGGCGTATAGTATAATGCTTGTACCGGTACATGTACAGCAAGAGAACATGGAAACCATGACATTATACTCTTGCTGTATAGGGATCTCTGGTTGGTCTACAAGTGAACTGGTTTGCAGTGTGTAGGGATCCCTAGTCGGTAAAGTAGTGTGCCGGTAATAGCCTGGTATGCAACCAACCGATCCCCCGGGACATTACGGATGCATGGCCGTAGTCGCATAGTGGTGAAGTTGCTAGCTCTCACAGACCACAGACTTTCAATGATTCCTAGTAACCCGTTTCAGCAGACCAGCGCGCCAGTAACTAACTAATTGTACAGACCGTGATCACTGATGGCCAAAGACATCAGATTATTCTAACCTCATGAATAAAAGTAGCGCCACGTTAGAGTGCTGATCCTATTTTCTCTTGTTGTTGTTGTTGTTGTTGTTGTTGTTGTTGTTGTTGTTGAGGTAGTTGTTTCTTTGGCCAGCACTGCTGTAGTTGTGTGCACGATTCCAATGATTACCATGCAAGGTTGTGGGTTGCCATGCCGTTGCACCCCCCCCCCCCCCCCCTGGACTTGGCTGTGGGGACTCCCCAAGCAGCAGAGGGTAAAGTCATGAGATGATGGTGCTTCAAAGGCCTGAACATCATCTAGCTCAGGTGCCATGGTGGTGCCCTCTTGGAGAAGGGCCTGGACGTTGAGGCTTTGCAACCCTGAGCGGGGGTTATCATGGGCATGTACTGTTGGCCTTTGGCAGTATTCCGGGCAGTGTCCCTTGCATACCAGTTCGTGTGAGCAGTGCACACGCACATTGCCATCAGTTCTGATCATCATGGTCCTTGCCTGAGCGGCAGTGAGCAGCCTGATGTAGCCAGCCGATACACACACTAGCACGAGGGCCAGGTGTCCAAAATGTTTACTTTCGTTGCAGTGGAAAGCACCCAACTGTTCAGTGGGTGTCTCAACGTGTAGATGGGACCACAAGGAGCTCCACAATAATTTTTAAATAAGCTGTATAGCTATACATGTACCGTACCACACACACACACTGTAGCTGTACATGTACCGTACCACACACGCACACTGTAGCTGTACGAGTAGAGAGTGGCTCTATGTCATGACATCACCATCGTGGTTCAGTGTTCGGGTACCGCACACTGTATCATGGAAAGGTCAAACGGTGGTGTTGCAAAAGAAGGATCCACGAGCGGAATTCGAACCCAGCAGCCCTGTCTTTCCGGGACAGTGCCCTACCGATTAGGCTACGGGGATCACACACACACACGCATGGGTCCTTCTTGCTACACTGCTCCCCCGCCCCAACAGACTGTGTCCTCACGCCGTACCTACTCGCAGGGGGGGGGGGGGGTACGATGGGTCGTGGGTTCGAGCCATTGCCAGGCGTCAATGTTGCAAAAGAAGGATCCACGAGCGGGATTCGAACCCAACACCCCTGTCTTTCCGGGACAGTGCCGCGGCGTACCGATTAGGCTACCGGGGATCACACACACACTCATGGATCCTTCTTGCTACAGTGGATTGCCCAGCTCGACCGGATTCCACAGTGTAGTCAATGGTTTGCTGCTAAATGGCGTGTCGTGTGACAACGTCGGAAAGACTAGTTCCGGAGTCGCTCAGTGATTCAGTGTACCAGCATGGCCATGCAATGGGAACTGCCGCCGATTTTTGTTTGTTCTACATAGGCATAGGCCATTGTAATAGCCTTCTGCTCAGCAAGGATTCCAAGGAATCCCCCCCGGGAAGATACTTACCCCCATCATGCCGCCGAGCCCTGACATCAAACCAACAGCCGTCGAAACGCATGTACGTTGTCCAATGCCCGTGCCGCTCCGACAAAAACACTCTCGTGCGTGGTCATCGTCTCATCGATTCGTGAGGACTGAGGAGTCGTCAGATATATCGGTAACGCCCAGTCCACATTCCTTCTCCGTTTTTGTTTCCTTCCAGTGGCATCTTCCTTTCTGCTCTGTTTTACTTTTCTCCTTTCGTTCGTCCCTCTTGATATTTGTAGTCTTTGTACTGACTCTGTTGATCTCAAGGCAACGAACTGGTCAGAAATAATAAAAGCCAAACCAAACCAAACGACTTCCTGCTTGTAGTCTCGTCGTAGTCGTGCTACATGTACCATGACTTCTACTGTAGTACTGGGCCGTCCTTGTTATAGAGTAGTAGCTGCTAGTACTTGCATTTGCTGGGCTGGCATGCATGCACGCTGCACATGAGTCATGACCGTAAAAGACGCGTTGTACCTCCGACCTCGACCTTGAGGGCTCGAAGTCAGGGGTGTCGTAAAAATACTTTTTTTGACGACACCCTACTCGAAGTGCATGCTCCGAATATGGGGAAGGGAGATTTTTTATGACTTGACCAGTCCAGGTTCGGTCGTGTCGATCGACACGCCAAGATTCAAGAAAGAAGTTTGAGCGTCAGACGAACCCGAAACAGCGTATTTCGACATTGCTATCTTTTCATTACTACATTAGCATGACGGGCTGAACTGCTCCGGACAAGTAGTTTGTGAGTGGAACATGATCGCGGAGGCAATTTAGTGTAGTCCTAGGAGATGCCAAAGCAGCGTGGCTTTGTCAATGCTTGTCGCTCTGTGAGCAGTGTGAATTTCTCACCGCATATGGCACTTTCAGTCTTTGCATTTCCGATAAATTTCGAGCGTCAACAATGGTCAATGTTCAAGCAGCAAGCGAGAACAAGTCAATAATGTTTGCTCGAACAAGGTGATAATATAATTGCAGGAGTAGTTGTTGTTCTGGTTGTTGGACTTCTGCACTGTGGTGGCTGAGTAACACAGCCTGTAATGCCGTGGCTTGTTGAGTGCGTCCCTTCCTGCTGAAGCTCGAGTTCCAGGCTGGTCCAATTGTCAAGTACTCTCCACTCAGTGTCGGCTGAGAGCAGAGACAAGCTTGCAATAAATTCGGAGATCTCCAGTGGCGAGTGTAAGCTGTGAGGTAGACTGGCAAAACGAAACTGGATGCCCAGGAGATTGCGGAGCGGTTTCGACCGCTGCTGTCGTTTGTCGATGAAGACAATGTCCTGCCATTGCTCGTGCACTGGATACAAGGTGAGACTGATGCTGCAATACACTGCAATACACTGCAATACATTGACGTGTGCATGGGCTACCATGTGTGAGCAAATCTTCTTTGCACACACAGTAGCAGAGGAAGTAAGTTTAGTTGCCCATCATACTAGTAGTGGTAGGTGTATGTATGTAACTGATAATTATGTATGTATGTATGTATGTACATTGTATGTATGTATGTATGTATGTATGTATGTATGTATGCATGCATGCATGTATGTATGTATGTATGTATGTATGTATGCATGTATGTATGTATGTATGTATGTATGTATGTATGTATGTATGTATGTATGTATGTATGTATGTATGCATGCATGTATGTATGTATGTATGTATGTATGCACAGTAGCAGAGGAAGTTGTCTATTACTAGGGGTGTAGCTGCAGTGTCTGCCCCAGAGCCGGGTCAGTCGGGTCAGCGACCCGGTTGCAGGGTACAGTAGGTATCGGTTATAGCGTGGGTGTTTGAAAAACGACTTTCTATTCTTATTTCCGATATTTCTTACACACGATAAATCAAGTGTGGCATATCATATGCATATGCGCAGGGGCAGGAAGATCATCGTACATGCAACGCAGTACTTCTGTGCATGTGGCTGGTCATAGTCCCATAGGCTTACATGTGGCTATGCAATATGAGTTGCATGGGCACAACAGTTGAATCTGCAGCACTACGACGCAACGAGAGTCACATCAGAACGGAATTGGACAGATGTTATTACTACAGGCGATACACTTTGTACTAATCTGGCATGTTTCGCTACACAAAGTCCATTCTTAGGACCGACATATTCTACTATGGGATAAAATTGCTTGTAAGAATAAATGTGCACTTGAAATCCATGTTATGATTATGAAAACATGAGGGTTCATTCTTGTAGGCAGTATATTCTTTTACACGACCACGCTATAACCGATACGCACTGTACTTGGACCCGTTTGGAAAAAGAACACCGGGTCACCTGTGACCCGGTTGGGATTATACAGTAGGTATCGGTTATCGCGTGGGTGTTTGAAAAACGACTTTCTATTCTTATTTCCGATACCGTATATTCTCTATTATAAGCACAGGTCTCCATTACTAGCACAGTCTCTAATACTAGCACACTGTGAGCACCTTTAGAAACATTATAAGCACAGACTCTATTATTAGCACGGTCTTGGTGGAATCAATGCTGCATGCATGATATCTAGCATGCATTTCTTCTCGTTCTGTATGGATTGTATTGTCATAATTGATTGAAAAAATAAAAGCACGGTCTCCAATATAAGCACAGGGTAGAGGGGTGTTGAAAAAATATAAGCACGGCGCTTATAATAGAGAATATACGGTATTTGTTACACGCGATAAATATAGTGTGACGTATCATATGCATGTGCGCATAGCCAGGAAGATCATTATACATGTACGTACAACGTAGTGCTGCTGTGTATGCGGTTGCTCGTACTTCCAAAGTAGTCCCATACTGGGCCATGGCCTGCATAGGTTCACTATGTGGCTGAGCAACATGAGTTACATGACCACAACAGATGCGCTTGCAGCATTATGATGCAATTCGAGTCGGTTCAGAACGGTATCGGGCAGATGTTATTACTACAGGCGATACACTTTGTACTAATATGGCATATTTTGCTACACAAAGTCCATTGTTAGGACCGATATATTCTATTACACGATAACATTGCTTGTAAGAATAAATATACACATGAAATCCATGTTATGATTATGAAAACATGAGAGTTCATTCTTGTAGGCAGTATATTCTTTTACACGGCCACGCTATAACCGACACGCACTGTACACCAGGGAGTCCTATTATGTACAGCTGGGAGTACTATTATGTACAGCAGGGAGTACTATTATGTACAGCAGGGAGTACTATTATGTACAGCAGGGAGTACTATTATGTACAGCAGGGAGTACTATTATGTACAGCAGGGAGTACTATTATGTACAGCAGGGAGTACTATTATGTACAGCAGGGAGTACTATTATGTACAGCAGGGAGTACTATTATGTACAGCAGGGAGTACTATTATGTACAGCAGGGAGTACTATTATGTACAGCTACCTGATGCACATGTACATGCAGTAGCTGCACTTGAACGTTTGAAGTACCCGGCTCTGACCCGGCTCTGACCCGGCTCTGACCCGGCTCTGACCCAGTTGGAAGAGGTGTGCCAGGTACACGTGTACCCGGTTGGTTTGAAATCCTAAAGCAGACACTGAGCTGGTCCCCCTTTTAGAGAGGGGGGGGGGGGGGGTGGCACGGCCGCATACATGTACATGCAGGGTTCTAGCCAAAGGGGGGGGGGGGGGGCAGCGCCCCCCCCTACTCCGTTTGCGCGCCCCCTGTGAAAAAGCGCCGCCCCCCTACTCATTTCCCGATTTTTGTGTTTTTTCACGCCATTCAACGAAAATACAGTCGATAGTCACTACTAGAGGGTTCATAAAGGCACATTTGTGAGGGGTGAAGTCGGGGGTTCACCCTGTATGTTACATTTTGCATGGCAAGACAATTTTGGACAATGGAAAAAATGGGTCATGGGGTAACTTTTTCCCATGCCCCCCCCCCCCCCCTACTATTGACCTGGCTAGAACCCTGTACATGTTTTTCGATTTTGACAGCATGTTACAAGGCGAGGACGCGTAGTGCTCCTGACTACAACCATAACCCGGTTGGCAGAGTCCCGGTCTTGCGGAGCTACATGTACTGGTTGGGGTAGAGAATCCTAGAGAATATAATAATTAAATAATCGACGCGGAGACAACAATTTTATAATAGCTATAAAGAGAACAAATTCTGCTGTCATCGCCACACTACAACAAAGTCATGAAGGTTTACCAAAATCGATTTTCTTGTCACAATCATCAGTGGGGGGGGGGACGAGGTTGCGGTTGGTGGAGACGAGGAATCGGATGGTGATTGTGATCGTAAGAAGTCTGCCGTTTTTCTTCATCTGTTGTCTCACCCTAAGTGTCTGCAGGTGTATGATGATTTTAGTTTTTCTGTTCTTTGTCGTGCACGGTACGCTAGTCAGTTGAAAGTACTTGAGGCTGTTTGTATTCGTTTGCATAAGCCTGATCTTTGTAAGCAGAAGAAACATGTAGTTGCGTTAAGATTGTTTTCGTAGGTGCACAGCATGATTGTTTGTCTCACTACATAGTTCTAGCGTTGCAATTAGTTCCTCACCCCTGTTGCACTTAGCTCTCACTTTACTTCTATTGTCTCACCTTCCCTCATTCTATTTTTAGCACTTTGTTTTGTTCTCGTAACACGTTATTGAATGTAGATAAATTATTGATTTGGCATGGTTATTCTTCAGTCACGGCTTTCCACTGATGATTGTGACAAGAAAATCGATTTTGGTAAACCTTCATGACTTTGTTGTAGTGTGGCGATGACAGCAGAATTTGTTCTCTTTATAGCTAATATAATAATTATTATTCTCTAATAATTATTATCATAGAATGCCCCTCCTTGAACTGGTAGAGCTACTGGTTTCAATAGAGTACTGTAATTTCACAGATTTTCGGTGTACTTTTATTTTCGGTACTTTCTGTGCATCTGTTTCGTACCTAAAGTTTCAATACACCGAACAAACACTAACACACATAATCCAATAGGGACCAGCTACTCTGTACCTAAAATTTCTGTTCGCCTAACCTGGCCTTTTGCCCTCGTACCGAAAATACCTAAAATTTCTGAAATTAGAGCACCGCCAAACATAGCATGTGAAGAAGAGGTTGGTGTGACTTCGGCGATAGGAGGGAAAGAATGTGTTGCTCCCTACATGGGAGCTCGCGGTTTTCCTGCCGACAAACATGCCCTAGGCTTAACAGTTACTGTAAAGCATTTCACTAAATAACGAGGAGACAATACAGTCTGTATCGGCTATAGCGTGCCCATCACTATAACCGATGCATCACTATATGCGATACGATCGATTTTTTTCGATCGACACATGAAAGGCAAGGAAATACTTCCAGCATGCCGTTTTGACAAATGAGCATGCTGCATAGTTGACAGTGCCCGCATTTCCATAAAAAATTCTGTTATGTACATGTACATGTGTCACTATCAAAATAAGCAACGTGAAGAAAGTAAAAAAAATTGGGCCTTTGATATTATTCATTGCATTCCCAACTCATCACAACCACGCGCTCTTCAGCCAAACCATACAGACACCAGCAACGACACTTCCGTTGAGAGATAATAACTATTGCTCCACGCCTCTAGACAGCTGTTTCGCTCCCTGTCGGAGCTCATCAGTAGAGGATGATAATGATGATAATGGAGGAATGATCAGTCTTATACACTAGAAATGGCGCAAGTGCGCGCTTTCCACATATATCAATGGCATATGCAAGCTGCTAAAATGGTAAAGTGTGAGAACAGCGATAAATAATCATAGTACGCGCTCATTGGTGGAGAAACACACCACACAAGCGACGAAAATCTTACGCGGAATACTGATGCCAATGGAAAGTACAGTCATGTATGTTGTTTATTATTATGATGTTGCAATGGTTTGGCTGAAGAGCGCGTGGTTGTGATGAGTTGGGAATGCAATGAATTGAAAATATGGCCGAAAGCTCTGTCGCAATATTTAGTTTTGATATTATTGCTACATGTATTTTAAAGTTATCACTATAGCCGATAATAATAATAATACTAGTGTGTTATGCATGTTTTGATTCTTTGTTGCCATCATAATATCCGATATATCATTACATCCGATAATATTGGTTATAGTGATATTTGTACTCGATAAAATACGTTTTGCTTTTGATATTTCGTACCAATATCACTGTAGCCGATAATTATGTTCTTATATCCGGTCACTCTATAGCCGATGCAGACTGTAGTCGTAGCAATGAATAAAACTAATTGTTAACTGGTTTGAGGGAAAGAGACAAACGGGAAAAGTCTGAAGAAAAAATTGACTAATTGTGCACTCATAACCATGTATAAAACAATTATTAAAATGAATAAATTCCCAAATGCTTTCTCATGACTATCATCAGTGGAATCACAAGCTGCTATTTGTGATTATTATTCTAGCTATATAACTGGTTGTTTTAGTGATTCTTACTATGTGACGATGATCCACTGATGATAGTCACGAGAAAACGTTCTGGAATATTTTCATTTTAATTATTTTTTTCTGTCCTCCTATTGTTTGTTTTAATTGTTTTATACATGTATATGATTGTACATGGTTATGAGTGCACAATTAGTTTTATTCATTTGCTATTTTTCTGTAAAGCAGCCAACTTTAACTTTTAGCAATGGTTTGTTTCCTCCGATTTTAGTGAAAAGAGTCTTTTGTTTAAGCCTTGGTGTGAAGGTTGTAGCCTGCAGGCACGGTGACCAGGTGACTGGTGACTGGTGACTGCTCACTCAACCGTGTTCGATTGGGAATAAGGGCCGGGCGCTGCATCGCAGCCTTCTCGGACCGAAACCAGGCGACTCAGGGGCCAACAGACTACAACATTATAGGCCAATCTCGTTCATCCGTGCTTTTAGTAAATGAGAATGGTGTAACTCCTCTGTGGTATTCGTCCACCATGACGGACATGACAGACATGACAGACCCATGACAGACCCATAGCTGGAGTTGCACACTCTTGGCGGTTGCTGTATCTCCCCATTTACAAGTCGCACATGATTTCAAGTCTCACCCAATGTTTACTTCAGAGACTACTAGTACTTGTAGTGATTGTTTCCATACATTCACATAACTAGAAATTCACACTCAATTGTAGGTCACACACCCTCCTTTGACCTCCTTTGACCTCCTTTGCCCTCCTTTGACCTTGAAGTTTAGTGCCAAAACTGGTGGGACTTATATCCGGGGAAATCCGGTGCTGTTAGTCAACAGATATTCGGCGCATGCAGTCAACTTCGCTAATAACGACTGCGGGTATAACGACAATTCGCGACGAACGACAGAATTTCCATGCCCAGAGCAAAGTCCCGTCTAACTGTAATACATATAATGAGACTTCGGGTATAACGACACTTCGCGACTAAGGACACTTTTCTGATGCCCCGCCGAGTGTCGTTATACGCAAAGTTGACTGTATTTTTTTTCGGCTATTTTCGGCCTGGTCATGTTTGGCCGAAAATTTGTTGCGGCCGAAGTTTTGTTTTTCAAGGTTCAGTGTGGCAGTGTATGCAGGCGGCAGCAGTAGAGGCCGAAAATGTGATGCGGCCGAAATGGGTTTTAGCCCTGGGAGGCCGAAATTTGAATGGGCCGAAAATGTGTAGACCTAGGGTGTGTTTGGTTGGTACGATCTAGAACAGGATCGAACAGCTGGTGCCCATGCAGCAGCCTCATGTCAACCAAACGGTACTCCAGAAACAGAGCACATTTTTGTGAAAAATGTGCCAAACTTGCCACTTAAACTTGGTGCATGCTTCAAAATGTGTATGGGTCACCATGGTTACTGTGTACGGTACAACAAGTCCAACCCGAAAGCATATGCATGTGATCATTCGGGACCAAAATCGATGTTCCCGTCAGGTTTCACTGTGAAAAAGTGAAACTGCTCGGTCTGCTCCGGCCTCGAGGCCGGAGCAAGCAGAACATGTTCTGGCCGACCCAGAACAGGTGCAGTCCCAACCAAACGAGCTGTTCTGGTGAATCCTGTTCTAGGTCGTACCAACCAAACGCAAGCCTTACAGTATGTACCTTTCGTCTGTTATCAGTCAAGTAACATTGGGTGGCAATGACCGGCCATCACCCAAACTGTCAGTGTGTTCAACGGTTTTGGTAGAGCAATGCTCGGTGTTCTCAAGAAGCTCTACTTGTACAGTGGATCCAGCCCCCCTCTGTTGTTTTCACATGTTTCGTTGAGGGCTTCCTTCTACGTCTGGATTGTTTCAAATGTTTATTCTCACAACGGCCTGTGGCCAATAATATAGAGACTGTTGTTGTTGTTGTTGTTGTTGTTGTTGTTGTTGTTGTTGTTGTTGGTGGTGGTGTTGGTGTTGGTGTTGTTGTTGTTGTTGTCATTCTCTAATTCTCTTCGTCATGGCTCCACCGCCCATAGACTTCCCATCTGTGTGTGTGTGTGTGTGTGTGTGTGTGTGTGTGTGTGTGTGTGTGTGTGTGTGTGTGTAATGCACGGACCATACAGACATGAGTGTGTGTAATGCACGGACCATACAGACATGACACGTCCGTAGTTCTTTCGGCAGAGAGTGCGTTATTTGACTGTGCGGCTCACTGACAGGAATCACTTGTGTGCGTTTGTGTCGGTGTGTCTTCACGTATGTGGACGCGCGCTTGTGGGCGTTTTGTGTGCGTGCACGCGCATGCACGTGCGTGTGTTTGCATGCGTTTGTTCTCTAATGCAGATGCGTGCGGGTTACTGTCGAACGTGTCTGGCTCTCACCCCGATCATTCCGCACAAGTGTCGGCGGATCGCCTACTCGAACGCATCAAAGACATCTCCAGCGTTGCTGCCAGTACGCGTCACACGCGACCAGCCGCCGAGGAAGGCCTACCACACTACTCCACGCCTCGCAAGCTCTCGGCACCGCAGTCATCGCCGGCATTCACGTACACAACCGGCTCCCTGAGCTCCGCCACGCCGCGTATGAGCGACAGGGAACAGAGAGATGCGGACGAACAGCAGGGTCAGCCAGCGACACAATGTATCGGTAAGCTCATCCAGCGCTTTGATGCTGGTCAGTCATCGGCCAACGCCACTGCGGCAGCGTCTAAGAAGCCTCTGGCGCGACTACCGGAGCTACGGTCGCGTGCACTGACGTCACCGTCTCAATTCCGCCCTCGCCCAAAGCCGTCGGACACGTCAGCTGCGATCACACCGGATCACGCTCCAACGTTCTGCGACTCGCACAAGCACGCTCCAACCTCGCCAGCGTCAGTGTTTGGAGCACCAGGCGATGACGCTATCTTGGGCATGGCGTCATCGCACATGCAAGCAGCAGGTGATGTCACCACCATGGGTATGACGTCACAGACACAAGCAGGCGCTGTCACCACCATGGATATTACGTCATCGCACATGCAAGTAGCAGCGGTGGCTGCAGCTACGGAGGCTGGTAATCTACCAAGCGGAACAGCACGTCGCAACGCCGTCCAGTGGCGATCAAAGTCACCACCGACCGATGCATCACCACCAGCTGCATCACCACCGGCTAAGCTAAGCGTACTGACACGTCAGGAAAGCGATGCTGCTGGCACCACTGACGAATCGCTTATGCAGTCACCACCAACCGACGCGAAAGCTAAGCGAAGCATGCTGCCGAGTCAGGAAAGCTTTGCTGCTGGCACGACCGACGAAGCCCCTACGCAGTCACCACCACCGACCAATGCCGCAGCTAAGCCAAGCATACCCGCGCGTCCGGACTGCTATGCTGGCTCCACTGACAAGTCGCTGTCGTCAGCGACCGACCTGTCAGCGAAGCCAATCGTTCCGGCGCGTCCAGACAGCTTTGCTGGCATCACTGGAAGTAGGCCGCATATCCAGGAGAGGAGAAAACGCACTAGCAACGGGCCGCCACGCGTCCTGCACTCCTATGTGAACGTATGCACATCATCATCGCGAAGCAGTGTGCCAGTTCAGTCGACTAGCACACCTCGTAATAACTACACTACAGTGGCACTGTCTAAGCGTGCCAGTTCGCTGGCTGCCAGCGCAGTGCAGCCCACGCTGTCTCTAAGAGCAGACGCGAGCGAAACACTACAGCAACGGACGGATGAGAGTAGACCGCAGCCCACGCCATCGGCAAGAACACACGATGCGAGCGGAGTGCAGCCTACATCATCGCCAGCAGTAGCAGCAGCAGAATGTAGCAGCAGAGTTCCGCCACAGGGGGAAGAAATGATATCAGTCACCACTGGCGATGATGCCACAGCGGCAGCAGCAGCACCACCACCAGGGTCGCCATTGGCAACAACAGCACCGCTGTCGCCGTTGACGCCGAAGTCCCCATCGTCTGGATGGCGTTCTCTGAACTTTTCGCTGGGCAAGCCAGGTTCATGTCCGATATCTGATTCTGTTACTACATACAGTATGCAGTCAGGTGACCAGCACCACCAGCAGCAGCATCACCAGCAGCAGCAGCAACAACAACTGCAGAAATCGCTACCAAAGTCGCCAACATCACCACGCAATCTGTATGAGACTACAGTCCCCGCGTTCAGACAGCACCGCATTATGTCAACCACGAGCTGCGGCAGTACGTCCCCGACGCCGACCTCAACCAGTGGCGGCGTTGCCACCACAAAGCCGCCAGTTCCACCGCGCTCGCCGCAACACAACGCCACGCCTCCCACTCCGGCGACTCTAACATCGGACGCTGCTGCTACTACTGACGATGACTCCGAGCTGCCACAGTTGGTGTCGCTAGACAAGCTGACAAACGCCACCAGTGCTCAGGCATCGCTGGCACAGTTATGGCCGAACAGCGGCAGGCGACAGCGTGGCAATAGGCGGCGTAACAGTAGCGACACATGCGCCCATTCTGTTTCCCCTGGTGGTCGGGATGCTGGTGATTTACGACCGGCTTCTCCCCGCTCTAAGGGCAGCGCCAGTGGTCCTAGCAGCACTGGTAGCAACCCCGACAACAATCCCCCGCAGCACGCCCTTTTGAAGAGCAGACACAGTGCCTCGATGCCGCAGATCATGCTGGCATCACCGCCGACAACCCGTTGTCCTAGCTTTGGCACGGTCAGCACAGTTGGCACGGTCGGCACAGTTGGCACGGTCGGCACAGTTGGCATGGCTCAGCAGCCCGCTAGAATCAGCCAAACTCAGGACGCGGCGCCGTTCAAGCCCAATTTGTCTGCTCACACAATTACCGAAACCACCGCCGACAACACCACGGAATCAACATCAGCATCAGCGTCAGCATTCACCGACCACTTAGAGCCACAGCAGCAGCAGCAGCAGCAGCTGTATAGTGACGATGACGTAGACAATGATAATGATGATGGTGTCAGTGGTAGTGATAGTGGTGGTGTTGGACCGAAACAGGTCGACTCTGAGAGCTCCCTACTCTCCACGATGTCCGGGGATGCGGAGTGCGAAGGCGGTAATTGGATATCCGAGGCCACTCGTTTATCTCTCACTCGGATCCTAGACGAAGTGGTCCTGGGCCAGCAGTCGCTGGTACAGAAAAAACGAGTAAATCCGTCGCCTCCGCCACCAAAGTCCAAGCCTTCGTTCATGAAGAGGGCGTTCACCCTGGAGGCTTCCCTAGAATCCAAGTTGTCTCAGCTGCGGCAAACGTCGTGTGGCAGACTATTGGACAGAGCCACGAGTGCGGACAGTGGCATGGTGCTCTCCTCAGTTGTGGGACCCGATGCGTTGAGCGCGTTGCCCCGTGATTCGGTGTCAACTACAGCGCCCGGCTCGCCCACGCCATTCCAGCGCATGCAACAGCAGCTGCCAAAGAGACGCAGGCCGTCTCCTCTCGACCTGGAGCGCAGAAACACAACCTCGAGGTCCTCCACCAAGGACTCTAGCTTATCGTCCAGCAAAACAGCCAGCAAAACGTCCAACAAGGAAGCGATCAAACCTGCCAGAAAGGAGAGCAGAAAGAACGCCAACAAGGAACCAAAAAGAACCTCCAGCAAAGAGGCCATCAAGACGTTTGCCAAGTCAGTGAGTAAGGCCACTAGCAAAGACGCCCTCAAGGCCACTAGCAAAGACGCCCTCAAGACTCTCAGCGAAGACGCCCTCAAGACTCTCAGCGAAGACGCCAGCAAAGATGTCAGCAAAGACGCCAGCAAAGATGTCAGCAAGGATGTCAGCAAAGACGTCAGCAAAGACGCCAGCAAAGATGTCAGCAAAGACGCCAGCAAAGATGTCAGCAAAGACGCCAGCAAAGATGTCAGCAAAGATGTCAGCAAAGATGTCAGCAAGACCATGACTAAAGAGGAAAGCAAAGCCACAAACAAAGCCACCAACAAAGCCACCAACATTGAATCTAACCAAGCCAACTTGAAGGACTTGAGCAAAACAGCTAGCAAAGATGCCAGCACGGACATGGACAAAGAGGAAAGCACAACCGACTTCAAGGACTACGGCAGAACGTCTCCCCGTGTCAGCGTCAGGTGCAGCAAGAGCAGAAACAGCAGCCCGGCCGTGGGCACTGGTCAGAGGGGTAGCGTGGCCGATGCTGTCATAGGTTCGCTCAAGAACCGCACACAGTCGTGCTCGATCTCGCGTTCCGCGAGGGTCTCGCACGCAGGGCGTCCACATCTGCGCTCCGCCGCTGACAAGAGCAATAAGCTGCCGGGGCTGGGCACGGCAACCGCACAGCCGTCGTCCAGTTTACCACAGCCCACCCTCATGGGTGCCGATGATCTGCTGGCTGACGAGGCGGTGTATGAAGCATGCACAACGCCGGCTCTGCTCAGCACCAGCACGGACAATCTCTTCGACGTCGGCAATCCGCTGGCTGCCGCCAGTGGCCCCACCGGTAGTGTACCGCTAGCACTATCCACACACTCTGCAGACGTGGCACTGGGTAGCTATGATCACTATCAGCTTGCCCCTGATCTAATGATCGGTATGAACAACAGTGGTGGGAGTGGTGGCAGTGGTAGTAGCACCAGTGCTAGCACTAGCACTAGCACTGGTGCTACTGGTGTAATGGGTGTTGCCGCCACTAGAAGCACTGAACCACATAATCTGCATGTGCATAGCAGCGGTGGTGGTGATGACTCCAGTGAATATTACCATCACATCAACATTGCCAGTCCCACAATGTCCAATGACTTGTCGCCCCCAAGTAACCATCCACTCAGCCCCATGTCACCCGTTAAACACCTCACTGCCGCCGATCATTCCCTGCTGCTACCGGCGACGGCGTCGTCATCGGTGACGAACTCTGCCGTGTACGAGGACTGCTCGTCGATGCTGAACAGCACGCTGCGTGCTCCGTCATCGTCACTCACTGGCTCTACCAATGGCAACACAGCCGACGGTACGCTGGTCTTGCAAACCGACGACAGCAACAGTACATATGAATATTGTAAGCCACTGGTCACTGACCCCCTTGCCAGCGAACACATCAGCCGATCTAGCACAGAGGGCTCGCTGACAGCAACCACTGCACCACTATCGTCGATGGCCAGCACCAACAACAGCAACAACCACAACAGCGGTGTCGCTGGCAGTAGCAAACCACCCTCGGCGCCTTTCCTAGCGCACAACAGCATGTCCTCGCAACCGCCCCACTTGACTGGCTCAGTAGTGCCCAGCTTCCTGCTCAAGCAGTCGCGCCAGTCCAGTGAAGAGCAGGAATATGACACGCTTAGTCACAAGTCAGCACCGGACTTTGCAGCATGCGCTGGTAGCAGTGGCGGCAGTCCTGGCAGTGCCGTTAATCTCTACGACCATCGGCGCGCCTCGCAGCCACCGCTGGGCGACTCGCTCGAGGACGAGTACGTGGACATGAAGACGGCACTCTCCTCCGACAGTCTACTCCGGGACACGGCCGTGGCGATGGCGGGCCCCGGTGGACGGCTTGGTATCGGTGTCGGCAGCTCGCGGAACCCCGGCTACTCGTCCATCCGCCCCAGCTTCTCCACGCCACTACAGACGTCCAGTGGGCAGCCGTTACACGGACCTGCAGCGACGTCCGCCGTCTCTTCCTACTCACTAACCGCCGCCGCCCCTCAGGTACTGGCCGGCGGTGCCGAGGAAGACGAGGACATTTACGCGGCCATGAGCTGCTCAGTCCTGGACACGCACACACCACTGACTAGCCGGCACCCGTCCGTTACACGGGAAGGTTCGCAGCAAGACTTGACCACCGTCTCATCGGCGGCCGTGACGGACGAGGAAGCGCACTCCGCTCCGCCACCGTCCACCCAAGTCGGTGACGGCGAGAACCTGATATACGAGGACATGGCGTCGCAGACATTCCGTCGCAAGTCGCAACGCAGGAACAGCAAGCGGCGATGCGTGGGTCCATCGCTCTCCGAGGAGACTATGCGTGAGGCCAACGCCGGGGCGTCCATCTACAACTTCAGCAGCCTGATGGTAGGTACGCTGCAGAAGAGAGCGACCACCAAGAAGTGGCAGACGCGCTTCTGCACGCTGGAGACGTACCGCTTCCTATACAGCTCCAAACCCAACGCCAAGGTCACCGAGCAGAATATCATCGCGCTCTTCGGATACCAACTGGAGCACACGATCGAGGTGCACCCGTACGCCTTCACCCTGGTTCATCCGACCAAACGCAGCTTCACGTTCAGGGCCTCAGACTACGATGACCTGTGCCACTGGTGTGCCGTGTTCAAACAGGTACTGGATGCGTGCGAGAAGTTTGCACACTGGACCAGCACTCCGTACGCGCCAGATCCCGGTAGATCGCTGAGCGGTTATGGCTCAGACGCGGAGTTGTGATCTCAGTAACCCACCCATGCTGTGCACTGTAGTAAACTCTGTCGTGTTCGCTCTCCCTGCTATCGTCTCTGCGTAACCGTGGCATGAAAATCTCCGTACCACGCCAGTTAGCGCGCTATCCTGGTGGAGAGGGAGCGGAACACCGGAGTGCATTGCGGTATCACTGGATTCCGTTCACTTTCTGCTGTGCTTGCTTGCTGGTGTGTGAGTGACGGTGTGTTGTGAGCGTGCGAATGTCCGGATGTCTGCACCTCTTGCCAGGAACAGCGACCACGTCTGGATCTTTGCACTGTCTTAGCTTGTAGATGCGGTCTGCGGTATGCTATGCATCATCAGGGCCTTGGCTGGCATTGTGAACATGGGCCTTGGCTGAGTTTGCTGCACTGCCACCCCATAACTCATATTGTATTCGGTGTTTCACACAGCACGTGATCCCGTGCGTTTTCCAACTGTTGTGTGACAGAAGCAGTGCTTGCAGTTTGTCTGTCCTAGCTCCACCTAACCTCTGACAGAGCGTGTTTTAAACAATTCAAGGCCAACAGTGCGTTTCAGGCGTTCCTTTTGCAAAACGAGGCTACACGAAGTATCAAGTTCTTTCGTTTTTTTCTCAAGAACCGAACACAAACATTACCAGACGGGAATGAACGTTTGTCTGTAATTGAGCAGGCCAAGCACGTGCTCTATTTTGCACACCTCTAACCTCAGGGTGTGGTCAGGGTGTGGTCAGCGCTGTTTGTCTTCTGCCACCGAAATACACTCCCTGCTAGCTCCCTGCTAGCTCCCTGCTAGCTCCCTGCTCTACTGCAGGCGCACAGATTTTTTTAACGAAATCTCTATATTTTCTTTGTTCGTTTTTCGACGTCCAGGCAGAAAATTCTAGTTTTTTCTAGTATTTTGATAACTGGTTTTCTGGCCCGTGTTTTCGTGGCGCCTTTTATTTCTTCCCCCTAACAGCAAGGAGCGCTTTGCGACACAACACCGTCGCAACGATATTTTGCTCAGGGCTCGCTGCGGGAGTTGACATTTTTACCTAACCTCTCTGTTTCGCTTCCGTAATTCCAGTTTTAATCACAAGTATTTTCATTTGTATCCATGCTGCTACAGTTTGACTTATTAACACAATCATGCTGTATATGTTTTACTTTTCAGCGCTTTTAATTTTTGCATTGCAATTTTTTTCTAACTCCGTATTCTGGTTGTTTTCCGGCGCACTGCCGTGGTAGTCTGGGTGCCTGTGTGCGTGTGTGTGTGTGTGTGTGTGTGTGCGTGTGCAAGTGTGCGCATGTGTGTGTGTGTGTGTGTGTGTCTGTATGTGCGTGTGTGTGCACTGTGTGTCTGTGTGTGCACTAGGCATAGCCCGATTTTGCTAGCAATTCTGCTAGCAAAATATCGAAGAATTTTGTTAGGGAATTTGCTGGCAAAACGGAGCAAAATATCGGTGTGTTCGCTGGAAATTGGAAGATTTTATACTTATACGGTGCACGTGACTCATATTCGCACAGTTTTACCAACTCACTTTTTCTCATTTTTGCTAACATGTGACCCACTTTCGGTCAGTTTTCCCACACGTGATACAAATTTGGGAGCAAAATATCGAGCGGCCTGGCAAAATGAAAGCAAAATATCGACTATGAGGCAGCAAAATTTTGCGGCAAAATATCGAAGCTTCCCTGGCAAAATCGGGCTTTGCCTAGTGTGCACTGTGTGTGCACTGTGTGTCTGTGTGTACGGGTTTGTACAACGGTGTGTGCGTGAGTGTGCAGCGGTGCATGCACAGACAGACCCATTGTCCAAAGTAACGTTACAGCTGCAATGCGCCCGATGGGAGCGAGTGCGCCCTCAGTGCCTGATGTCTACCCGTACCTGCGGCTACGCCTGTTGGAAGCATTGAGATGTCCGTCTTATTATGCCACATGGTACAGTACTTGTAAAACATGTAGTTCTAGGTGCATTAAAATTTCAGTGCCAGGGACCTGCCAGGTTTCGGGTGTATTAAATAAATGTAGAATTAGGCGACCAGCTTTCCCTTCACATACAGTGCATACTCTAGTGCCTTTTAGGTGTAATTTAAATTTAGGTGCCTGGTTTCTCTACCGAAATCACTGAAATTAAAGTTACACCGAAAATTGTATGTTCTACAGTATTGGATAGCTGTCTGTCTGTCAGTCTGCATGTGTATACTGCCTGTGTTGTACTCTACAAAGCGTAGTCGAGGGCTGGCAGCTCTGGTTCCAGCCGCAGAACACCCAGTGGTAATCATGGAGTAATAAATACCGGTAGTTTGCCACTCCCTGGTTGTAGCGCTCACTGGGCTGAGGTTTACAAGGTTTAGCAACTCAGAAACTCCCCCGCGCCGGCTATGTAGCTGGTTTGTCTTGCGTTCCAAGTAAGCAAAGCCCGATTCTGCCAGTGAAGCTCCGCTATTTTGCTGGCTCATCGTCGATATTTTGCTTTCATTTTGCCAGGCCACTCGATATTTTGCTCCAATGCGAGGCCATACTTGTATCATGTTGTGAAATGATGTGTTGTTTTCCCGTGTGATGGCATTCCCCAAACTGTCTCGTCTAGTCGCGTGCATGTGTGATATGAGCATGCGCGATGTTGTAGTCGAGAGTCCTTTTGTCAGTCTTCTTGTTCGTCTCTGTCAGAGTAGTCTACCTTTCCGTAATGTCCAAATATAAATAATGTAATACAAACCAGTCTTGTCCTTTGTGTCCTGCGTCCCGGGGAACGGAATGGCTGTGATTCCGTTACAACGTGGTGCCGAAACCCGGGACGCAGAGGATGAGTTAGTTTGTAATGAGTCTGTTCGTCGTCGTCAACAACGAAGTAACTGTTACTTTGAAGTAAACAGAGCGTGGGAGCGGAGGAGGTGAAGAGCTGGTGGGAGCGGAAGACGACGCGGAGAGGAGGCAGAGAAGGTGATGGACTAGAACAGTCACTGTGGACTGGAGCCTGAGACGGCAGGAACCGCGACGGAGCGTGTGGCCGTGGCTCGCCAGAGGACAGTGGACGAGTCTGGCGTCACCGACTGTGTGTCGTCCTTGTTGTTCGTCTTGTTGTCTTGCTCGCTGTGTTGTTCTCTCTCTGTTCAGTTCGTTGCTTGTTGCTGTGTTGTTTCAGTTTGGTTGTTGTCGGTCTGTTGCTCTTCTATTCGTTCTGTTGTTCTCCATTGGTTTTGTTGTAGATTTATTTGGTGCGGCTGTGCGCATGTTATTATTTTGTTGGAGCTTCGGCTCCCGTGGTTCGGTTGGCCTTGTGTGGCGTGGCCTGGTCGTAGAGCGTCGGCTCTAGGTTTTTGTTTGGCCCTGTTTCGTGGCCCGGATATTAGAGCGTCGGCTCTAGGTTGATGGTTGGTTTTCGTTTTTCTGTTCTGCTGTGGTTCCTTTTGCTGTTGTGCATGTGGAACGTGGTGTCGGTTTATTATTTTGTGGAATGTCATCAAGGGGGCAGGTGTTGTGAAATGATGTGTTGTTTTCCCGTGTGATGGCATTCCCCAAACTGTCTCGTCTAGTCGCGTGCATGTGTGATATGAGCATGCGCGATGTTGTAGTCGAGAGTCCTTTTGTCAGTCTTCTTGTTCGTCTCTGTCAGAGTAGTCTACCTTTCCGTAATGTCCAAATATAAATAATGTAATACAAACCAGTCTTGTCCTTTGTGTCCTGCGTCCCGGGGAACGGAATGGCTGTGATTCCGTTACAATCAGGTGTTGGAAAACCGACCGAAAGTGGATCACGTGTGAGCAAAATGAGAAAAAAGTGAGTCGTGTGTTGGCAAACTGTGCGAAAATGAGTCACATGCACTGTGTACCAGGTAAGTATAAAATCATCCAATTTCCAGCGAACATACCGATATTTTCGGCTCCGTTTTGCCAGCAAATTCTCCCGACAAAATTCTTCAATATTTTGCTCGCAGAATTGCTAGCAAAATCGGGCTGTGCCCAGTTCCAAGCCTACTTGCTAGTCCAACTGACTGGCAACGTGTGTGTGTGTGTGTTTGTGTGTGTGTGTGTGTGTGCGCGCGCGCGCGCGCGTGTGTGTGTGTGTGTGATGTGATGAGTTCATCCTGAAGTCTGACTCTCTCCCTTTCAAGTTCTATTTTACTACTCCCACTTGGTTTGTATGCTAGAGTCCATCAGAAGGGACTCTAGCCGTAATCACCAGCTGGTGCCTGTCCTAGCCGGCGGGGTATTGTGCAGTGATAGGAGTTTGAATGGAATTGAATCTCAATAAGATGATGATCAAGGTCTACTCTCCATCAAGACTTTCTTAGGGTTCCCTGAGAAAAAAGGCGATGACGGCTGTTGGGGGAATTCCCTAGTAGACTGTAGAGTAAGAATAAAAAATAAAAAATAAGAGCACTCTGATGTGCACATTACATCATGACACATAGTCATTACTATGTGCTGTCACTAAGAAATGAAAGATCAAGTAGTTTTTTCGTTGGTTCGAGGGAAAGATGCAAACGAGAAATAGTTTATATCAAGTGGTCTGTGTCAAAATTAATAACTCTGGAGTAGGTCACACAGGCATCAACAGCGTAACAGATGGCATGAATGCACGGTGCTACTGACACTGCATGCATGCATGGCTAGCTGAGCTTCACAGCACTGTACAACACTGTACACCAGGGCATGCCATGCATCTGCAGCACGCACTGCGCTGTACAGCAACGCATGCCATGCATCTGCAGCACGCACTGCGCTGTACAGCAACGCATGCCATGCATCTGCAGCACGCACTGCGCTGTACAGCAACGCATGCCATGCATCTGCAGCACGCACTGCGCTGTACAGCAACGCATGCCATGCATCTGCAGCACGCACTGCGCTGTACAGCATTGTACAGCATGCATGCATGCGTGCATTGTCATCATCGGCCAAAGGCCAAAGTACTTGCTATAGCGCTAGGCCAGCACACAACGTACCATGCCCGGCTCAGTGGTCAAGTACAGAGGTCCATATATGGGAAGGGAAAGAAGTGGCATTGCCCGTATACGAATGCAACGCAAGCAGAACGCACTGCGTGCACGGCCGTGTAGCCTTCGTCATCGCCTGGGCAACGGCTATGTTGGCATGGTTACAATGTGTCTGTGTGTGAGTGACTGTGATCACGGTGCCATACACATACACTCCAGAGGTAGAGCGCAATGCGGCGGGTGATGTTTGAGTATGCTTGCAATGCCCTGTAGCTGCTCACAGCCAATGGCCTCGGGGGAGAGTGTGCGGGGACTGAGCACTCTCGACGAGCACAGAAAGCAGCAACTGAGCTTGACAGCTTTCCACTAAGTCTAAGGTGAGTCAGAACTTGAATGAACTGGACAGGAAGCGACACAGCATAGAAGAACCCAACACAACACTGATGCTCACCTCTCATACATAGAGTCTCTCTCACTGCAAGGGGAACAATTACACCACTCCAGTGGTTAAAGGGGAAGTGCATCGATTTTTCGAGTAGGGTCCAGAAAAAAGACAATTTGATATCGGTTCAAATGGCATATCTCTCGCTTCCATACGATAAGCCAAACTTGCCAAATCGCCAATTGTATGCTCATGTTGCCATAGCGACCAGCGCAGTGATGACGTATGAAAGGCTTAGCTCCTCCACAGAGAAGGTCGATCACTGCAGAAATTGGTCATTTTCAATTTTCTTATTGTATTCACGATGTGAAAGAAGTGCTGTGTTCAATGCTGTTAGTGCCGTGAACTATTTATCGCCCTTCTCATGCATTTCCCTAGGCTGACTGTGCCTAGGAAATGGTTTCCTCCAGGACAAGATGCTTGGAATTCGCCATCTCTCCTGAGACATTTTCAGCAAACTTTCAAAAAAAAAAAAAATTCACGGTTCGCGTGAGACTCGGCTGGAAGCCGGGTTTTCCGCATCCGTAGGAACGCCACCACCCTTCAAGGATCAAGGCGCAGATGCAGCTCCTAAACTTTCAAACCTACGACATTATTTCATTCGTCAATCTCCACCACCCGTCGTCTCACCTGGCTTCAGAAGATGTTACGAGAGATAGGAGAGTCGCCAGGAAGCATCACATTCATCTTCAGGAAGTGGAAAGAGCAAGCGGCATGGTCCTTGGTTGGGGGAAATGCTGAACGTCTGATTTGTCCCAACCAAGATTTCAGCATTTTGTTCGTCACTATTTTCGCTTGTCTGCTGGTGTCTCCGCACTCCAGCTTTCTCCTGTCGGTGTCACGTCCCAGTACACAACCGAGAGGACTACTAACAAACAGTTCACTGCACTAACAGCATTGAACACAGCCCTTCTTTCATTTCGTGAATACAATAAACCAATTGAAAATGACCAAATTCTGCAGTGATCGACCTTCTCTGTGGTGGAGCTAAGCCTTTCGTACGTCATCACTGCGCTGGTCGCTATGGCAACGTGAGTATACAATTGGCCATTTGGCAAGTTTGGCTTATTGTATGGAAGCTAGAGATATGCCATTCGAACCAATATCAAATTGTCTTTCTTCTGGACCATACTCGAAAAATCGATGCACTTCCCCTTTAAACGTCCAATCCAGACCGCACACAAGCACAAGATCCTGACAACACATGCGCACAATCTCACCATGACAAACAGTGCTCCATGCACACTGAGGATGTGTGTGTGTGTGTGGGGGGGGGGGGGGGGGGCAAGACTACACTGGCTATCACAGAGGTCAAGTGACTGAGATTATTGCTGCAGTTGCATACCAGTAAGCATTGTGTGCAGTGGCAAACAATGAAAGTTAATTAACAGTGTTAGTTTTGTACAGAGATCTGAACGGCAAACCAACACACACACACACGCACACATGTACACGCACACACGCGCGTGCACACATACACCCCCCCCCACCCCCACACACACGTATACACATGCATGTCCCAACACATCACCACCCCACCTCTCAAGGTGGTTGGATTCTTTCACTCACCTAGGCTGGGCTATGGCTCGGCTGCTGTGGTGGCGGTGTCCGTGCTGGTTGCTGTGATGTTCTGATAAGCCGCTATCAGCTCACTCCAGCGTGTTGACTGGCGTGTGTACTCTTGAGAGTCCTGCGTGTGTTGTGTGTACGTATCCGTGTACACTGTGCTGCACGGTATGGGCGGTGGTGGGGTGGTGGGCAGAGCTATACACAAGCATATTATAGGTACACACACATACACACGTACAGAAACACCTTACAGGGGCGTCGGAAGGTAATTTAGGGTGGTAAGGTCAGCCATATGAGGTACAGTTTTACTTATTGGGAGGGCTGGCTCTGCTGAACATTTCCAAATTTAGAGTCCAAATCAGTGCTTTGGATTGATTCATGGGGTACCTGGGGGCAACAAGTGGTACGGTCATAACCATAGAGTGTCCGATGCCCCTGCCTTTTAAAACTAGTCATGCCCATCAGCAGAGGCGGTGATAGCAACCAGTAAACAATACAATCTCTCTTCCCACCGCTGCTGGGTGAACAATCGACTTTGCACAATACAAGTCATGATGCAAGCTGGCCCGCTGTGAGATCCCATCTCATGAACGGAGTAGCGTTCTAATGAACAGTGCTTGTCGATCAGTTATTGTCACACAGCCCATGCCGTTCATTGCGTGTCCTACTATGTAGGATGGCATAATAGCACCCGGCATTCTTTTATTCGTGAGTTAGATTTCACTGGTCAGTACGCTATAATTGAAGAAAGAAATCCAATACTGTAAGAGTTGAAAGTGTGATGAGTTTAGCGATTCAGTGCAAGATGTTCTCACTTTACAAAATTAATAATAGTGGGTAACGACCCTGCCACCACGCACCTGTCTTCTAATTCTCCAGTACAGAGGAGAGAAGGAATAACACACGTGTAACGTTTCTGGAGTCAACGATGAATTCTCGTCAAAACGCTAGACTTTGTGCCATGTTTAACTCTTAAAAGCTGTGTTCACAACTGGCGCGTGTACGCGTGAAACCACGCGTTTGTGCGTATTTTGCGTACGGAAACGCACCGAAATGGAAATTCCAACATGTTGGAATTTTCAGCGCGTATCAGGCGCGTACCAGCGTACATGCCAGTCACTTTGACTGGCGGGGTCAACAAATTAGTACTCGAAGGTGTCGCACGCGTTAAATACGACTTGGATTCCTGATTTTTGTGAAAGCCTGAGCGCGCATTTAGGCACGCATGAACCGCAAGCTTACTGCGTCCACGCGCCAGTTGTGAACACACCTTTACAGTGCAGTACAGTTTTAAATTGTTGCTCACCTTCACATATCCTGCCATCACCAGAGTACCCACTGCGACACGTACACAGGAACGACCCATTGGTGTTGATGCAGTGTGCCGTTGCGTTCACCGCGCAGTCGCTGCTGTTCCGCTCGCACTCGTCCACATCATGGCATTCAAACCCGTCGCCCTGGTAACCAGGAGAGCGGCAGAAGCAGGCGTACGCGCCCACGGTGTTCTGACACACGGCCAGCGCGCTGCAGTTGTGCAGCTGGGCACTCGTACTCGTAGCGCACTCGTTTATGTCCGAGCAGTTCGTGCCGGAGCCCTGGAACCCTCGGCTACACTCGCACTCAAAGCTCCCAAACGTATTCGTGCAGCTGGCCAGCGGATGGCAGTCATGTAGCGCTGCCACACACTCGTCCAGGTCCCGACACTCTGCCACACCATCACCATAGTAACCCAGCCGGCAGAAGCACAGGTGCGAGCCAACGCTGTTGACGCAGGTGGCGTTGTCATGGCAAACATGGCTGCCGGCCCGGCACTCGTCAAAATCGGAGCATTGCAGGCCGCTCCCCGTGTAACCACTTTCACACTGACATTGGAACGACCCAACGGTATTGGAGCAGTTGGCCTTGCTATCACACGGCAACTGAAGACATTCATCTTGATCTGTACATGCCGTGCCATTGCCGAAGAATCCTACACGACATTGACACACAAACGAACCCGGAGTGTCCGAGCAGTCGGCGTTCACGTCACAATCGTTCAGACTCGCGTCCGCACATTCGTCAACGTTGGAGCAGTGCGTCCCGTTACCTTGGAAACCTTCGGCACACACGCACACGTGCCCACCCAGCGTGTCCGTGCACCTGGCGTCGTCATGACAAACATGGCTGCCCGCGGAGCATTCGTTGACGTTCGCACACCGACGTCCGTCACCGCTATAGCCAGCCTGGCATGTGCACATGTAGCCGGGCGCCATGTTGCTGCACGTCGCCATGGCAGCGCAGTCGTGCACGCCCAGCGCACACTCGTCCACGTCCGAGCAGTGGGTCTGGTTGCCCTGGTAACCGGGCAGACAAGTGCAGAAGTACGAGCCAGCGGTGTTAGTACAATTGGCGAGCCCCGTGTGGCAATTGTTCAGCTGTGGCGTAGCACACTCATCCCTGTCCTGACAGGAGAAGGCATCGGCTTGCTGGTACCCAACAGGGCACAAACACTGGTAGTTAGCATAGGTGTTGTTGCACAGGGCCGGCGCTGTACACCGACTCTGTCCATTGTCACATTCGTCAATATCCACGCAGACCACTCCCGTGCCGGTTAGCCCCGAGCCACAGCGACAAGCGTGACTGCCGTTGAGATTTACGCAGACGGCGTCGGCATGACAACTGTTCAAGCTCTGGATTCCACACTCGTTGATATCTTCGCACGAGACGCCATTGCCGCTAAATCCCGCCGTGCAACCGCAGCCGAATCCACCGACAGTGTTCGTGCACACGGCGTGCTGGTGGCAATTGTGTGAGCCGAGTAGACACTCGTTCTCGTCCTGGCAGAGGAATCCATTACCGGAGAAGCCGCTATCACAGCTGCAGGTGAATGAGCCGACGGAGTTCTGGCATGTTGCAAACACGGAGCACGGTGACTGTATACACTCGTCATCATCCCGGCACGTAAACCCGTCGCCACGGTAACCAGAGTTACACAGACAGCTGTATGTGCCGTGGGCATTGTAGCAGGTGGCGTTGGCATCGCACCCGTGCAGCGCCCTCGTGTCATCCTCGCACTCGTTCAAATCATCACAGTGAGTCCCATTGCCTGTGTGTCCCGCCCTGCACACGCACACATGGCCGCCGAGGGAGTCCGTGCACGTGGCGTTGTCATGGCAATTATGGCTGCCGTCCCGACACTCGTCCACGTTGCCGCAGTGGACGCCGTCGCCCGCGTAACCATGGAGACAAGCACACCGGAAGCCGCCGGGGACGTCACTGCAGGTTGCCATGGCGCTGCAGTTGTGCGCCCCGGTGAGGCACTCGGCAATGTCGGCGCACTGAAGACCGTCTCCCGTCCAGCCGTCGCGGCACACACACTGATAGCTACCCGGAGTGTCCACACACGCCGCATTCGCATCACAGAGGTCCGCCGCCGTCATTGTCATAGCAGCAGTGCTGTCATTGGTTGACTGCTGCGAGGCGAGACATTCATCCACGTTAATACAGTAGGTACCATTGCCTGCGTAACCACGGAAACACGAGCAGTTGTACGCACCTATCGTATTCACACAGTGCGCCGACGGACTGCACTCAAATGTGCCTTCCAGACATTCGTTAGCATCGAAGCACACCTCGCCCAAACCGTAGAAGCCCAGCCGGCATTCACAGCGGTGCGAGCCATGCGTGTTGAAGCAGTTAGCGTCGGCATGACAACCGTGAAGCGATGCGTTTTCACACTCGTTCACGTCTTCGCAGACTGTTCCGTTGCCATGGAAACGAGGGTTGCACGCGCACGCGTAGGAGCCGATGACATCTGTGCATGTGGCATCATCGTGGCACACTGGCGGTGCTTGGAGACATTCGTTGATTTGCGCGCACGATGTGCCGTTCCCAGAGAATCCGACCTGGCAGGCACACGCGTAGCTACCGATGGTGTTTGCACACACGGCGTTCTGCGAACAGTCGTGCAGCGCACCACCGGTGCTTTCGCACTCGTCTTGATCGACACACGTGATGTTGTGTCTCACCGTGTCAGCATCACCACTGCTTGGGAGAGTTGTAGTGGGTATGTTCCCAGTAGTAAGCTCATAACCCTGCGAACACGCGCAGTCAAACGAACCCAGTGTGTTGTGACAGACGGTATTGGCGCCACAGAACACAGAAGTACATTCATTGATATCACTGCATTGCAATACACCATCACCGCCAAATCCCGCAAGACACGTACACTCGTAACTACCAGCCGTGTTCCGACACGACGCGTTGCCATGGCAAACACGGCTGCCGCCGGCGTCGACGGCGGCACACTCGTCCAGGTCCTGACAGTGGGTCCCGTTTCCGTGAAAACCTGCGTCGCAGGTGCAGTCCCAGGCGGGCGGTGAGTTTGTGCAGGTGGCATTGGGACTGCAATCGTCCAGTCCCAGTTGACAGTGCTGTACGGCCATGCATTGCAGACCATCACCTGTATACCCAGTGTTGCACTGACACACATACGATCCTGGATTGTTTGTACACGTCGCGGCAGACAAACTGCAACCGCCGTTCGCCACAGCACACTCGTCGGCATCCGAGCAGTTCGTCACACCGTCGCCACGGTAACCATTCAAACACTCACAACGGTAGGAGCCTATGATGTTCACGCAGTGTGAGTTAGCAGCCGTGCACTGCCCAGGCGTGAAGCATTCATTCTGGTCCTGACAAGTGAATCCATCTCCCTGGTAGCCAGGCAAGCACGAACAGAGAAAACTACCCTGTACGTTGGTGCAGACGGCATTCGTGTTGCACGTACCGGGCATGCATTCGTTTATATCTGTGCAGTTGTGAAAACCATCGCCGCTGTATCCACGGCGACAGCTGCAGGAGAACGCCCCCAGCAAGTTCGTGCAATCGGCCCCCCTAGCACATGCTAGTGTTTCAAACAATGGCGACGATGTCGATGGCATACACTCATTGATATCCTGACAGAGAAAGCCATTGCCTGTATAGCCAGAGTGGCAGGTGCATGTAAAACTACCGCCGCTGTTGGAACACGTGGCGTTGCTATCACATGGCGATGATGTCATGCATTCATCAATGTCCATACACTCTGTGCTGTTCGGCAAACGAGCCGATCCATCGCCATCGTCGCCGATACCGGACATTAATACTTCCACATACCCCGTCATGCACGTACAATTATACCCACCGACGGTGTTGAGACAGTCGGCGTTTGCCATACACGGCGGGGACGCGGACGACGACATCATACGGCATTCGTCGGTATCGTTGCACTCGGCTCCGTTACCATGGAAACCAGCCGAGCAAGTGCACCGGTACGAACCGGGCGCGTTACGACAGTTGGCATGGCGATGGCACGGCGAGAGTAGACATTCGTCAATATCCGAGCATGACCGCCGGCCATCACCGCTGTACCCTTGTGAGCATTGGCATGAATACGATGCGTACACGTTTGTGCATTCAGCATTAGCATGACACGCAGATACCTGTGTTGTACCATTGGCATCAGGCAGGGTGCTTACTCCTGTTGTACACTCGTCAACATCCGCGCAGCTGGAGCCGTTGCCCGTCAGGCCGGAGTTGCACGTGCACACGTACCCGCCGTCCGTGTTCGTGCACGCCGCGTCGCTATGGCACACGTGTGTGCGTGTCAGGCATTCGTTCTGATCAACGCACGCCGACGCGTTGGTAGCGTGCCGGTCGAAACCAGACGAGCACTGGCAGCGAAACGATCCGACAGAGTTGATGCATACGGCGTTGTCTTGACAACGGGCAGTCTGCCGATGACATTCATCAATGTCAGAACAAGCTAACCCACCGCCTTGAAATCCCGTGACACAGCTGCAGTTATAACTCCCCGGAGTATTGAGACAGGTGGCGTTGGCGTGACACGCATGCGTTCCCGCAGCACATTCGTCCCGATCCGCGCAGCCGAACCCGTCGCCGACGAACCCCGCCGCGCACACACAGTCGTAGCTGCCCGGCGGTTGGTTCAAGCAGAATGCGCGTGCATGGCACGCATGCGTGTTCAGCATGCATTCGTCAATCTCACTGCACTGCTGCCCAGTGCCCGTGTATCCTGCGATACACTGGCATGCATACGATCCAGGCGCATTGATGCAGACGGCGTTGCTATGACAATCATGGCTGCCGTCGGTTCCGTTGCCGCAGGACTCGGACGGGCTGCACTGGACACACTCGTTGGCATCCCGACACGTCGTACCGTTGCCAAGGTAACCAAAGTGGCAGCTGCACGAGTGCGACCCAGGAGGGCTGTTGGTGCAATCGGCGTTTGCGTCGCACAGGTGCGTGTTTATCGCACATTCGTTCAGATCCGTGCACTGAAAACCATCACCCGTATATCCGGCATTGCACGTGCACATATGGGCACCAGCGGTGTTCAGACATTCGGCATTGTCATGGCAACCGCCTCGGTCTGAGCCCACACATTCGTCGATGTCGGAGCAGTTCACACCGTCACCATGGTAACCAGGCAGGCAAGAGCAGCGATACGAACCGGCCGTGTTTGTGCACTGCCCGTTGTTGACATGGCAACGGGGTGGTGATCCGGGCGCGAGGTCGAGGCATTCATTGATGTCCGCACACAGCAGTCCATCACCTGTGAACCCACTGTAATGAGAGTGGTGGTCAGAGACATGGGGAACACAACAGAAAGCACTCAGCAATCCATCGCCTGTGAAACCACTGTTATGAGAGTGGTGGTCAGAGACATGGGGAACACAACAGAAAGCACTCAGCAGTCCATCGCCTGTGAAACCACTGGAATGAGAGTGGCCAGAGACATGGGAAAACAACAGAGAGCAGAGCAGAGTGCATGCAGTGCATCAGTGTGAGTTGAGAAACAATTCGTAATCTTTTCACAGTGCAAAAAACCCAGTGCTGCTCAATGAAATCCAGCCGCGTCATTCAAGAACGCGTCGGGCGTTGCGCAGCCCTAGACCTGCCAACACTGGGCTGCGAAATGGTGCAAGGCGCACACTTGAGTGACACGACTGGATTTCATTGAGCACTGAGCACTGTAGAGGGTGACACACTTACATGAGACACTTGCAGGAGAATGCTCCCTCCACATTGGAGCACACTGCGTCGCCATGGCAATTGTGCACACCAGTAGCACACTCGTCCGCGTCCTGACAGTTCGTTCCGTTACCAAGGAAACCAGTTATGCACATGCATTCGAAGTTTCCCGGCGTGTTTCGGCAGCTGTGAGCAGAGAACAGTGTACAAGCAAAGATACATCAGTGCACCTGCACATGCTTTCAACACCACAAGTGCAGCAGCGCTGCTGGTCAATTATACCCGATCCCATGAATACTGTAGTGTCGCGTATAAAAGCATGACCCGTATAAAAGCATGACCTGTATAGATGCATGACCAGCATAGAAGCATGACTCGAATAGAAGCTGATTTTTCTAAGCGCGCCGTGACACAGCAGCACGATTTGAATAGAAGCCGCTCTCTGCAAAGTACATATACACGTACATGCGTGGCAGTATGTACTGCACAGTGTAGACTGATGATGTTGACGTAGAAGCATGTTTTGAAGAGAAGCATAACTTGAATAGAAGCATGGTTCGAATCCCGGCTTAAACGGTCGTAAGCACCTGCTTTTATACGCGACATTACGGTATGGCATCTACTAGTATTTGAAATGTGCCCCATTGTACCCCGTGACACGTCCCTGACACGTCCCTGCTTACCTGGCAAACACATCACAGTCATGCATAGCCGTGGAGCACTCATCAACATCAGCACACTGTAAACCATCACCTGAGTAGCCTGGGGTGCAGGAACAACTGAATTGGGTGTGCACATACACATACACACACACACACACACACACACACACACACACACACACACACACACACACACACACACACACACACACACACACACACACACACACACACACATGTACGTACACACAAACACAAACGCACACACACACATGTACGTACACACAAACACACACACACACACGTACAAACACACACGCTGATGCACTCACTTGAGCTAGTGCATGGCTGTGCTACGGCTTTGCCATAGCATCTAATAGTAACCGATGATGTAATCTCGAAATCTCTATAGTCATTAGTCAGTGTACAGCACAGTGAGACCTTGAACACACATACAGTATGTATGCACTAGATATGCTGTAAATCGGTAATCAACGATTTTCTTGCGGATGGCAAGGGATCCGGATAAAAGAGGACTGGATAAGCGAGGTCTGACTGTACACCATTGTATGACAGTCTGACTTGAATAACAGCCGCGTGTTTGCATGCAAGCCGCGTGATGTGAACAGACTGCTGAATGCAGTTTACATCATTCATGATTACGAGGTCCCGAACTTTAACGTTACTGGACTGGAAAGTTCAGATAAGTAGTTCTCTGCTTGTTAGTTTCATCTTGGCACATTTTCCCACCTTGGTTGTAAATTTATCTAATTTCTTGTACCGTGACGTTTTTCATTTTTGTCGCTATGGCACTGATTTATTTTTTGTTTTCTCTACAAGTGCCCATGAGCTCTAATCTGGTTAGAAAGGAGGAGCAAAGCCGGTTACCGGTTAGTGAGACCTACCAACTACACTCAGTCTTGTAGTGCACTCGGCCGACCTGAAGACTCGGCTTCATAGTGAACTCGTAGAAGCACCAATATCATGGGAAAAGAGGAAATGGAGAAGGGCAGAAGAATGCTAGGTGGGACAAGCATGAATGAAAGCGAAACACAATGGCTTGTGTAAAAACTTACTAAATAGCACAAAGGTGAAATGACTCAATAGAGAGTTTTACTCTCCTCCTCACCCTACCTGTATGATCCAGCAGTGTTTGTACAGCTAGCGACCATGTGACAGTTATGACTGCCTGACGCACACTCATCCACATCCACACAGTCCGTGCCATTACCCGCATAGCCGCTAGCGCAGCGACAATCGTAGCCGCCCGCCGTGTTCAGGCAGGCAGCATTGGCATGGCAATCATGGCCGCCCTCCAAGCACTCGTCGTCGTCGACACACGATTGTCCATCCCCATTGTAACCACCAATGCAGGAACATGCATAGGAACCAGGGGTATTCATACAAATGGCATTGTTATGGCATGGGCTGCCACTGATGGGATTCAAACATTCGTTGACCTCCGTACATGATGTGCCATTGCCTGCAGAGAACGCACACATGGTGTGGTACCGGAGGCAAAGCCGAGTCAGAGCAAGCAATACTGGTAACCATGGCAGACAATTTGGCTAGCGCCGGTGACCTAATAACTGCAGCATTTACATACCGGGTAGGCTAACAGCATCGTGAACACCTGATTATACGGGGCTTGAGCCAGCAACCATTTGTTTACAAAGCACCGCACACACATGTGGTACGGTGGTGCCCCAGCACTTGCCTGTGTATCTTCCACATCAGTACACTCACCAACATATCCACGCCCACAGCTGCAGTCAAAGCCACCCGCAGTGTTGTTACACAGTGCGTTGCCATGACAATCATGGCCGCCCAACGCACACTCATCCAAATCCAGACACTCGGCGGCGGTTCCGGAGCGCACGCTCTCCGCGAAGCCTTGCGCGCAGACGCACGTGAATCCGCCTTCGTAGTTTACGCACATTGCGTTCTCCTGGCATGCATCACCATCGGCGTTGCTGCTGCTACCACCACCATTGCCACTGATCAAACATTCGTCCACGTCGTCGCAATCCGTACCGTTACCGGCGTAGCCAGGGAGACAGGAGCACGTGTACGCGCCCGGCTGGTTCTGGCAGGTGGCGTTGCTATGGCAATCATGGCCGCCGGTGGCACATTCGTCACGATCTTGGCACTGGACACCTAGAGTATAGGACAAGAACGGCAAGTACACACACAGCAGAATGCTGCTAGACATGATTCATACGGTATATAAAGGGCAATGGTGGAGGAGTTGGTTGGGACATGAGTAGGGCGGTCTGTCAATGCACAGCGGCGGTGTATGCTGGACTGGAGAATATCAACAAAAATAGCACCAAGCCACGTTGGTAGATTGCAGTGCAAAATGTCCACAGGTGCTTGACAGTATTCGACAAGTCAGAGACCATACCTTTTAGTTCATTACTATCTCAGAGAAGACCTCTCCGACCATTCCTCTCCGACCATTCCTCTCCGACCATTCCTCTCCGACCATTCCTCTCCGACCATACCTCTCCGACCATTCCTCTCCGACCATACCTCTCACACCATTCCTCTCCGACTATACCTCTCACACCATTCCTCTCCGACCATACCTCTCCGACCATTCCTCTCTGATCATACGTTTTAAATTTCAGCATAATCGAGGCATTTTCTGTGACAGACCCTATGCACAAGCCATATACTAGTACACTGAGTCTTGTTCCCCTCGCTCCCTTGATATTGTGTTCTCCACTTACCATTTCCCATGTAGCCCTCATTGCACGCACACAGGAAACCCGGCTCCGCGTCTGTACATGTAGCATTGTCATGGCAACCGTGCAGCATTTCCATGCACTCGTCAACGTTTGTGCAGTTGTCCTGGGCACTGTTGGCACGGTAACCTGCAGGGAAGAACCAGAGGAAGACAATATGTTGTTACTGTAAGTCTACATATTTTCGGCCCATTCAAAGTTCGTCCTCCCAGGGCTTAAACACATTTCGGCCGCATAGTACTTCGAGTAGTAGTATTCTTTTATTTATAGTGGAGAAACCAAAACAGGGGATGCCTAATAACAATGGACCGACTGTCGCATCAAATGTTCGGCCTCCCCGGGCTAAAACACATTTCGGCCGCATCACATTTTCAGCCTGTACTGCTGCCACCTGCATACACTGCCACAGGGGACATTGGAAAACAAATTTTCGGCCAAACATGACCAGGCCGAAAATAGCCGAAAATAAATATGCGCCGAATATTTGTAGACTTACGTAGTTGATTTGACTACCTTGTGAAGCATGTAGGACTGGCATAGGTATTACATGCCAACCACCTCGATTTGGCCGCTACCGTCCCCGATATCGAGGGTGGTAATAGGCACCCTAAGTACATTTGCCGCACACCTCACGGCTACAATTGTATACATTTTCATACCTAGGTACAGTATGCCATTGTGCCGATCTCAGGTTTGCAAAGGTTGGCAGGCATGTTGGTTGCAAGGTCCAACTTGCAAATGTGATGCGACTTCCTGCTAAGACTACTGCACTATCGAAACAGTCACGGCGATTTCGCCGAGAAGCGGGCCAGCCAAGGCTTGACCAGGCAAGCCAGGCAGATCAGCCAGTGCAGACAGACCAGATAGTGTCACCTGCAGAGCTTTATAGCACCTACACCCTCTTTGCAGTGTGCACTATGTTTTTGTTTTCGCTATTCTCTTCTATTCTGTGTAGGCATGTGCACTTTCATAAAAACAATTTAAAACAAAAACAGTCCGCACCTGCTTCACATGAGCAGAAGTAACTGCCGGGCATATTGTTACACAGTGCATTGACGGGGCACAGGGCGGTCGTGTCTGTACCACCACCACCACCGCCAGTACCAGTACCAGTATGTGCCTGCTGACACTCATCCACGTCCACACACTGCGTGACTCTGCCATCCCCACTGTACCCACTCCTGCACTGGCACGTGAAAGACCCGATGGTGTTCGTACAGTTGGCGTTCTGCTGACAGTCGTGCACGCCCACGGCACACTCATCCACATCTGCAGGTGTAGGAGGCATAAGACGGGTACAAGTACGTATGTAAGACCAGGACTGACGGAAGCAGTTTTTGATTGGTTCGGCCATACCCTATCCTTTCATACTTTGTGTACAATATGGCACCCCAGCCTTTCATACTGTGTGTACAATATGGCAGGTACATGTACACACATGACAGAGTTGGTCCGACCATGGCCTGACCAACCGGACCGGTTCCACCGGACCTGAAGACAGTGCTACACATTGGATAACATGCAGGTTGAGTAGTGAGCACCAGCATAACGGCACCACTCCTACTCCTACTAAGGTGAACAGTGAATCAACAGGCACATGCATGCCCACACCCTGCCGTGTCCAATATGCCCACACCCTGCCGTGTCCAATATGCCAACACCCTGCCGTGTCCAATATGCCAAGACTGGTTGCAGCGAAGTATCGGAAATTGAGACACTTTGATTTCCAGCTAGCATGTTGTTACATTCCTGCTTACTGTGCTACACACCAGGTGATTCTGTGTTATGCTTGATTAGTGACCACGTTACTTTCACGTACATACCACGCTAAAGATGAATGTGTGTACCAGGGTGTGCCAGGGGTGTACCCGGGGTGTACCAGGAGTGTACCAGGGGTGTACCAGGGGTGTACCAGGGTATACCAGGGGTGTACCAGGGGTGTGTCAGGGGTGTACCAGGGGTGCGTCAGGGGTGTACCCGGGGTGTACCCGAGGTGTACCAGGAGTGTACCCGGGGTGCACCCGGGGTAGAGTTCCTACAGCAAACCTCCACTATTGTATGAAGCGTGTACCTTGGCAGCAGCTTGAGCTGAACGAAATGTCGTCAATGGCAATGTCGTTTCCAGCTTGCAATGTGTTGGGTGCAATCACTGTGAACATCAGCTGTGTGCGTGTGCATGCAAACAAAGGGACAAACAAAAGAACAAACAAAATGACAGACGGACAGACAGACAGACAGACAGGGGTGCCCATATGAATACGGAAAAGTCAGTCTTTTTCCCTACCCATCATCACACTTCTGTGCATACGGAGTTACTCAGTACATGTGCAATAAAACCTGCCCTAACCGAACGCCCCGCTTGGTGCAGCGGAAACTGTCCTGATATGACAAGACTCCGCTTGATCCAGGGATGCACGTTCGATCCACTGCACCTTGGTGCACTGATGCAAATTTGTCTGATCAATACAGGATAGGATTCGGCTTGGTACAAGACCCGGCAAACACAAGTCATACTGTACCTGGAATGTCTGTCCGTTGAAAGCAGGCAAGGCCACTATTGCTGGCATCCACTGATCGCCCTGATGTCCCGTCTTGCTGAAGATAACACTGGTTGTCTGGTTCAGTGTGATACTGACGTTGAGTGTACCGATGTTGGAACCTTGCATGTGAAGGTAGAATATTAGACTGTAACGGAAAAAGGCAACAATGAGGGTAAGGAAAAACAAGATAAGCAAGTGACTGTAAAAGGCTTTCAACACACGCCAAACAGAGTACAGGTAATACCGTATTTGGGAGCTACAGCCATTATATAGTTGCAGAGTGGTTCAGCCAGAGCCAGCGGTTCAGCTGCACTAACTGATACACCTGTGTGCCACCATCACAACCGTGACATTCTTGTCACGTCATGCAATGAGATATTGCTAGTGCATGCTAGGCGTACACACACATGCACACACACATGCACACACACACACACACACACACACACACACACACACACACGCACATACACACACGCACACTCACGCACACACACACACGCACACACACACACACACACACACACACACACACACACACACGCACACACACACACACACACATACACAAACAAACACACACAAACACACACACACATTATAATTATCAAATACCTGCAAGGATTTGGTATATTGGCTGACGTTGTCATGTACATGGCTGACAGAAGACTGGCTTGTGTGTTGGCTGGCAAGTAATTACCCTCCGCATACATGAAGTGACCTACGGCAGAATCACAGTGCAAGAACATCACCATTGCAGTCATAAAATATCAACTCATCACCCATTGAGCTAAACAACAAAGAGGGGACGGGAGGGGAGTGGTATTGGATCTCTTTAGCCCGAGACGCGTAACTCATTGCCTAGGTCGTAGTCAGCATACTCCTGTCACCACACCAGCATATGGCCGGCAGAGGTACTACATAGTAAAAAAACCCTGTGAAGATGCGACTGGAGTTATGGTGGTATATGGTCACCACACAATATATGTGCGAGCTACACCCCTGAGCTCCAACTGTATCTACCATACAAAACAGGCAGATAGGCTGATGATTGCGGGTGTGGTTCACAAGCCAATCTCCACCTCAAACACATTGGACACTTCACCACAGATGTGTTCTTTATCATTCATCTCAACATTGTACCCGGCCCATTCACATCCTTGGCACACCTTCCCACAGTCGGGCCATCATGAACAGGGCGTACTCTGGACATCAGCAAGCCATTGGAAACGGAAATTCTGGCAACGAAGGAAACACAAGTCTTTTCACTTCACCTCCGATCCGCAATACACGATCCAAGCAATGGTTGTACGTGGTGTAGTCCAGGGCTGTTCGTGTGTCGCGGGTTGGAGGTGTAGTGAAAAGATGACAAAGCTGCAATGGAGCTTCAAAGTTCTTAAAAAGACGACACAAGTACAAGCGAAATTGATGACAAACTCACCAGCGCCAGTTTTCACCGTATTGTCAATGAGCGGTCCAGTCTGTGATGTCGGTGTGCTGCCGGACACACGGAACCAGTCGAACTGGTCGTTCTGCGACTGCGTGAAGTAGTTGTGATTCGCTTCAAATGTCTCCAGTCCGGCCAAGCACACTGTACATGTATGTGAACACAGGCATTCACAGAGTGAAGGTCCCCGGATTGAGGGAGAGAGAGAGTGAGAGAAAGCGGGCAGTTGTGAAGGAAAGCTGGAACCGGGACAGGGAGGGTTACCGATGTGAAGAGAAAAATCAATATTGTACAATGCGGCTGAGGAAGAGCTATAGGTAAAGTGCATGATTCAATTCAGCTCAACGTGCCCTGCTCGAGGACATTGTGATCACAGACAACAGCGAGTAACATTCATATATCAACTGTCAATCCTTACCATGTTGCAAGACTGGTGGAGGAATGACAGTTTCTGCGCAGCATATCAGAGGAAGAACAAAACACGACACAGTATTGAGATTTGAGACCTCCGTACCCTCGTGACAAAGCCTGTCAAATTTGAACATCCACGCCTGCCAGCAGTACGAGTCCACGCCTGCCAGCAGTACGAGTGTGTGAGCTGTGTATGGCCATGTACTAGAGGTGGAAGCTACTGGTGTGGACAGTGAAATTCGTTGAGAAGTCAAGCGGCCACGCCGGGTGCTGGCCTGGCAGCCGTGAGCACTGCTGGTCCATGTTTACAGTATGTACGTGAACTACAGTGCATGTACGCGCTAAGGCAGTAAGGTCGCCGACCCTGTTCATCCTATCACATTTCAATGTGCACGACAGTCGACAGTACTACCGTAGTGAACTGGTCTGAGAGCTACCCAGGATGTGTACCCATCATGCATAGAACAAGGAAGCGCTCGCGCTCTGAATGGTGGCACGGTTATTGTTGAAAGGGGTGTGATCAAAAGGTTTTTGATTTTTTGATATTACTATATTTTCAAGCATTCTCCCTGAGAGGCAAATAGATGCCTATCGAAGGGAGTCTCCTGGGGAAAGGAAGTGAAGGTAGCTGTTATGACTCGGAGAGGGAGGAGGGGACATCACAAGGTGAAATAATAAAACAGGTGAAAGAGCGCACAGTGCCCCGCTACGTCCCTTTGGTTAGAACCCTGCCGTGCATGCAATGCACTCAATGAACACAACTATCTGTTTATACGAATGACCTATGTTAACAGCAGCACTGCCGTTTCCTAAGAACTCTCCAACTCCACTGCAGCTCTTTCTTTGCACTTGTAAACACCTTCATTCCCTGAACAGGCTCTCAGCTGCACAAAACGAATGTGAGGACTGCTAATATTTCACCCTTTGGGCATCATCAGGACATGGCGAAATACTGGCAGCTGTTTCATTCCTCTTGTGCAGCTGAAAGTCTGTTCGGGGGGGGGGGGGGATGGAGGTGTTTACAAGCACTGTATAGACCCACAACAGCATGGTGTTCATTACCCAAGCAGCACTCTGATGTGAAGTAGAAGTCGTCGATTGCAATGTCTCCAAACTTTCCACTGCCGACGACACCATCGAAAGCCAGCTGGAGTGCAAGTAAAGAACCAGACGACAGAGTAGCATGGTTATATAATGCTACCACAACTAGTAATGTGTCAGTGACCAATGGATAAGACTCAGCAACTGTACAGTAGATACATGTGCATGCACAGCAGCCATGTTACCAATGACAGTGCATGTCTGGTGATGGTAGATCAGGGGGTTGCAAGACAGGAGGAGGAGGAGGAGGAGGAGGAGGAGGAGGAGGAGGGAGGAATAGGAGGAGGAGGGAGGAATAGGAGGAGGAGGGAGGAATAGGAGGAGGAGGAGGGAGGAGGAGGGAGGAGGAGGAGGAGGAGGAGGAGGAGGAGGAGGAGGGAGGGAGGGAAAGAGGGAGGAGGAGAAGAAGGAGGAGGGAGAAGGAGGAGAGAGAAGGAGGAGGGAGAGAAGGAGGAGTAGTAGTAGTAGGAGGAGGAGGAGGAGAAGGAGAAGGAAAAGGGAGAGAAGTATGAGGAAGAGGAAGATGAGGGAAGGAGGAGCAGGAGGAGGAGGAACACGTTGAATGATCTGTGAGAAGCCTGACGTCTACAAGAAATTGTAATGTCAGTATCACATCACCATTCTCTACACTACAGCATGTCCTGTACCTGGAATGTGTTGTTTGTGCTCATGGGTATCCTTGCTTCCAACCAATCACTGCCTTGCATTCCCTGCCGTGTCCACACTGTCTGTGATGTCATTGCTCCACTCGTCGATGACAGTTGTAGCAGACGCACGGTCAAGCTGCCAATCTACAAGCACCACAATCAGCAGACCCCTGTGATGTTCACCACATGTGTGGTTATTTTACGAATAAGGTGGAACAAAATAAATAAACAATAATTGCAACTCCGAGTTTCACGCCTTGAGGACTAAACCGTCATTGTATGGCTATTTTATGTGGCTTCTCAGATATACACTGGGTAAGTTCAGTTATGGAGGTTATGCGAGTAACATCATCTTGGTGAGTCATCGGAACCGCATATAGGCTCTATGTATACAGCGCGAGTCGGCGGTTTCCATGGTTTCGCTTGAGCTAGTGCATTTGCCAAAGCGTCTCAAATTGCATAACCGCTATACACTGAAGTAAGCCCAGTTACGCACTGGATTGGCTAAGCATTATTGTATGGTTGCGCTTGGTGAAATCCGATCCAAAGTGCAGAGCTGGCGCCTTGGACACGTTCTGATTACATTATTGTGTTTGTACATGTGTATGTCCGGCCGCATTCGTGCCACTTCCAGGCCGTCAGGGGCGTGCAAGTTGAGGACGATAAGTATGCGTGTTGGGTCGGATTTCACCAAGCACAACTGTACTTCAAGTATCACTAGTGCATGTATTCTTACCTCTGACCCAAACATGCTATACCAGAAGACTGCACTGCACAAGCCAGGACTGCTCGACGATGTCATGCGATATGACGGTGACATCATCGTTGCGCGATCACCAGGCTTCCGTGGCGATGATGACTCAATGTAGGCGAATATGCCGCCCGCCGTCCCCGTGGTGTGGTCATGTTTGGGCCCAGTGACCAGAGTCGACGTCTCTTCATTGGTGAGAAGCCAGTCGAATGTATCCAGTGGTGGTTGAGCTTGCGTGAAGCTATGCCAGCCATTTTGAAACGTGACTATCCTGGGATTGGTACAGCCTGAAGATTGTACACGACGCAGAGCAAGAAACAATACAACATAACCACTGATCGGGTTTACCTGCGCCTCCTGCGCCTCTCTTGTCCTGCTACCTCGTCAACTGATGGAAACCTGTGTTGAGCAGTTTTGAAGCCGACACCATGGCGTACATTGTAATTGGTTGCCAGATATGACTAGTGTCTGCTTCCATCGCCTTATCCAGATTTCATCTACAAGAAGCAAACGTGTGTGTGTGTGTGTGTGCATGCATGCGTGCGTGCGTCCGTGTGCGTGTGTGTGTGTGTGTGTGTGTGTGTGTGTGTGTGTGTGTGTGTGTGCGTGTGTGCGTGTGTGCGTGTGTGCGTGCATGTGGTGGAGGGTAGGAGGTGCATGGCGTTGTCATAGGTAGAGGCTAAGCCGTGGGGATAGAGGCTAAGCCGTGGGGATAGAGTTGCTGGACATTCAGCACATGACTGCCACATGATGTCGGCCATGTGGGTTGCAACTCCACTCAACCTCATGTGTCTATGGGTTACATGCTGTCGGCCATGTTGGTTCCAACTCCACTCAATTCCTGCATCCATGGGTTACTTAACACAGTCTACATGTGAACAGACAGGAATTGTGTTCCACTGCGGGGACCTTACCATTCGGTATATTATTGCAGACGCACAGACGTGTCGAAGTTCCCACCGGTGAAACGGTGCAGTTCGAACAACACACGTCTGTCCCACCTATCCGATGTACTGCCCCCGGCGATGTGGACAATGCGCACCCTCCGCACACCGACCCTACTAGACACGGTGTTAGTGCAGCGTTCACTACTGCACAACACAGCATGGACACAACACGCACACAACACAGCATGCACACAACACGCACACAACACAGCATGGACACAACACGCACACAACACAGCATGGACACAACACGCACACAACACGCACACAACACGTACACAATATGGACACGGTATGAACACAGCATGGGCACAGTATGAACACAGCATGGGCATAGCATCATGGGCATAGCATTGGCATAGCATGGACACAACATGGGCATAGCATCATGGGCACAACATGGACACAACATGGACACAACATGGACACAATGAATGAAACAAAAACAGCAGAACAGATAACAAGAGTCAGAGCTTTGTAACATGGAAATTGTGGGCACAAGTTATGCGATCGAGTCCACCAACTAAACCAGATTTTGAACAGTCAGACATGCACAATCTAGCACAAAACTGACAAGGAGTACTGAGACATTCCACGGCAAGAAACCCCCATTCCATGCTACAATTTTTTTCCTTGGCTCACCATCTGAGTTCGTAAAGAGTCAGATCGTCCTTCTTTACAGGAAAAGGGAGCTGAGAAAGTCAAATGTCAGGTAAAGCTGCATAGGATACTCAGGTCTCCCACCTTTTTTGCCAGTGTGTGCGTGTGTGTGTGTGTGTGTGTGTGTGTGTGTGTGTGTGTGTGTGTGTGTGTGTGTGTGTGTGTGTGTTGGTACATGGTGTGTGTATGTATGTGTGTGTATGTATGTGTGTGTATGTGTGTGTGGGGGGAGGGGGGAGAGGTGCGTGCGTGTGTGTGTATGTGTGTGTGTGTGTGTGTGTGTGTGTGTGTGTGTGTGTGTGTGTGTGTGTGTGTGTGTGTGTGTGTGTGTGTGTGTGTGTGTGTGTGTGTGTGTGTGTGTGTGTGTGTGTGTGTGTGTACCAGGCTAAAAATAGTGGCGGTCAATTCATCAGCCTTGCAAGCAGTTGAATGGTGTAATCCCAGCACAAGTTGCTATGTCTAACATAGCTGTTCAATATCCTCGCTTCCGCGATGGGCAGGTCTGAGGTCTGAGGTGTGTGTATTATTATTATTATTCTTATGAAATGACCCAAAGCCAGGCAATATGCCTATCGAGGGTATAATGTGTTCATGAGTGGTACCAGCTTCAGAATACTAGTATATGTACTGCTAGTGTTCTCTGTTGGCAGAGCATACAGTACGGTACTTATGCCAATACAAAATGAAGCCTGTCAGGGATGTCTCTGCGTGTCTTATGCAATCATGTTGTGTAGCCACCAACCTAAACACACACACATACCATGCATAGAGATTAGGTCGGTCAAAAACGGATCGAACAAAGGGAAGGTTGATCATCTCAGGGCGAGGAAATTGCATGAGTTGACGAACCATCCAGATTTTGCAGGAGCTTTCAAAACGTTATGTAGGAGCTCTTCGGAACATGCTAATGAGTATTGTCCTTCTGTAAAGTGTAATGATCATGTTCATCATACCCATACCTTGTTGAACGCTGAATAATACACCGACAAGTAACCAGATGTAGTTCAACGAGCCGCTGCGACGAGTAGCAGTGCTGTCCGCGTCCATTGCTTACTGCTCTGCGCTGCACTGTCTGTAGACTCTACCAGTCTCGATCCTCCTCGTGCTGGGTACAATCGCTAGAGAAACCCGATCCCGTCCCGACGAAAACTAAGCGCATAGCGCGCCTTTGACTCAAGCGAGCGCTAGCACGGATCAGCTATCCCGGTTCACTACGTAGTCCATGGACCAGATGGACCAGATGGACTTTGGACTCTCTGTAGCCTTCTGGTTCAAAGATTCATGAAGCAAGAAATTCGCCAACAAACTGGCAAAGAAGTAATAATTGAGCCCTGTGATGAGAAAAGGGACCAAATGGCTTTTTTTACTCAAACCGAGCTCTAAACATCAGAAGAAAGCTGGTTTCATGCAGAAAACGATGCAAAAAACAGAGCTGAATTATCTCAATTTTTGACAAAGCTACGGTCAATCTTCTAAGTGTCTTTTCAGATATTTTGCAGCCATACGAAGAACAGGATCATACAAAACTTTGAGGACTTATTGACACGAAATGTATGGGAATGTTTGAGCCTGCACACAGCCTGTAGTTACTGGCAATTGACACTGACATTTGACTGGGCCAAGAGGAAAAACTGTACAAGGTAATACTGGCATGCCACCACCATCAAACACACAAAGATGGAGCAAGTCCACGTCCCGAGACATTAAAAATACAGCAAGAAAATATACAACCAGCAGCAATTTGGCATTAAAAAAGTTTTGAAGTAGCCGTGAGGTAGCAGAGTCTGTTACATTACTCCTCCACCGGAGAAGCACTAGTAGCGGCACTAGCAGACACATGCACAGCTGGCTTCGGGCAGAGCTCATCCTGGAATTGGTCAGGCACATGCGGGCGGATCTGATTATAGAGGTATTGCTGTCGTTGTTCGGATAGTCCTGGTGCTTGAAGGACTGGGGGCATCCCTGCGGCAACAAGGGCGTCTTTAGACGTGGTGAGCACCTCCACATCGCTGTAGGTGTCTTCCAGGGATGCCTTGACACTGACAATACCGGGCTTAGCTGCGTCGAATACCATGTGCTGAACCTTGCGGATTCCTTTCACTGGCTTGAAATGTTGAGCCAGAAATGTATCCCAGGCTCTCCATTCCAAACCAGATCCAGGAATCAGCTGGGCCTTGTTGCAAGATGCGCTTTCATTGACCACTGCCACCAGCTGCCCCATGGTGTAGCAGTCGCTACGCCGGAACTTTTGCTTCAGCAGGCCAAAGCAGCCATCGACAAGGCACCGGGTATGGCCAGTCAACATGAAGGACAGTTCAATACGGTCATGCAGTCCCATAATCACCCTCCAGCAGAAATACGCTACGATAGTCCGATTCTTGTTCTGGCCTGCGCAATTATCACAGTGCAGGAGGCAGCCTTTCTCATGTAGTCCATAGAATGAAAAAAAATGGTGCAGCATGGAGGCCACCGCGTTCGGACCATGACTCGACTTGCCGTCTTGCCCGATGGTGTCTGACTCGTCGATCAGGTAGTTGACCTGCTGAGGCACAGCTTCATTGTTCACACCGAATATTTGCACCTTACGAGGTGCCTTAAAGTACAGGGGGCCCTCCTGACGTGCCGACTGCGGCAGTGCCACGTTCTGGGCAAAGTCGAACGTGTAGTGCGGGTGGTGCAGATCGCGTGAACATGGCTGGCTCAGCTGCTGCTGGATAGTCGTACATGCATCAAGCTCTGCCCGGGCCTGTAGTGTCGCTTGACGGTAGTAGTCACGCTCTGCTTGCGTTGCGTCGAGGTGTTGTTTGAATTCATCGCATGCTGCACTCTTCTCGGGTTCCGTCCGTGCTTCCTGAATCCGTCGGCGGAAATTCTCACAGCGCGAGCATACGTCAGTGCGCGGCGTCATAATCTGAATGTTTGGCAAGCAGTCAAGCCAAACGGACCGAAATGTGTGGTAGCCCACAGCCCTGATGCCTGATTCCTCTAATGAGGTCACATAGCACTTGTGGATGGATTTAACCGTTGATGACGCTGGCAGATAAGTTGGCGGTGCTCCAGCTCGCCCTCGAGTCGGTGCTGGCTGTGGTATGCCGAAGCGCTCAGTGTAAGTTTTTAGAAATTGCACAACGGCAGACACAGTATCGTACGACAAAGCATGTTTAGGCTTCCTGCCGACATTGCCATGGGTCCGTGGCACCAGCCCATTCTCCTCCAAATGTTTTTTCAGATTTTTTAGTTGCTTTGATCCGATGTTGTACAGCAATCGAAATCCACCGGCGCAAACCTCTTCGCCTTGGTAAGTATACCGATGCCATTGCTTCTTTCTCTTCTTCCCATGAGTCGTGGTGTCAGTAGAGTACTTGGATGACTCAAGAAGGCCCAAAATCACCAGCTCCTTCTCCCCTTTCTCCATTTCTGCGATGTTGAGCTGCAGCAGTCGAACATCTTCTGCATCAAACTTGTCCAAGCACTTTTTGCTGCACCCGCAGTTCACAGTTATTTCTTCCGCAGCTGCCGCCTCAGCAAGCGCTGGTTCTGCAGCCTGCGCTGGTTCTGCAGCCTGCGCTGACTCTTCGCCGAGGTATGATGCTGCAACTGCATCCACATCGAGTGACTCGTCCAAAAAGTGGTCTTCCCGATCATCGCCGTCTTCATCAGAGGAAGAGGATAGTTCTGACAACTCCAACGACAACTCCCTGTCAGAATCATCACTTGACTCGGCAATCTCCACTTCGATGCCCAAAAACTCTCTATCTAGCTCTGTCAAAGCTTCCCTGAGACTCGCATCAACGGTAAATGTTGGGATCGACATGTTTGCAAACAAATTTCTAAGCAGAACGAGAAAGAAACATCTGAAGTGATGTTCAAAGATTTTCTCTTTGCAACGGCAGCTCGCGGACGCGTAGCCTGCATGTCACGTACACCGTTCTCTGGCATGCGTGGGCCGATTGTGACGATCGAAATACGTACAGAAAGGCCACCAAAGCAGCTCTGCACTCGTTTTTACCGCATTGAATCACACAAAACCCTTCTAAAGTTATTCCAAATCCAAGCGAATGCAGTCGAAAATCAGCGATTTTTCAAGTGCCCACTTTCAAACGCGTTGTACTCAACTGTCAGCTGACAGCCATTTGGTCCCTTTTCTCATCACAGGGCTCAATTATTAGTTTGGAAATTTATACAGTAGTCTACAAGTTTGTTACGGTACTACAGGGTTCGTCGAAACTAGCCGTGGATTACAACGACACGCTGTGAACAGAAAGCGCCGGCAGCTTCATTTCGCTATGGCAGATGAAGGTTGGTTACCACAACGCTCAAGCAACCATTCGGAATAGTTTATTCCTCAGTTTCACAAATGAATGCTCATACTTGTCAGCATGCACGCTGGAGGTTGAAATTATCGGAAATGCCGAAAAATTCCTTGCCGACTCGAAGCTTGAAATTGGAACTGACCTGCATGCCGTTATGCAGTGCGCATGGTGCTCATGGTGACGGGCGATCAGATGGCTGAGATTATAGTATGTGTCATCTTTATCGGGGAGGATTGAAGGGGCGTCAAAATATCACCTCCACGTGCGTTCAACTGTAACAAATGCACACGATGTAGTCTTTTTGACTTGTTGAACAAGCGGTCAACACCTTCGTGGCAGTAGTCCTCGCGAAGAGCAGATTCTGATTTCTGTAGCTTGTGCGAGTAAAAGTGTCAAAACCTGGCTGGATCGCATGTAATGTGGAGTAGTCCCGCAGTTCTGGAATGGTGTGTAGATCTATGTCATGTGTGTTTCGCTCAGTGAATACAGGGTAGAGTCTACCTGGACTACCACTGTGTGAGATGACTGTTGGGTACTTGCTGTGGGCCGGGCTGGTGCAGATTACACCAACATAATTGTAGGTTGGTTGCCATAATTTTTTTATGACGTGCCAAGATCACTTGACAAGCACCTGCCAATACTGGCACTTGAAGTGTCACTCACCTACATGGTGGCAACTGAAATCCGACCCCTGAGCGGTGCGTTCACATTCTAGCGATCTCTATTTCGTAGTGTTACTTACAATCCCGTGTACGTGTTGGGTCTTTGCGATGTGAGCACACCGCTCAGGGGTTGGATTTCACGGTTACCAGCACTGCACATGTAGGTCACATGCACAGACACAGCGAATGGTACTTTACCAGACAGAGACAGAGAGGGAGAGCATACAGTGCTGCTCAATGAGATCCAATCGAGTGAGTCAAATACTGGCGCTCAGGGCGCTCTGCAGCCATAGACCTGTGAGAGCTACATGGGCTGCGAAACAGTGCACGGCGGCAACCTAGCTTGACTTACGCAGTCGGATTTCCTCGAGCAGCACTGTGCAACCGACAGACCATAGAGACGCCAGGGCACACCACGGCAGAGCCCCCCCCCCCCCTCCCAGAACAAGAATGTTTTGTAAAACTGAACAATGGCAGTCAGGAAATGAGGAAAAGTGGTCGTTAAAACCACGTGGTCTTTAGAACCAGGTCCCACAGTGTCGGTGTAGAACTGTCGGTGCATGGATCAACAGTCGTTAGGAGCAGGTGGTCGCTAAACCCAGAGGTCGCTTACACCAGGTTTTACGTATAGAATATAAGCTGGGTCCCGAGTGTTTACGGGAAATAAAAACCCTCGGCAAAAAACCGAGGCAAAGCCGAGGTTTTTTGCCGAAGCTAATATTCTATTTAAATTATAGCATAAAAAACCTCCAGTCATTTCCCTAAAAAGTGGTTTTTTTATAGCACCAGGTTTTTTATACAGTTTTTTTTACAGCACCAGGTTTTTTTATATTAGTGATTACCAGAAATATTACCTGCTTTTTAGAACACGCAAATGACTGGAGGTTTTTATACTATAATTTAATGTGCATTATTGGCTTGCACCGGGGCTGCCCTCAGGTTACAGCACCACAACGCTTCGTGCAACAGAGAAGAACATTAAAAATTTTTTAATAATGTCACACATGTACGCGCATGTGATACCCGGGGCTGGTAAAAAAGAGAGAGAAAACTCAGGAGCACTGCCACATAACAGAAAGGGAAGGAAGATGATTGTGGTCTGCTGCGCAACGGACCTTTAATATGGTGATTCTCATTTTTCGGGGCTAGCAATAAGCAGTGTGGCTTGCTTGCATGATGCTGCCTTCAAAGGCTTCATTACATCCACACAGACTCGGATGGAGAGCCAATGATCAATATAGTAAAGAAAAGGACGAAGGAACTGCAAGTTATGCTATGATGTCCACTAACACCACCAGTTACTTGACAATCAGCTCATGCGATAGCATTGCACAAAATTGACCGAAGGTACTGATGTTCTACAACTGACTGGCTATAAGCTCTAGCAACTGCCAGTAATTTGTAGTTCCTTGGTCCTTTTCTTTACTATAAATACATCCACACAGTGCGCAATATCAAACACCACCCACACCAGCCCGCTGCCTGGAAACCAGCTACATTGCAATTCCATTCCGTGCTGAACTTCAGCTAGTGCATGCAACCAGAATTTAGAGATTGCGCTGGTACTCGAATGAAGTAAAGGCCCAAAGGGGGCAAGACTGGTTATGCTGATGACAGATCTGAGATACTGTAGTGAGTTGGATGGCAGGAGTACAGCTGGGGCGGGATGCAGGGAAATTGCATCCTGAAGTCTGTGCGCCACACATTCATCCATAGTCCCAGTTGCACATTTTTGCTTACGGACTCCCGCTGTGAATTATATTGGCCGGGAATAGGAACCGCCAGCTCTCGATTGGAAATAAACTGCATGTGCACACACATACACACACCAACTGCCCCCCTCCACACGCACACACACACACATGCACACACACATGCACACACATATGCACACACATATGCACACACACACACACACACACACACACACACACACACACACACACACACACACACACACACACACACACACACACACACACACACACACTAACTTACTAATTCAGGCAGCCCAACATTACCGCTCCACACATAACATAACACCACAGTTCAGAACATGGATGACCACAACACCCATACAAACAACCAAGGATGAATACGGCACGAGAACTAAACAATCAAAACAACCTATACCAGCAGGGTCCAAAACAGCGCGGTCATTCAAGACCGAAGAGATGTTTTTATAAGAAGAAAGCTAAATGTAGAAATCAAAAAGATGCCTAGAGTAGAGAAAAGGCTAGGAGAGGATCACTGAAAAAAATAGCTTTGATAAATAGTAGGAATTGTCATGGTGATGGCCAATCGGATGGGTCAAAGGTTGACGGACGGCTACAGGTCAGGGTCACATGATGGGAGAAAATAAATAGCATGAGAAGAGACGGAAATAGCACGGCGATGTCCGCAAACCATGTCAAATATATACTACGTAGAAACACACACACACACACGCACGCACACACAGGGGAGTGGCTGGACTAAGACCCTCTGAGCGTAAGGAAATGGTTAAATACTTAAACTTCCTAGGAGTATGATCTCGCACAGCATTGCGATGTTCGCCTCGTACGGCCCTTGCCTGCCTCATACGGCAAACAAAAACAAAACACAGCCAAATGCGGTCTCAAACGGAGGTGAATATGTTCTACACAACGGCAAAGAGCATTGCAATCGGCACCTGTGGATAATGTACGGATCCGGTGCACCTCATTATCAGCAATGGGGGGGGGGCAAAATACTATAGTGGGGTACAAACATAGCATTACATCAGAGACCACCATACACTGGCTGCTACATCACACTTTACAAACATAGCATTACATCAGAGACCACCATACACTGGCTGCTACATTACACTTTACAAACATAGCATTACATCAGAGACCACCATACACTGGCTGCTACATTACACTTTACTACTTTACCAAGTATGGCTATTATAATTACTACTAGTGTGAGTTCAGGTACTCGTACACACTGTTTTTGGTATCTAGCTGCATACAGCCTAGTAGGCCACAGATTGGCAGCTCCAACGACCGATGATGATGGCGGCTTGCAACAATGGTGTTGGTTTGGAACAACACGGATGGCATGGACAGCGCGGAGAGATACAGACGAAAACAGAGGCCCACAGTCAGCCATGGCAGGTAGTCGAGGACAGCATATCAATGACCGTCAGCATGAGCAGTGTCAGCAGTATCAGCAGCGGGTGAAAAATTAGCAAGTACCAGCCACGTACATGCAGCCAGTCAGGAACATCGGAGCAAACGGCCACGGTACGCCTCACTCGGTATCGCGACGAGGGTGCCCAACGAACACGAGGCCTGGCAGTCATGGTCCACGAAGGGTGGAGCAGCGCATTGGAGCAGCACAGTGAAGCAGTGCTGTGGAGCATCACAGCGAAGTAGTGAAGTGGCGCAGCAAACTAGAGCATCGCTATGGTGCAGGGCACTGCAGCATCGCACTGTGGAACACCACAGTGTAGTGGAGCAGAGGAGCATCGCATTAGAACATCACACTGAAATAGTGCAGTGGAGGAGCGAACTGGAGCAGCGCAGTGATACATTTTAATTACATCTGCTCATTATCAGAGTAATTCTACAGGATGAGGAGGGTGAGTTCGCAGGCATGCTGTCAGAGGCAGGCTGGAGGTAAGACTACATACAGCGTTGTCGTCGCACCAGACAGTGCAAGATACATCACATCGGTAGCGCTGTTGACACACAGAGGCTACCATCGATGTGCATTTTCTACACGGGGGTAACGGCTGCTGTGGTTCTCGCGAGTGCAACTTTACAGATGTATATACGGACACGCGGACAATGCAGGCACGCGGTACGCGAAACAAACTACGCTGGAGCATTAGACATGTACGGATGGAGCAGCTCCGGCATCAAGAATGTGTCCCTGTGTCTCACCAATAACTCTGACAAACTGTCTAGTGGAATACTGCTGTTGTAAGGCTGAAACATAGCCACACAGCGACACAGTAGCGCACAGCCACACAGTGACACAGAAGCGTACAGGCCAAGCCCTGGCAAAGTAGAAGCTGTATTGGTGCACGGAATGGAGTAGCGATGTACATACGTAGCGATGTAGTGAGAGAGATATTGGTACAAACGTACACACACGTACGCACACACATGCACACTCCGATCACCAGCACCATCATCTACCGGCACGTTTGTCCATCACGTCCATCCATTCCTTCGCTGTGCCGCTGTCTTCAAATTCAATGCAAAAGCTTTTCGTACCCTACACAATGCAGGAACGCACACACATACACATACACACACACACACACAGAAGCAGGAGAGATTGTCACTACTCAACCAAAGATCCGCGTGGACACCGTAAAAGAATGACTGCAGAACGCACACACCGGTGAGCACCGTGGCCAATTGTGGAGGTTTCTTTCTAAACCTATTCACTTTATAGCTGAGGCCTAACACTGCTAACAGAATACACATAAAGTCATGTCTCCATCATAGCCCTCCCTGGCCAGAGAAATACAACATCATGAATATAATAGCACCGGGACCTATGCAGTCCTAGCACCACACATACACACCACATCAGCCATGCTACAGCTGATATGCAATGGGAGTATAATATGTACATAGACTGGGATGCGAGTTTAAAATCCTACCTCATGCATCATGACGATGCCATCGCGACAATACTCGCAGCGGAAGTGTGCGTCCCTGTAGAGTGTGGCGAAGACATGCATGTGAACACACACACACACGCACGCACACACGCACGCACACACATGCACACACACACACACACACACACACACACACACACACACACACACACAATAAGAATGAACTTAACACGAAAACAAGACGCCCATCGGACTCACTACTGGTGTACTTGAAGTACTTGTCACACTAGTCAGAACAACAGATGGCTTGATCAGTCACAGCTTAAAGTTTCATGCCATCTCAGGCACTCATCAGGTGATATGAACATCAAGAAAAATAACCCACTATTTAAAGCCCAGTATGGCGGGACAAGGATAACAGAAAGCGCTAGGGGCGCTATCAACTCATATCCGATTCAGTGTCATAGCCAGTAAGGATCGCGGTACTAAGAAAGGTGATAAAGGTGATAAAACCGAGCTGGCACAGCTAGTGAGATGCGCGGTGCAAAGATGATGATGGTGACAAGGCGGCAGAGAGCTATCAACTGGCCCTACTGCCTGGAAGCAGGGTGCCGAGAAGATCATGTTATTGGTGTTGATAGCATGAATTTATTTTGATGTCGACATTTAGATATCAACTCCGACCGCTTGTTGAGGCTCGATCTCCTGTCGGCAGTGATTATTCTCGCCTTCTCCTCGAGGCACAGGCTGCATCTTTTCGTTATGTTGCTGTAGGCCTTGGCCTTCTGAACCACTCGCCACTTGATGTCGTGCGTCTTGCCATTATCTTTCAATTCCCACATATGCTTTGAGAGGCCCGTGGATTTGCGGTATCCAGGAAGCTTGATGGATGTCTTGTAGTTCCCGTATCGAAGCTTGAATGGAGGCTCCGTACTGCCAATGTAGGTCTTGGGCCCATCGCTGTGGCCATCACTCGACACCTCCGCCGCGTAGACTATGCTGGTTGCTTGGCACGCTCCGTTGAGAGGGCACTGGTCCTTGCGACGGCAGTTGCACGGCTTGTCCGGTTCCTGGACGCACAATTGACGCTTATGCTATCAACACCGATAACATGATCTTCTCGGCACCCTGCTTCCAGGCAGTAGGGCCAGTTGATAGCTCTCTGCCGCCTTGTCACCATCATCATCTTTGCACCGCGCATCTCACTAGCTGTGCCAGCTCGGTTTTATCACCTTTATCACCTTTCTTAGTACCGCGATCCTTACTGGCTATGACACTGAATCGGATATGAGTTGATAGCGCCCCTAGCGCTTTCTGTTATCCTTGTCCCGCCATACTGGGCTTTAAATAGTGGGTTATTTTTCTTGATGTTCATATCACCTGACGAGTGCCTGAGATGGCATGAAACTTTAAGCTGTGACTGATCAAGCCATCTGTTGTTCTGACTAGTGTGCCAGCTAGACCACTTTGGTCTTGAGCGGGGCAGGGAAAGACCTCTAGACATTTTCGAATAATTCAAATTTGGTTTGAGCTTTTCGAGAAATTTCTTCGGGATATTGCTCAGGCAATCCCCCCCCCCAATCTTTCCCATAATTATAGATTTCTAAATGATTGGATAGCAAACGCCCAATTCCGGGAAATTTAGGCACACAGTGATTATAGATTTTATGTGGTATAGATGCTGGCCTAACTATTCTTTGTTTTAACCAGAGGTCTATACTTTTGAAATGCACTATAGGCAGGCAAGTGACACAAGATCTAAATGCGCACATCCATGACTTACAGCTTGATCTCGCCTTTCTCTGCCAGCTCAGACAGCTCCACTGAGAACAGTCGCTTCTCTGACAAAATGAGTTGCCTCTCCTCAACTTTGTAGCCCTGCAGAAAAGGATGTGAAATAGAACACATAAGAATGAGAGAGAGAGAGAGAGAGAGAGAGAGAGAACACGTGTGTGTGTGTGTGCCCGTATGTGCGTGTGCAAGAACAAACAGCTGGCCATCACAACACCCTGACACTGTGCACTCTGGTGATCCTCCAAGAAAACAAGTGTAAGCTCAGATACGAAGTGAGCCAGTTTTCTAGAAGACAACAATCTGTTCAAGAAACTACAACAAAACATTACGTTACCTTGTGACGGCGGGTTGGAGCGGTCCGCTGAATGACTTCATTCTTGCAGAACGGATGCCTGCTCAACAAGAAAGTTACATGCACCCACACACACACACACATGCGAGCGCGAACACACACACACACACAGACTTTCAGATCCATGATGCGGCCAGCTATACACACCTGCAAGAAGGTGGGCTGACCGACTGGCTGCTGTTGAGGCTTCCGAGAATACTACTACTGCTACTACTACCGTGGAAACAAGGCCATTTAGGTCAGTGCAGAAGCTGGGGTGGATTCCTGCAATTGCACTGTAGCCAACTCAAGACTCTTGACGGCGTGGCATTTTCGCACTTACCATATGGGATAGTTGATCTTCTGCTCCTTGATGAGTCGCTTGTGTTCATCCAGAGCAGCCTGTGTACGCCCACGCTCCACGCTAGCTGATGTGCTGGAGCCACTGGAGTTACATGGTGTAGCAGCAGCAGCAGCAGCAGCATCAGTGCAAGTGGTAGCACTGGGTAGCTTCAAGTCATCCAGCAGGTCCTCCTCCCAGTCTTGCGACGCCGCGTAGAAGTGCTCCCAGATCTACGGTCGGACAAGAGGCGAACGAAGAGAATCCGCAAACGCACACACAAGCGTACACACGCGTATACACGCGTATACACACGTATACACCCACACACCCACAGAGCACAGTTGCATCGGATTGCACTCCCATGACACGTGTACGCACAACAAGCAGCACGACGCCCACAGCACCACTGCAGGCACTAGGCAGACATGAAACCCAAGAGATACAGTGTCAGTCATGCCTTGTACCACAACACTTTCATAAAACACAAATATGTTGATGACCGTGTAAAATACCCGCGTATAAGGTTCCGGTAAGAACATAACCGTCAATCTCCCATACCCGCTACACATCTCAAGTGAGTATCAGTGAGTATCAGAGTTGACAGACAAACATGTAGCAGCACAGTAGTACAGTTACGAGTAGTCCAGAGGTACAGAGGTAGAGTGTGTAAAGAGGTACGGAGGTACAGAGGTCCAGTGTGTAAAGAGGTACGGAGGTACAGAGATACAGTGTGTAAAGAGGTACGGAGGTACAGAGATACAGTGTGTAAAGAGGTACGGAGGTACAGAGGTCCAGTGTGTAAAGAGGTACGGAGGTACAGAGGTCCAGTGTGTAAAGAGGTACGGAGGTACAGAGGTCCAGTGTGTAAAGAGGTACGGAGGTACAGAGGTCCAGTGTGTAAAGAGGTACGGAGGTACAGAGGTCCAGTGTGTAAAGAGGTACGGAGGTACAGAGGTCCAGTGTGTAAAGAGGCACGGAGGTACAGAGGTCCAGTGTGTAAAGAGGTACGGAGGTACAGAGGTCCAGTGTGTAAAGAGGTACGGAGGTACAGAGGTCCAGTGTGTAAAGAGGTACGGAGGTACAGAGGTCCAGTGTGTAAAGAGGTACGGAGGTACAGAGGGGAAGAAGGGCAGAGGTACAGTGTCAGGGGCGTCGTAAGGTATTCTAGTGTGGTACGGTCAGCCATCTGAAGTACAATTTACTCGTGCGGGAGGGAAGGCTGAGCCGAACATTTTGGAAATTTAGAGCCCAAATCAGTGCATATTATTGATTCACGGGGTAATTGGGGCAAATCGTGGTACGGTCAATACCGTAGTGACAGTACCGTAGGCGACGCCCCCGGGTGTGTACAGTCAGTGGTCACTAGTGCAATGGATAATACAACGTACGTCAGTCTGGCTCTCCAGACCCAGTGTTGGAAATGAACTCTTCATTGGTGGTGGTGATCGCTGGTCCACATTTTCCCAGTCAAATCCTACACACACACACGCACGCACACACACACACACACACACACACACACACACACACACACACACACACACACACACACACACACACACACACACACACACACACACACACACACACACACACACACACACACACAGCAACATTACCATCAACATCAGCATCAGCAACAACGCGAACGAGCACAAGAACACCACCGCCACCGCCAGCACCAGCATCAACATCCAAAAAACGGGACCAAAATCAAGAAGGAACATGAGCAGCATGGGTGAAGTCACATTACGCAAATAGAGCAGCAACTGGCACCTTGGAAAGAAGCACAAAGATCTAATGCTCAGCATTCACCCCCCCCCCCCTACCATAGAGACCACACAGAACCCTGCACCCCCCCCCCCCCCCCATACCGCAGAGACCACACAGAACCCTGCACCCCCTCCCCCCCCCCCCCCCCATGCCATAAAGACCACACAGAACCCTGCCCCCCCCCCATGCCATAAAAAACACACAGAACCCTGCAGCCCCCCCCCCATGCCATAAAGACCACACAGAACCATGCACCCCCCCCCCCCCCCATACCATAGAGACCACACAGAACCCTGCCCCCCCCCCCCCCCATACCACAGAGACCACACAGAACCCTGCACCCCCCCCCCCCCCCAATGCCATAAAGACCACACAGAACCCTGCCCCCCCCCCCCCCCATGCCATAAAAACCACACAGAACCCTGCAGCCCCCCCCCCCCCCCCCATGCCATAAAGACCACACAGAACCATGCACCCCCCCCCCCCCCCATACCATAGAGACCACACAGAACCCTGCACCCCCCCCCCCCCCCAACCATAGAGACCACACAGAACCCTGCACCCCCTCCATACACACAAAAACAAACATACATCCCTCATTTTTCAGTATACACAGTCACTATGTGTATGCAAGCATACCGGAGAAATAGGAATGCTCCTTGAGAGCAGCAAAGTCACCCATTTCTCTGCAGCCAAGCCGCTGTTTCTGATCCTTGACCTGTCATGCACACACACACACACACATGCGCGCACACACACACACACACACATGCGCGCACACACACACACACACACATGCGCGCACACACACACATGCGCACACACACACGCACACTCACACACACAACATAGCGCAACACACACACGCACACACGCACGCACACATACACACACAGCAGCAGATACGCAACACAGCGCAACACACACGCACACGCGTGCACACACACAGCACCATACAACACCGTACAAGAAAGAGAATGTGAGAGACAGCAAGGATTGTGATTGTGGGCAGCCATGCATCTGTTGATGGAATGCACAGGCATATGATATACCTTAAAAGTTAGTTCACAAGGAGATAATAAGCGAGTTCGGCAGAAAGGCTGTTCAACAGCCTACTCCTCAAGGGCGAGTTACAAACAATTCGAAGTCAGGCTATGGGGGGCCAGTGGCAGTGGCAGGATAACACAACACTTGACCAAAAGGCATGTGCTGGCATTAGAATCCAAAATTGAAGAAAGATGCCACGAGTGGGTTCAGTATGAGAATGATGCAGGTCTGGGTACCATGCTGCCCCGTCCAGTGAACCATAGAGAAGGGCCGAACTATGCATGCATTCTTTCAACTATCAATGGTCAGGGCTGTGTTTGCGGCCAGCAGGGCTGCAGCCTTGACCGGGATCGCGTGCTGCATAGACCACCACCAACCACTAACAAGTACCATATCCGGCAGCGCCGAGAGTTACAACTCCCCGATGCACGGACTTTGAACACATCGAGTGAGCCGTGAAACTCTATGGTTGCCATGGCAAAACACTGGTAAGGTGCCGGCAGTTGCCTAATCTTGGTTGTTACACAGGCCGTGCCGTGACACTATTCACCGCACTGCTACAAGGAAACAGATACCGACCACTCCTACCTACAGTTGCGCTCGGTGAAATCCCACCCAAAGTGCAGCACTGGTGCCCTGTACCAGTTTTGATGACATCATTGTATTGGACCATGTGTACGTCCGGCCGCATTCGTGCCACTTTCGTCAAGGACCGTGCAGAGTGAGGGCGTCAAATGTGCGCTCTGGGTGGGATTTCAGAGAGCACACCAGTACTTCGAATGCACGTGTGCTTACCACAAGTTTGCGGACAATGTCCTCCGTGTCCTTGGGGAAATCATCCGGGAAGGTGAAGTCGCAGGCTACGATGCGATTGAAGATTGCATACTCGCTCCTGGGCAGCAGCAGCACAGCAACAGCAGCAGCAGCAGCAGCACAGCAACAGCAAGCAGCAGCAACAGCAACAGCAGCAGCAGCAGCAGCAAGCAGCAGCAGCACAGCAACAGCAAGCAGCAGCAACAGCAATAGCAGCAGCAGCAACAGCAACAGCAGCAGCAAGCAGCAGCAGCAGCAACAGCAAGCAGCAACAGCAGCAGCAGCAGCAGCAGCAGCAGCAGCAGCAGCAGCACAGCAACAGCACAGCAACAGCAACAGCAACAGCAGCAGCAGCAGGCAGCAGCAGCAGCAGCAGCAGCAGCAGCAGCAGCAGCAGCAGCACAATGGAAAGATGAGTCAGAAAACAAGCAAAACCAATTGAGTGTGGATCTGTAAGTTCAATAATTTTTTTAAAGGATCCGTGTAATAGCAATAGGCCATTCATACAATGTGCAAACTCACTTTTATCGTACCGTTAACCGTTTCCAAGGATATTTACTCGCATACTATAAACTTGGACACACAAGTGCAACTGATTTTTGAACTTGGCCGGGGCCTTTGTGCTCACGATTATACTTTGCACACGAGCAACAGTGTCGGTTGTTGAAAGTACGCGCAGCAAATGCAGTGCGTGTACAACTTGTTCAAGACGGAAATTCAAAAATTAAAATCACCCGGCATTTTCAGGAGATCACTATGCATATACCGGTACTGACGCGTGCAAAGTTTGCCCAGCACCGTGTGAACTGGATCACGGTTTTGCAAGTGTTATCTTGGTCACACACACGTGCTGCATGTGTCTGCACGTCGTGTGAATGGCCTATCAGATCCAGTCATACTAGATGTTCTGCACACATAGTACTGTAAAAGCCATATATATAATGAAGTGCCAACTCTAACGAGTTAACGAGGAGAAATCTGTCGTTAAAATAGAAATCGTTATACAGAAATCGATACATATACTGTCCTATTGAGCGTTGAGAATGAGTGAGAATCGTTACCTTTGGGACACGTAAACTAGTCAATTTTGGGAAATCGTTATATACGCGCCTCGTAAGAATAATGGCTTTTACAGTATCAAGAGTCCATAACCCCAAGAGTGCGCAACTGGGGTCTGGCTGCTGTAGGCCCACTGTGCGGCGGAATTCCAACATTACGTCATGCCGCTGAGGCACAGAGGACAAAACTCCGCATTCCGCGGTGCTTGGAACCAGGGAGTAGTACAAGCGCAACGAACGTGTACGTCATTTTTGACGTAATGTTGGAATTCCGACGTGTGGATCTCCATGTACAGAGTTGCACACTCTTGGGGTTATGGACTCTTGATAGTATAGCATAGCACAGCATAGCACAGCACAGCACAGCACAGCACAGCATAGCACAGCACAGCACAGCACAGCACAGCACAGCACAGCACAGCATAGCATAGCATAGCATAGCATAGCATAGCATAGTATAGCATAGCATAGCATAGCATAAGAAGATCACCACCCTCAAGGATCAAGGCACATATGCAGGTCCTAATACGGTGGGAGGTGATTGCATACATTATTCCCACCAGCAAAGTGCCCAAAAGGCGAAAATCTCATTCACTGCGTCAAAGTGGTGCTGTGGCGATAATGAAAGATCAATTCTCATTTCTCTAATTGTCCGCAAACTCCAACGCAGCCACTTACACATTAAGGAAACTGCACTTCTCAACTCCAAACTCCAAAAAACGGTCTCTTCACTGTGATTTCAAATCAAAATTTACACCAATTCTCATTTCCCAAAGGTAGACAATTCAACAAGGAACAGTCCTACTTTGCTGGAGTGCTCAAGTGGACAAGTCAGAAAGCTACGGACTGAGCGGGTGAGAGTGGTAAACAACTATAGCATGCACAGGCACACATACACACTCTAAAGACGACAGGTTCTACTGTCGTGGACATGGAAATCCAGTCGATTGACCGGGGCCGGCGCCCTCAGCGCGTACAGAACGCTGCTTGCATGCAGTGCACAACGTCATGTTGATTCATTAACCAGGGCGCCGCATACTAGTACTAGTAGACCATGGTAGACAGTCTGCTCTTTCCGCTCTATCTTACTCACGGCTGCATGGCCAGCGCCCTGGGGCCGCTAGACGCGCGACCGGATTTCCATGTCCACGACAGTAGTATAGATTGAGAAGAGTGAGACTCGGCCAGCAAAGCCGGTGTGTGTGTGTGTGTGTGTCACTTACTGTCCAGAGAACAAAGTGGTACCCGCTAAGAACTGAAAGATGATACAACCTAGTGCCCAGAGGTCCGATCTACAACAACAACAACAACAACAACAACAACAACAACAACAACAACAACAACAACAACAACAACACACACAAGCACACGCATACGTACACACACATGAACGAATGCACGCGTGCACACACACCCACACACCCACACAGTCAGAGAAAATTACATGACAACACATTCAGAAACTGCAGCACACCCCCAGCCAGCACAATCACCGTGGCCAGCCCAATCATCTACTGCAAAACCGGAAAGTTTAACGACCAAAAAGTTACACGTTTTGTAATTTTGGCATAACGTGCAGAAAGTTTAACGATGGCTACCAGGCCACCCATCTGTATGTGCATCTTTATACAGACATCTAGCAACAACGTTTTTGTTCAAATAATGAAAAATAATTGGTCGTGAAAACGTTCGACTTTGTGACTCGTTAGACTTTCCGGTTTTACAGTCTGCTGAGTGATTTCTGACTCTTACACAAAACGGAGTGTGTACAAGTACACTGGAACCTGCCTAAGACCACCACTCAAGGGACCTTCAAAATGTGGTCTCTGTTGCCAGGTGGTCTCCTTATCCAGGGTCGTTTGACTGTTAATAGCATCCCTTGGTCCCAGTTACAATGATCTTCTGAGGCAGGTGTTGCCTTATCAAAGTGGTCACCTTGACAGATTTTTACTGTACAGCTATCATTTCACGCATGCTAGGCACACCAGTGCAGCTCAGAGAAACACAGCTCAGCCCGGCGTAAAGTCACTAAAGACTACACCACCAAGGTCTCCATGTCACAAAGCATTCGTTCTTTACAAACACACACACACACACACACACACACACACACACACGTTGTTTGGTTGAGAGCATGCTACAAGGCGGGGGACGCACTGTGTTCAAAAACAGTGCTCCTGACTACAACGTCCACGTCCTCCGCCTTGTGCCATGCTGTCAACCAAACAACATGATTGTTTTCAACCAAACAGGAGTATCTAATAACTTACATGTGCAGTAAAACCTGATGTAAGCGATCTCTGTGTTTAGCCACCACTTGCTCTTAACGACCGTTTTTCTTGCACCGACAGTTCTACACAGACACTGTGGGGTCTGGTTCTAAAGACCACCTGGCTTTAACGACCGCTTTTCCTTGCTCCGTGGGGTGGTCGTTTTAACCAGGTTTTGCTGTGCATGTATTCAACAACGGCACTTCACTTGTGTAATACACAGGAATACTGAATAGTACCCTTGCTCTCAACTCAACCAGCAGTAGATAAGGGGCAATCACTAAAGTTCGTTTTAGTCCCTGAAACGCAGATGGTTCATTTCGTATTCAACTTGTAGTTCGGTAATGGTGCAATACGGAAGCATGGACGGTGAAAGCAAACTCCTGCCGTGGACATTGAAATCCGATGAGATGACCGGGGTCGGCAGCCTTGCTGCTTTTACATTCAGATGCACTGCAGTTCACGTCCACACTGTAAACATGGCTGCAAGGCTGCCAGCGCCCCGTGGCTGCTTAGATTCTCAACGGATTTCAATGTCCATAGCAGAATATCATGAAGTGTGATAGAGCGCAGACTCACGAGTAAGCAATAGGCCTCCTCTGCAGTACCTCAGGCGTCACGTACTGTGCCGTGCCTACAAACGATGATGGACTGGAGTCTACACACACACACACACGCACGTACATACGTATACACACACACGCACACATGTATGCACGCACATACGCATGGGAGAGAAAAAAACACTGAGGATGAGAGGATGCAAGTCTAGTTTCATGCTGATGGTAATCTTCAGTAACCAATGCTGTAGACAAGGTGAGACAGATGGAGAGAAGACTAGAGACCCATCCACATACAGACTCCTGATATAACCAGGTAACAATAGCAGGGGGGGGGGGGGGGGGGTCAGGGGAAACAGTTTGCCCCGTAACCCACTTTCCATCTCCCCAAAATGTCTTGCCATGCAAAATGCAACGTACGGGGCTCTCCCCAGACAGGTGTGCCTTTTCTGTTAGTGACTATCGACTGCATTATTGGTTGAAAGGCCTGAAAAGAACACAAAGTCGACAAATACCCTCCTTTGGCAAGAACCCTGTGTAACGAACACCATTGTGCAGAACTAAGTTCTAGTTCTATATACTGTATAAGCACAAATTTTCGTTCGGAATTAACTTTCGCTAGATTCGTTAGGGGGCGCGAAATAACTTTTAAGTTTGTACCAAACTATAAAGTTTTTTTTCTGAACGTTCGGGATGACAGACCTCGACCAAAAGCGAAATTTAGTACGTAACAAGCCTGCTGGTGGAGTGAAATAACGAAAGATTTCATGAACGACAATTTGTACTTCTACAGTAGGCGAAGAGTTCATTCTACAGTCCATTTCAAAACTATAGACGCGTACCTAGGCAAAAACCGTTATGCCAGCATCTATACCACATAAAATCTGTGATCACTTTGTGCATAATTTTTTCCAATTGGGCGTCTGTTATCCAATCCTTTAGAAACTATATGAGAGTAATTGTGGAGCGATCCTGAGCAATATTCCGAAAACTATTCTCACAAAGTTCCAGCCAAATTTGAAATATTTCAAAAACCCTACGCGTCTATAGTTTTGAAATGCACTGTAAGAGAAGTTCACTCACAGTATACAAGCAGCAAGTCATGACTGTCTGACACGAGTGCACTTGGTTTACATGTGGCCCTTCAAGACATGGTTCGTGATACATGAAAAAGGTGCGCCACAAAGGGTCAATTTTGTACGGGTTCAAACAAGGACATGGACAAGGGTTCGCTGTATCACAAAATCGGCCATATACGCATTCGTTACCAGTGGAGGTGACTGTAGACTGTAGAGTGAGGTGTCACTCAGAACATGACAAGAACACTTCTCACAAAACCAGTAGCAACACACAACTACTTACACAAAACATTTAAGAATACCAGAAGGCCACGGTCCTGTCTGTCTGTCTGTGTGTCTGTCTGTGTGTCAGTCTGTGTATCAGTCTGTCTGTCTGTCAGTCTGTCCGTCTGTGTGTGTCTGAACCTTCTACTGTCAACAACGTTCTGGTAGAAAGTGCCTGTTGCACCAGTTGCAGCAGGAGCAGCAGCAGCACCACCACCACCACCACCACCACACATACACACAAAGCAATTGAAAACATACCATAATCAGCATCCGACTGCAGCACCCTGGCAGTTCCGAAATCACTGAGGAGAATGTGCCAGTCGCGACCAAGAAGAATATTCTCAGGCTTCAGATCCCTGCAGAAAGGCAACAGACATGCAGACACAAGCACACACACGCACAAACACAACAGAGAGAACACATGCACAAATGCCAGTACACATGCAAAGTCACAATCTGAGAGCGAAGAAGGCTATCAACGAAAATACAATTGTTCTTTAAGAGTAAAGTTAGCCAGATTGGCGGCCGCGTCACCCGACGTATTGAGGAACACATCAAGCAAAGACATTCGCATTGAAAATACATACAGCGGGCATGCAAACAGATCTATTGCCCAGTTGCCCAAACACATGCAGCGCTCAAGCTGAAACAAGGTGGCAGACAAGCCTAAACCAAAATTGCATGGAGAAAGCAGGGCGGTACAGTAACACACGTGACAGCGCACCTGTGTACTACACACTGGCTGCGAAGGTACTCCAACACAAGGACAATCTCCGCGGCATAGAACTGTGCAGACTGGCGATCCATGCAGCCAACCTGTCAGCAGGAATGAATTACAAGAGATAATCAGATTCCCATCAGACTTGCACAGGTGTAGGTGAATTATCAGGTGCAACTGTGAGGCTAACAGACCTAATAGTGATAAAGCAGGCCATTCCAGTACAGTAGAATGTCGGAGTGTCTCGCCGGCCGGCACTTTGGAGTTCAAATTATCAGGATTCCATCCGTACTAAAGCAGTTACCCCCCCCCCCCCCCTCCACACACACACGCACATGGACGAACAGACGCACTGACACACACACACACACACACACACATATGGGCGCACGGATACACACACACATACACACACACACACACACACAGCCACACAGGTGAAGGACAGCCTCCTTGTAGAGCATAAGGGCGCACAGCTACAGACACACATGCCAACTTACGCGCTGAAGATGGGCAAACAGCTCTCCGCGCTTAGCCAGACTGAGACAAAAGTCTACACATCAGATACAGTATGTGTCAAGGTCCACCTGTAAAGTAGGATGACTATGGACTGAGTATTGACACCATCACTATCACAACAAGCTAACTATGCAAGAACTACTACACCAGCCTAATTCCATGAAACTTGATAGAAAGAGTGTGAGGAGAGAGAGAGAGAGAGAGAGAGAGAGAGAGAGAGAGAGAGAGAGAGAGAGAGAGAGAGAGAGAGAGAGAGAGAGAGAGAGAGAGAGAGAGAGACACACACACACACACACACACAGAGCGACAGAGAGCGAGAGAAACAGAGTAACAGGGAGAGGGAGAGACAGAGAGAAAGAGAGAGCTAAATAGAGAGGTAGAGAGAAAGACCAAATCACATTGGAAAGCTACCAGAGGGTGTAGTACGAAAAGTACTTAGAACACGATGTGAGTTTTCGCCGTTGAAATCCCATATGCAGAGTTGCACACTGTTGGGAGCTTATGTCTTATTGGTACCCAACAGCTAGAGTACATGAGGGACCGTGGAATACAATACTGTCGTGCGCCGAAGAACGGTCGGAGCGCCGAAGAATGGCCAGGCTAGAATTTCACCAAGCACAGCATACCAATGTATACATGGTGACTCAACTGCGCATAGACTGCAATACATGAAAACAAGAACTGTCTAGGCTAGGAGGCTAACCCCAGTTCTTCGGCGACCGATTGTACTGTAGCTATAGTGATCAATAAGCACTATACTTGTATTCGGTGAGGATACAAAGACGGGCCTCATCTTGAAACGTGCAGTGCAACTGCACGACAAACGGATGCTTCAGTTTGCTCAGGATGTCGCGCTCACCAGTGACAAACTGAACCTTCTTTTCACGGATGATCTTCTGTTTGTCAACGATCTTGACTGGAGAGGACAGCGAAACAGAGAACCAGGCATACAACAGCACGTTAATAGGGACAGACACACACGGACACAGTCATACAGACAGACAGACAGACACACAAACACAGTCATATAGACAGACAGACACACACGAACACAGTCATACAGACAGACAGACACGCACACAAACACAGTCATACATACAGACAGACATACACACACACATGCGCAAATACAGCCATACAGACAGACAGACAGACAGACACACACACACACACACACACACACACAAACACAGCCATACAGACAGACACACACACACAAACACATTCATACACATACACACACACACACACACACACACACACACACACACACACACGCGTCATACGGGCATACCGATACACCACATAGAACCCCCCGAGAGGCCTGGCAATAGAGAGCTGAGAGCTGAGTGTAGGTCTACAAGTTGTGGTTCTCCAAGGCACTTTAGTACATGTAGGAAGTATTGTGCAGCCAGACGGCCAGACAACAGAAAGCAATACAACTTACCTGCAACTTCCTTCCCCGTGGCCTTCTCTATACCAAGACGTACCTACAACAGAAGCAGTGTACACGCACACGCACACACACTTTGATAAAGTGAATAAAAGGGGTGTTGGCCACGCTCATTTCCGGCTACTCGGGGCCCTCGGTCGTCGGCAGTCGACAAGCTGGCCGACCCTAAATCTCTCTCTCCGTAGCCTCTTACTCCGCTGGCCAGCACTCCCCGTACTGCAAGTTGCTGTGTGTATGTGTGTGTGTGTGTGTGTGTGTGTGTGTGTGTGTTGTGTGTGTGCGTTGTGTGTGTGTGTGTGTGTGTGTGTGTGGTGTGTGTGTGTGTGTGGTGTGTGTGTGTGTGTGTGTGTGTGTGTGTGTGCGTGTGGTGTGTGTGTGTGTGTGTGTGTGTGTGTGTGTGTGTGTGTGTGTGTGTGGTGTGTGTGTATATGTGATGTGTGTATGTGTGTGTGTGTATGTGTATGTATGTGTGGTGTGTGTGTGTGTTTGTATGTGTGCTTGTGTGTGTATGTGGTGTGTGCATGTGTGTATAACACTTTGTGTGCGTGCGTGTGTGTGTGTGTGTGTCTTTTCCAATCGTTATCCCTCCGTCAAGACGAAGGTGCACGTGTATTCGGCCGTTGTCTTGTCGACGCTGCTGTATGGTTGTGAGACCTGGGCAATTAAGGCCGTGGATGTTCGTCGGCTTGCAGCCTTTCACCACCGCTGCGTTCGCTTCCTGCTGGTTATTCCCAGAGAAACACAATGGCAGGAGCACATCTCCAACATCATTCTCCTTGAACGAGCCAAGGTACAGCCGATCGAGGAGACACTTGAAACGCGTCCACTCCGCTGGTTAGGCCATGTTGCTCGAATGGATGACTCCCGTATGCCAAAGTGTATCCTCTTCGGCGAACTGGACAAGACCCGGCCACGTCATGGGCCCCGGAAGCGGTGGTGGGACAATGTCGTGTCCGACATGAAGGACCGCCAGATAGTGGACTGGTACGACCTTGCCCAGGGTCGCAGAGAGTGGAGATCAGCATGCAGCACCATTTCTCCGATCGAGCCCGTCACCTTAGACCGCGTTTGCACTTGTGGAAAGCGCTATTGCCGTCGCCAGGACTTGACTCGCGACGCCCGATTCTGCTCGTGACTTGAACACTGTTGGTCCCTTCGGGACCTGCCATCATCTCCGGATGGGCATATTGTATTGTATTGTGTGTGTGTGTGTGTGCGTATGTGTGTGTGTGTGTGTGTGTGTGTGTGTGTGTGTGCGTGTGTGTGTATGTGTGGTGTGTGTGTGCATGCGGGCACGTGCGTGCATTTGTATGTATGCCTGTTGGCGGCTCTGTTCCAGCAAGCGTACCCGAGAGAAAGATCCCTCTCCTAGAAACTGAGTGAGGTTGAAGTCGCCCGGTCCTCTCTTCCGCTGTGCGTTCGCCACGGCCATGGCAGAGGATGCAGCGGGGCCTGCAGCAATGATCCCCGGTGCCTGCTGCCTGGTGCTACTGGACGCCACACCATTAGAGCTGGCCCCCGTGGATGCAACTTCGGTACTAGCCATGTACGCTGTCTGCTGTACACAGTAACACAGTAACAGACACAAACACAAACACACACACACACACACACAAGTACCAAGGTAAACACTCAGCAATTATCTACCATGCAAACCTGGGTAGGGGGGGGGGGGGGGGGCTGGGACAGGAGAGGGTTGAGTAGGTCCTGAACATAAGGGCTGATGACAATAGACCTTATGCCAGTTGTACAGACCCACGAAATCCCGCAGAATCTCATAGACCCGGTTGGGTGTTCATTGTGTGCTATGCATGCGCATTTGACCAATTTTAGCCTCATAATGTAATGGCAAGCAATCGCTTTTCCAGCTTCTTCACTTTGGTTAGAACTAATGACTAGCTAGATCTTTGTCAGAAAAGGTTTTCGTATGAAATGCCTTCAGGGCCCATTTCTTAGTGGAAATAGCAGAAAGCACAATAGGGTCCTGCACATTTAACACCCAACCGGGTCTACGAGATTCTACGGGATTTCGTGGATCTGTACGCTGGCATAAGGCTTATACAGGTTCAGGGGTTGCCTGAAACGTTTGCCACACGTTCATAAGCACGAAAAACAAACTACAATCTTCTTGTGCTCTGGCAGAACCATTGTGTTCGAGATGTGAAACAATAATATAATTCTAGAAATTTTGTAGAGTTATTGTTTCACACCTTGAACACACACACCCATGCGCGCACGCACACGCTCACGACTGCAACTGCATGACTGATCATACCAAACCCACAAACAGACACTAACGATGGAATGGTAAAATAAATGAAACCCCAACAGTACGCTCCTCAACACAGAAATCAAAATTGAGAAGGCAAATTTAATGCTTCGCTTGGCGGCGCGCTGTCTTCATTCCATTCTTCAGGCAACCCCAAGTGATCGTTTAGTATCGTCTACTGTATCAGTGTATGCGCTCTTACGATACGAGTTGACAGCATGAACGAATTGACCCTGACAGTGCTGACAGCCATAATTTTATGTGAGTACGAGCAGAAGATTAGGGAACTGAAATACCAACGTCAGGAACGAACGTCTTTCTCAACGCGGCCCCAAACTGCCACACCCGTCCGCAATAATTCTAACTCGTAAGAACTGCAGGAGCTCCTGGGGTTACTCGGGATGTGACTTCGTAGTCTTACAGCACTTCAACTTACCTGTGAGTGGAGAGGGGCTTCTCAAGACTCAGATTAGCAGCAAGATTCGATTTAGAACGCAACGCTTCACCAAACTTGGTCCCGAGAACTAAAATGCAACTGGTGTCGGGTATTGACAGGGCCTCACACCACGAGCAAAGGCTCTGTAGAAACCTACAAAGCAGTCCTCAATCGATTCGTGACTCCTCACCTCAGGCTCTGCAACAAAACAACTAAAAAGTTAGTTGTAGATTGTATGGGTAGATCTACCCCCGCCTGTGTAGGCCGTTCATCTTATCTCCCGCAGTCCCGGCCTGGAAAAACACAGAAGAGATCCAGATCTTGCAAGCTTGCAGAGCTAGCTAGTATAGAGTAGAGAGAGCATGCAAGCAGGGCACATGCTGCGCTCGTGCATACAGCTCAGCAGTTCATGAATTCAGGCCGGGCCGGTAAATCTACATGTATGCGAATGCCACTTGTCAGTATGGTGGTCGGCCCAGGTCGGGTTTGTGCGTAAAGACAGTTCGGCGTCATCCATGTCGACTGGGCATCCTTCGTAGGCCAATCAGACTTTTGCTCAGCTTTGCCTTTGGCTCACAGCAAGAGGGCCTAGGTGGGGGGTATGCTCGTGTACTCTTGCTTGCTCATAGCAAAAGTACATAAACCTCTTGTTCATACTAGTAGCAGGAGTACATAACCAATGGCAATGATTATGTACTCTTGCTAGCAGGGAGTAGTACAATATATTGTACTACTCCCTGCTTGCTAGTAGCAAGAGTCAGGGGCGTAGCAGCCGCTCCGGCCGGACCACTTTTCGCCCGACCACGACCACCATAGTAAAACAATGCCAAAAGTGCCGAGAATGCAGGATTTTGCACCCTAATTTCAAAAAAATTCCGCGGGGAGATCCCCCCCCCCCCTGGCCGGACCACCGCCAACGGCGGTGCTACGCACCTGAGAGTACATAACCCCTCTTGCTAGTAGTCATAATGTTGCTGAGCGCTGCGAGGCACTGAGCCTGGTGGAGAGGGGGGGGTATATTTTGCCCGGGAATGACGGGGACAGTTTTATCCATTTGAATTTTCTCTTTAATACAGCTTTTCATAAGAATCACAGCCATGCCATGCCATGCCCAGTTTTGCCAGCACGGGTTTGCAAACAGCGATTTGCCCACAGCCAGTCAGGCTCGTCCAAGATCACGGTGATTCACGGTGATTCACGGTGAATCCCAGTGAACAGTGATACATGTACATGGAAATGGTGTCGGCCATCCTGCCTGATCCTGGCACTTATTCCTGGGCATTTTTTTTAAAGCGAATCATGTTGAACGGGCAAGTACACCGAAATCAAAGCATTAGAGGCTTCAAGTTAACCCGAAATCTCGATATTCAAATGCTCAGATTTTGCGGCCAATTTCTGCTTTGTTGATCTCCATATCTTACCGGGAGAATTGCCAGCGGAATGTATCGCCAGGCAACCATGCCCGCAGTGCATGCATATCAAGGGAGCTCTAGACCCAGCCGTGTGATACCTGCACATGTACATGTATGTGCAGGACTCCCTCAGATATGTAAGAGATTAGCAGCGGCTCCAAGTAGAATAAACGATGTTGCAGACGTTGACCCCTGGAATGGTACATGCCGGCATGCTGTACAGCGCCAGTGTACAATGTACAATGTACAAGACCTCCCCCAGTGCCAGATACAGAGCATGCAACTCTCACCTCCTGTGGCCCTGCCCGCATGCAGTCCCGGGGGGGGGGGGGGGGGGGGGGGGCGACGACAGTGGGCGCCCATGGCTACCAGTATGATTGTACAGCTGTTCGTTCAAACCAAGAGTACATGAAAACCAGAGTGTGCAGCTTGGGGCCTTCTCTGCCATGGGTGTCTGTCACGGCGGAATTCCGTGATTACATCATATTTGGTGCCGATCTGAGGCGGGAACTGGCGTAGTGCGTACAACTGAGCTGCAGTTGTGCAGAAAGAGACCGGCTTGAATCCTGCGTGTACGCACTACATAACTAAAAATGATGTAATCACGGAATTTCGCCGTGACAGCAACCCATCCGAGCTGCACACTCTGGTTTTCATGTACTCTTTGTTCAAACTGAATACTAGTACACTATTGAAATAAAACAAAAAAAGTGATGGCAGTGCAGAGTCCACAATAAGCGGCATACTGAGTACGCACATGTACATGCACAGAAGATAATGATAGGGAAGCCTTGTTTGATACAGCCAACTTTGCGTATCACGACACTCGGCGGGGCATCAGAAAAGTGTCCTTATTCACGAAGTGTCCTTATACCCGAAGTCTCATTATAACTATTACAGTTAGATGGGACTTTGCTCTGGGCATGGAAATTCTGTCGTTATTCGCGAATTGTCATTATATCCGCAGTCGTTATTGGCGAAGTTGTATGCTACACGGCGGAGGACACATTGCGTTGAAAACAGTGCTCCTGACTAATGCGGAATGGTGGCAAGACCGGAGCCTTGCCACCCAATGATGGTTGTAGTAAGAGCACTGTTTTCCAAAACTGTGCGTCCTCCACCTTGTAACATGCTGTCAACCGATCAACATGTTGATTGTGCAGACGAGTGAGACGATTCGTTCTACAGTAAGAACACTGTTTTCCAAAACGGTGCGTCCTCCACCTTGTAACATGCTGTCAACCGATCAACATGTGCAGACGAGTGAGACGATTCATTCTGGTATTGAATAGTTTGTAATTATTTGCCTTCACCAACAATCAACAGATGACTATTACTACATGTATGATATCACCACTCCACAGTGGTGATCACAAGATGATGTCATCATGCAAGAACGATGACATCACGGCCTGAAGACACACGGTTGGGAGGGCTTTATGTACCTGCACTCTACTCTATGGTAGTATCTAAACAAAGACAAAGACATGCAGGGAGTAGTAAAATATCTACTCCTTGCACAAAGCAATACATGTGCTGTAACACTACCAACCATCAGTAAGTTCTAATACAGGACCTACACCGAGTATTGCCAGTATTTGAGATGAATGCGAGCAGCACAAAATACTCTCATTAGAGGACATTGAGCAAGCACACACCCTGCTCAGTTTCCTGTGCTGGGCAAGCGATGCATGGGGAAGTTGTTGCGCAGCTGTGTGTCGGGATGCGTCTTGTTCGTGCAACCGTGCATGATCTCCGATTCCCATTTCAGTGTTGTCACGCCCTGCGCAGTACGTGCATACAGCGTGTGGCATGAGCGCACACAGTTAGACACACACACACAAACATGCATACACACGAAAGCACATGCGCAAACACACACACACACACATGCAGAAAAGCAGATGGAGTGATTCCCTGACGAGTAATGAGAAAGAACGAGACAAATGCACATAGTTGAACATGAATAACCTAATGATGCAAGCTGGCTACGGATCTCACTTCTTTGGTGTGAAGCCTGGAGTTACGTCAAAATAGCTTGTTTCATATTTTCCACGTGGTGCAATCCAAGGAGTGGCGTGCATGAGCTGATCCTACTACAGTACCGAAGAACGGGGGTGTGGGGAGGGGGGGGGGGGGTGTTCAGCCTCGTGTCCTAGGCTGTTCTTATTTTTAACTAGGGCTGCAACGGGTAGGGGTTTGGTCGGGTGACGAGTTCGGGTACTTCTATCCGGGTAGCATGGGTACCCTATCGGGTATTTTTTTGAATTTTTGACCCAGTTTGTACTATGAGCGTGCACTGGCGCTACATAGGAAGTGTATAGTAAGCACGTAGCCATGCTGTTTACATGCACCGTTGCGAAAACACCGTACTCCAACTACCCGATCGGGTTCTCAGGAGCAAATTGCTACCCTACTACCCGATCGAATTACGGGTAGCACGGGTACCCTACTACTCGTTGACACCCCTGTTTTTAAGTACAGCAGTGTCTATGTGCAGTGGAGTCGCCGTGTGTATAACGGTATGCTGTGCTTGGTGAAATTCTAGCCTGTTCATTCTTCGACCCCGGACGGTACTGTGGCCGCACTGTCAGAGGTGCAGGCAGTGACTGGTTTATAGCCGTGCCAGGGAAGGAGGTACATGTGATTAACAGTTCTCCGTGACTGCAACGACACAACACCAGAGAGCCCAAGACTAACTCAGGCCCGCCGGAGCCGGTCCGGCTCGTCAGGTTATCACCGGATCAACCGTTCGGCCACAAACACATGTTTCCTACTGTGGAGGGCATGTGTACCCGCCATAGCCTACACAAAGTACATGTATGAAAGGCCATGTTGCCAGACCCATACCTGCATGCCAACCATTCCGATTTGGCCGCCACCGTCCCGATATCGAGGGTGGTAATAGGCACCCAAAAGTGCATTTATCGCATGCCTCACGGCTAAATTTGTACACATTTTCGTACCAAGGTGATGTCACTGTCCCGATCTCAGGTTCGCATACTAGTAGGTTGGTAGGTGTGTGGACCAATCAAAACTGCGCCCGGCGGTCCTGTAACTTAGTAGAAAAACTTTTCGTTCTTAATTCCCTCCCCCACCTACCCACCCCACTGAACGAAAAAATATATATATAGACTTGACTGTTGACAGCTAGAATGGATTGATGTTTCAGCTATCAATATTTTTCATGAAGCTCTCCTTGACCCACCCACCCATGAACGAAACTTTTTCGTTTTGTGTATAAAAGATTGATAATTATGGACGGCCCCTTTACCTTGATAAATCCCACGACATTCTTGTAGTTCTGACCGTCGTCGCAGTACGCGCCGTAGATCTGTGAGATGCTGAATCCGCGCACCATCACATGACCCGACTCAGCGTGCTCGCCGATGGCAAAGTTCAGCGTGTCGTTGTAGTGGTGAACCTTGGTGCTGTGGATCGCCTGTAGACACACAGCAGTCAATTCACATAAATTCACATATATGTACACTTGTACACTTGTACAGTCACGTTGATAGCGATTATGTTAGGAGCTACTTGTACGTTTGTGTTTTCTTGTTTGTGTACATATACATGTATGTGTGTATGTGTGTGCGTGTGTGTGTGTGTGTGTGTGTGTGTGTGTGTGTGTGTGCATACATGTACGTGTTCATGCACACACGCACACACTCATACATGCACATACACCGTCACACACACACACATAGCCAAGGCCAAGCTGACATGCAGAGACTGACGCACGCAAGACGCACGCAAGACCCGGAGACCGCGGCAAAACAATGATCACTTCAGAAAACAAGCGGACAGAGAGGACCTGAACAAGTAGATGAGAACACAATACTAGTTCCAGCCTCAGGGGCGTCGGAAAGTATTTTAGCGTGGTACGGCCAACCATATGCTGTTGCTATTGAGCATTGAGAATGAGTGAGAATCGTTACCTTTGGTACACGTAAACCAGTCAATTTCGGGAAATCGTTATATTGCGCCTCGTTAGAATAGTGGCTTTTACAGTACTTGTTTGGGTTTGGGGTGGCTCCTCCGAAACATTTCTAAATATGGAGTCCAGATCAGTGGTTTTTATTGCTTCCAGGGAACCATGGGCATTGAGTGGAAGGGTCAATACCGCAGTGACCGTAGCGGGTCCGATGCCCCTCAGCCTAGATCAACCTACTTCAGCAGCCTACATCAGTACACGTGCAGTGTGAGCATACCTGGAGAAGGAACTGTGTGCCGTCGGGAATCTTGTACTGACGGAGGTCTTCATCCTGCAGGAACATGAAAACATGTAACATTACAAGATAGGCACATTATAAGTCTACAATAGTAGCCATATATGGCAGCGCCGGCCGACTGTGCTGCCATAATATATGGCCCTTATTTCAAAAAGAGGAACAACCCTGGACTGTAGCGGACGTTGAAACTTAATTCCATTGAGAATTCAAGCAGCCACGGGGTGCTGGCCTTGCAGCCGCGAGCACTGTTGGCCTATTGTTTTACAGCGTGTACATGAACTACAATTAGGGGTGAAACGATTAGTTCGAATATTCGTGTATTCGTTCGAAAATTTCAAACTAGCGAGTATTCGAAATTTTGCACTCGATCGTTTTTTTGGTTTTTTGTTTTGGTATTGGCATTCTATTTTTCAAAAACTTTCGTTGCATCGCTCGTCCACTGGTACATGGTATGCATGCGTTATGCATGCCTTTGAGTCAGTATTTTATGACTTGGACGATGGGATCACCACGGCAAGTAACGTTAGTTATGAAAGTACTGATGAAAATCGTTACTTTTATTACACTTTGTACAAGACGTTGGCGACTTTTGTTCTATGTTCACAGATAATTTCTTCCCAATTGGTCGAGAACTCACAAATCTAGAGCTCTTGAATTTTGATAAAATACTCGAAATAATCGGATACTCGATCGAATATTATGAACGAGTGATCGATTGGTCAAAATAGATACTCGTTTCACCCCTAACTACAATGCATGTGCATGTAGGCGCTAAAAGCAGTTGAAGGGCGCCGGCCCCGGTCATCCCATCAGATTACAATCAGTCCAATGATATGACAGTAAGTGTGAGTTACAAAGTCTGAAGAAAAATGTTGAATGGTCTCTGCTGGGATGACGACTACACCATAGCTCAGTGGTTAGAGCATCGCTGGCTACAGGCGAGGGTCCCGGGTTCGAGTCCTGGTGGTGACAGTCAATTTTTTCCTTCAGACTTTTCCCGTTTGTGTCTTTCCCTCAAGCCAGTGAACACAACAGTAGGTAGAACTAAATGTAATGGTCAGACCCTGGAACAACCTCATCACCGTTGTTAGTACATGTGATGGTCAGACCCTGGAACAACCTATTACCGTTGTTGAACAGTGCCAGTCAGTGAAAGCAGGCGAATCACCGAGGCACATTCAACGTGGATAGCGGCTGAGGGTATACATATGTAGGACTCAGTGACCAATCACGGTCCCCGTGACCAGTCAAACAGTCACAACCCCCCCCCCCCCCCCATGACCAGTCACAACTTAGTTTACCAGTCACAATGCCCCGTGACCAGACACAAGTCACCACACATGTACATGTGTAAAGTTAAATACGGACAGCGGCCGAGGGGATAAACTATAAAGGGTCATTGGAACATGAGCCCATTCATCTGCACGGCTTAGCCCAACACAAGATAGATAGAGAGAGAGAGAGGGGAGGGGGGGGGGGGAGACTGAGCTGTGTTGCAACTCCAAGTTTCATGTTGTCACGATCATCTGGCTTACCCCAACAAACGTGTAGCGTCCGTCAGCACCTCCACTCTTCAGCGACGTCACAATTGCGTCATTGACTTGCGTCGACGTCATCTCACTGGTGATGCGAAAACCAACCTAAGACCACGCATGGACGTACCGAGGGTGCACAGCGATCAGTGGAGCAATGTCAGGGGCGTCGGATGGTATTGCACGATGTATGGTACGGCCATGAAGATGGGGGTCTGATGGCCGTCCCCCGGGGAAATGTTTTAGGAAAATTGGGCCCAAATAGCCAATATTTCATTGCTTCAGAAATCACAGGATAAACTTATTGGTGCGGCTTTGGGCGCACCTGCCGCACCGATTCGGACGCCCCCTGAATGGGTATTTTCTGGCAAAACAACTACAGTGCATTTTCGTTAAGAGGAACGCTGACAAGACAAACCATGATCCTCCTTAAAGCCATTCAGTTCAACCCCTTCGCCACCGGATGTGCTATCACATACTGCTAACAGCCATGGCTTTGAATAATAATAAGTACCGTATCTGCTGGAGTATAACGCGCACCTGAGTACAATGCGCACCCCCATTTTTAAGCAATGTTTTGGCAATTCAAGGTATATGCGGAGAATAATGCGCAGCCTTGATTTGAGTGCAGTATTAAACATAAAGACAGTACTATAGTGCGACCATTGTCATAAAAAGTGCATTCAGATGGCTTGCGCAGGGTCAGAGGTGGCACACTTCGTAACAGTTTGATGCATTGCCCTACTTTTCGAAGTACTATACATGCTCATTTTTTAAATATTCGGAGCATGGTGCGCACCAGCGATTTGGGGCCAGAAGTAGTACCTCCAAAGTGTGCACTGTACTCCGGCAAATACGGTATGTTTGTGTGTGTGTGGGGGGGGGGGGGGGGGCATGAAAAAGATAAAAGTCAATCTTGTGAATAAGGACCTCGGGTATAACAACAACTTGCGAATAACGGCTCAATCTTCAGACCTAGTGGCAGATGGCACGTATTCATCTAAAATGGCGGACGCCCACGCTGCATATATGGTATGGGCGCACGTGAGCCACGCTGTGGGGACACTTGTTCGATTCCGCATACAAATGTATACAAATGCGTGGAAAAGAAGTTTCTCTAATCGCTGGAACTTGTGAGTTTCTTTCGATATAGACTACTGGTCTTCAAGGTATACAATAGTAGTGACCCAACGAAGTGGAATTTGCGGAATACAACGTTCGATACGGCTCAACAAGTCAAGAGTAAAGTGCGAATTTACTATGTACGCAAATGAGAAAACCTACTTGTTTCCCCGCAGCGCTAGTCACGTGCGCCTTCAGTGAATACGTGCCATTGTCTACATAGATTCAATGTCACGAATAACAGCACCTCATGAATAACGACACTTTATGAATAACAGTACTGTCTTCACACACGATCCAACTTCAAGGGCGTTTTTCGCAAGGTTGACTGCCTATTGGTATGTTTCAGAAATTTACGGACACCGCTATTGATAGAGGTCATGGTGGTGGAGACGTTATGCGAATGATGTCATGGTGGTGGAGAGGTAAGGTTATGCGAATGACGTCATGATGGTGGGCCAGTACGCATGCAGTGGAACCCGGCTCATGGGAGTCATGGGGTAAAACCTGTCCAGGCGACCACTCAGATGAGGCGACCACCTGTCCCAGAAGACCACTGCAACCATGTACTAGGACTGGCAAGAATCAGGACCATGACTAATGCCCTTTTCTCTGGTAAACTGCGCTGAAGTTTACCCTAAATCCTAGGCTGTCCCATTCGGCTTGCTGCTAACACAACAGTTGCCTACTCTTACCAGGCAGCATGCGTTGCCGCATCCTCCGCACGAGTTGTGATCGCAGTCCGGAGGCACACAGCTCTGGACGGCGGCAAGCACGACCGCTAAGACCAGCACACTCAGCACACGAATCATGATTCAAATCAAGAATAATAATTATTATTGATCCAACAGTACTACTACTAGTCCACTAGTAGCTGTAGACAATAAATGGCCAGTGAAAGGACAGTGAAAGGTCTCCCAAGCAGATGATTTATGGTGACTGGAACGAAACGGAACGAAAACGGGCTGTACTGGCCTTGAATTGTTTTCAAACCGTTTACTGTACCAGGTTTACACGAGAACCGCAAAGCGGCAAATCGTTTTGAACGGAAAACGGAAAACGGGCGATCAGGCTGGAGCACGTGCTGGCTTTTGTTTTTTTGTACGTGCTGGTGCATGTTTTTTTTGTTTTTTTTAATATTACAGGTACCCGGCCGGACCCGGTAGGTTCGAGAAGGACGTCGACTGGCGGACTGCCAACTGGTCGACGGCAAATAACTATACATGATGTACGGTATGTATCGTAGTGTGATTATGCCGCCGTATGCCTACGTACGCCGGGGTACGTACGCCGTAGTCTTAGTGCCCGGTGTGGTACGTCCCTGGTTCTGTCACACTCGCTGCTAGAAGTTGAACTTCTTCTTCTTCTTCTTCTTCTTCTTCTTCGGTATCAAAACAAAACTTAGCAGCTAATACATGTAACCATGATCAACTGTAGTAATACTTTGTGACGACGTCAGCTCTCCTTCAGGTCGACGAGACGACATCTATCTGCTGACATGTCGACACACTGCATGCACTGTGTGATGACACCAGCACCCGCCGCAGCTGATGGTCCCATGATCTTGGCAAGCGCGCATCGTGAATCAGCTGATTTGGCTGACATAATTATTGTTTTGCGCATCATGCACCCACGTCTTTTATCGTTTGCTCACGACAGCAGTGAACATTCTAGCACAAAGATTGACATGCATCATCCTGATATGATACATCACCGGACTAGCACTCGCAGCTCTACTTATAAAAGTACTTTGAGTTTAAACCAGTTTGGTGAAAGGTGAAGGAGGACCCACCATGACTCTCAGGAGCAGTGCTCCAGCAGGCTCTAATCCAGAGACCAGACGGATTGGAAACCCTGCCCATACGCACCCTCTAAAATGATCTAATCAGACAGTCAACCTGTTCAGCACAGCCACTTCCAGTCCGCCCATAATCATAAGTATGCAGAGTGCGAACACAATCATAGTCATTGCTGCGTTCAGCCTGAATCGTGGGCACAGCCAAATCTGAGAGGTACTACAAGTAAAGTAGTGCATGTATAGCATAGAAAATGCATGGACCGGACTACCGGTGCATGTACAAGTGAGAAACTATTTATTATTATTATTAAATTTTTGATAGGGCAATCCCCACAGGCCTAAGGCCTTTTGACAGGGTACCCTAAAAAATGAAGAACAGAATTACGGAAGGTATGCAAGGAAGAACTAGAGCGGACCTCCGCTGGGAGGGCATTCCAGCGGTCAGAGCCAAGGAAAGTGACAGAAAATAAACCATAGCGACGTTTGGCTGTCGGAAGAGCAAGGGAAGAGGACACTTGAGAGCGGGTGTCTACCTCTATCATTCCCCACCCATTTCACCCAAAGAACATCCAAAAGTTCAAGACAGCAGCTTATCACCATCTCCTCAGAACGAACTGGCACTGGGCCACTCATAGCATACGCGAGTAAGAGGGTACAGTGTCCTACCCTGCTTGGACATACATGTAATCTCTCCTCACGGGCAGCCTCCTCTTGAATTTAAAAGTCTAACAGCGTTCACATCAATACTCAACTTATTCTTTTGCTCACTGAGCAATACAATCTTTCCATTTTCTTTCTTCTGTTTTCTTTTTCAATTTAATCCTCCCCACCCAATATCCCTTTGGTGCGTCCATGGAGCTATGAAGCCGAGACCTCTGGTCGGCGGAGCTTAATGGGCCCCACCACCACACTCCATCATTCACCCCAGTGTCTGGAGATATGTGGATTTTGTAGAGAAAAAAAAAAAAAAAACTAGTGCAGGTAGAATTAGAGCGGAGACAGAAACAGTTAGCAACAAAGACACTAGCCAGATCATGAAGCGCACGGTACGTTAGAACGTACAGCTTGAATTGGTACCTAACAGACAAGGGAATGATATGGTAGCGGGCAAGAACAAGGGAGACATCAGATAGGCGGGGCATGCAAAATACAATACGCAGCGCTCTATTGCTAAGTCGGACAACACGGTCATGGAGGGAGGCAGAAAGGCAGTGAGCAAAGGAATTAGACCCATACTCAAGTATGGACTGAATGGAACAGATGTAGAAAGCCCTCTTAGCATCGATCGTTAAATGGTCTCGGACCTTTCTAAACATTCCTAACTTACAGCCTATTTTACGTTCTAATTGTGCAATGTGAACCCCAAAGGAGAGATGTTCGTCAAGAACTATACCGAGGTATTTCACGTGTGCACTAGGGGTGATGGTGACATCTTCAATCTGTACGTTGACATCGGGGTCAAGAGGTTTCGACTTTGGCCTGAACACAACAAGCTGGGTTTTCGAGGAGTTCAACATAAGACCTCTCGTTGCCAAGAATTCCTTTACTTTGATGATGTCCTCTGTGAGGTCTTTGCATAAGTTCTGGACATTCTTCCCCGCCCTGTATAAAGACACATCATCTGCGTATTGACGGGCTTTGCAGTGTTTGGGCACAGCGGGGAGTTTCCTCACGGACAAGTTAAATAGAAACGGCCCTAAAACAGAGCCTTGTGGAACGCCTCTGTTGCTTGTGTATGGTTGCCCTTGTTGAGTCTTAGTGACCACGCACTGCTGTCTGTTTGTAATAATAATAATAATAATAAAACAGGTCGCGTAATGAAGCAGCATAACGATAGATGTGCAAAGTCATGATGCCTGGTCCGCTTCTGTCCTGGGTTCACTACCCCGTGCGTTGCAGCCGCGAGCAAAACCAGCTCAGGCTGAGAGTCACCTCCATGATTGCTTGTCCAAAGCGCGCATTCTGAGCCCACTCAGATCAGTCATGGTCTTCAGTGGCATGTCTCTGGCAGCTGTGCTTGCCTTGACTGCCGTGGCCAGGTTCGATTTCGGGCGTCCACGCACACCGGTGACATCTCGACGGAAGTAGTTGTCCATTGCCTGCTGTGGCGGGGCATCTGAGGGCATCCTCAGAACATGACCCAACATCCGGAAACGGCGGACAGCAACGGTGTGCGAAAGTGGCTGTGTGTGTGCTCTGGAATATAGGTCTTTGTTGGAGATGATGGCGGGATACCTAATTCCGAACAAGTTCCGTAGTTGACGTCTATGGAAGGCGTTCAGCTTCTCCAGTGCAGCCTCTGTCAGTCCCCAGGTTTCGCAGTTGTATAACAGTGTTGGTAGGACGATGGCATTGTAGAGACGAAGCCTGGTTTCCTCGGATACAAGTTGACGTCGTATCCAGAGCGAATACATGCGGCCATACGATGTTGATGCTTGGTCCATTCGTCGGCTCAAGTCCTCCTCTTCCCCCAAGAGAGAGCCAAGTTGCTTCGATCTTCGCCATTCGGTGGTGGAGGCAGAGATGTGAAGCCACTCTGTTTTGCTGCTGTTAACGTTGAGTGACCAGTCACCCAGGCCGTCAGCTATCACGGGTAGGGAGTTGGCAAGCCATTGTCGCTCAGTCGAATAGAAGGAAATGTCATCGGCATATCCTGTTTCCTGTGGTATTGCTGCATCAGTGTCTGGCCGTGGTGGTAGTTTGCTTCGAGTCTCCCTCAGTGCTGCTTCCAGGTAGCAAACAAACAGAACCGGGCTCAGCCCATCACCCTGTGGTGTACCTAGCGTGCTAACAAACGCCTCCGCTGAAGTGGCACCCACTTTCACAGAGAGTGTTGTACCATACAGCAAATGGTGAATCAGGCAAGCCTCGTCAGGTCCGGTAATCTCTGACATAACAGCAAGGAGCTTTGTGCGGCTAATGGTGTCGAATGCTTTCGACATGTCGAGGCCAAGGACGTGGCAATCCCACACGAAGTGGGTGGCCTTAGCCGAAATCCAGCGCTGTGTCCACACCACATCGGCAGTGCCACGGCCAGGCCTGAAACCAGACGAAGTGGATCCAAGATAATGCGACACACGTGGTGTGATACGTTTGAGCACAACGAGTGAAATGACCTTGCGCAGGGTGTTCAGCAATACAATCGGTCTCAGGTTTGCAACTGGTCCCCGCGCCTTGTTAGGTTTTGGTAACGGTATCAATATGCCTGGACCAATAACACTACACAGGTGGTCGCCCCTGGTGATGCTGTTGTTGATCATGGTGGTGATGATCGGGGAGATGTACTCAGCACCGTATTCATGGTATTTGAGGAGTTCTGCGCATACACCATCCGGCCCACATGCTTTCTGATTTCGCAGTCGTCTCAAAGCCGCCTCTACTTCTTCGGTGGAAACGGGCGTCTCCAGTGTGTGCGGAGCTGGCGGTGGCAGCAGGTCATCAGAAGTGTTGAACTGCCCCTGATAGTGATCACGTATGCGAGATGCCTTTTCCTCATCGCGCATGAGGATGTGACCATCAGCCGACTCGACGAAGAGCTGCTGCGGCTTGCCACGTTTGAGCTGGGAGGCTGCTATAAACATTTGCGCGGAGGTTGGAGCGCTCTCAACCGCCTCGGCAATAGACCAATCCCGAAAAGATTGTCTGGGTTCGTGAAAGGGGGCACGCGTGCAAGCCAGCACGTGTGAAGTGCATCGTTTTGTATTCAGTTTGTGTGTGTCAGCTCATGGCGGAGGAGAGAGAGACTTTTGCTCGCCGAGCTGAAGCTAAAGGATTTGATGGAGTCCTGCCAGCAGCTAGTCAAAGGACCTTCGGTACCTTAGGCAGACCCTGACGGAGTTTGGAGGCCAGCAAGCTCTCGGTGAGGAGAGAAACATTCGCGTGGCGATGGACTCTCCGTAAAAAATGCAAGCTACATAGCGCCGACATACTGCAACAGGCCACGATTTCAGCTAACTAACTCGATCTGCCGCTTCACAAAGTTCAACTATTTACAAGTCCTGACTGTTGTAGTCTGAAGCTGGACTCTCATCGCCCACCTACAGGTAGCTTTTGGAGCTGATGGATTTCCCGACTTGGACTCCTTCCGCAAACTCTCGCAATATTACTACAGTGTATGCTGTGTTTCCGCACGCTCGTGTCGACATGTCACCTATACTGTACATGTACCGGGTCGCGGAGGAGCTTGACGACCTCCGCTGACTCCAGGTTTCCGAAATACTGCCGTCGTCTTCGTTGATGTTGCTGGTGACATTCTCCCCTTGCAGGACGTGCGCATAGTTGTCGTCTCGGGGGTAAAGACTATGTTGTCTTTCGAAATAGTTCTTCATCACGCTCGCGCGAATGATGTTTCTCATCATGAACTCGTTCCGACGGTGTGACACGGCGATGGTCTTTGGCGGGGCACTGGCTTGGCGAAAAAGATATCTTCTTGTACAATATAACACTGATCGGCTGCAGATGAGTACAGTCACTTCGTGGTTGGTCCTATAGGAGGGCAGCTGCCAGGAAAGAGGCAGAACTCATCGAAGACGAAGCGCTCGCAACAAACAATAGCACTCGAAATATCTCGTAAGATTTAGGGCCTATCGCTTTGAGCCACAGCGCTCACAGCCTTACCTACTTCATCAAAGTGAGCTCTACATGTTCGTTGACCTCTTCACACTACACAGAAGAGCGAAACAAGGATTATGTCTTAGCATTTCAACTCCAACAGCAGACCATTACCAGTGCGAGAGAGAAATCTACAAAGGGCTTTGCTTTCTGTCGCATCGTCTCTCTTGCATGCAACTGACGAGAAAACCGTGTACTTACCCTCGCATTCACACGCGAACTATCAAACACGTCCTGTGCCGCATGCTGATCAGGTAGTGCCATGTATGTATTGTATAGTGTACTCTCAGTTGACATGCCCCCTTTCGAACCCAGACAATCTTTTCGGGATTGGTCTATTCTGTCCAGGCGAGAGTTGGCTTCGGTCCGTTGGATATTACGGATTTCATGCATAACACAATTGCGCTCCTTCTTCAGCTGCGCAGCATCATGGTGTCCGGACTCAGCTAATATTCGCAGTTCCCGTTGCCGCAGTGAAAGCCGAGCAACCTGTGCGTTTGGTTGAACGAAACGGTTCCTAGCCTCGGATCGGTGCAGATGACCAATGGCGGTGTCTGCTGCAGACTTGATCGCAGATGTGGCAGCTGACCAGACATCAGCGGGAGCATCACTTGCCGGAGTTACTTGAAGGAGTTAGTGTTGGGCTGACTGCTCAGCAAACTTTCTCTCTCCCACTCTATTGCTCTAAATCTTTACTATCTCCCAACCTTTCTCCCAACCTTTCTGTCACAGCCTGTCAGGCTACCCGTGCTTTGTTTCCGCGTGACGAGCCTTCCCGTATGGCTTTGAGAAACGCTCGTATCGCGACGTTCAATGTTCGTGGACTGTGTTCGAACTCAAAACAGCAACAACTCGCTCGTGATTTACAAACGTATCGCGTCGACTTCTGTGGACTTCAGGAGCTGAGAGCAAAGGACCCGTTCGACAGAAGCATTAGTAAAACTCACAGGCTAGTGAGCTTTGGCCTGACAGACGACAGCCATGGCGGAATTGGCTTCGCTGTTTCAAAAAAATTCGAACCGTGCATTTCAAAAATCAAAAAACTGTCGGATCGAGTGGGCTATGTTGACCTATCGTTTCCGCAAGCCAAGAACTCATCACTGCCAGTTCGGTTTGTTGTGGCACATGGACCCACGAACCCAAGGTCGAAGGAACAGCCTGAGCTCAGAGACCAGTTCTACGACGCACTATCTTCCGCATGGAATGGGACAAGCAAACGAACGCTTGTCATCGGAGTGGGGGACTTCAACAGCAAAGTTGGCAGCGCTGTCACCTCGTGTGTCGGAAATTACAGCAAAGGGGCCCGCAACGAAAACGGCCAGGCGCTCGTGGACTGGGCAAACTCTCACCAGTTGTTGCTAGCCAACACAGTATTCCGCTATTCAATGCGCTACCGAACAACATGGACTGGACAGGTTAGAGACAGCAATACGAATCGTACTAAAAAAATCTACAACATGATCGACTATGTGGTGGTTCCATCGCATTGTAAGCCCATCATTAACAAGGCCCGATCGTATGCTGGTACAGAGGTGTTCAGCGACCACAAGCTAGTGATCGCTGACATGCTTTTCTGTGAGCTATTCAAAATCTTCCAAACAAAATCAAAAAAGGAGTCGCCGTATGCTGTCCATGGATTAATAGATGGCTCCCGTAGACCGGAATATCGCTCGGCTCTTCGGGCACACCTTCAAGTAACTCCGGCAAGTGATGCTCCCGCTGTCTGTTTGTAAGGTAGCTGTGAAACCATTGCAGAGCGACTCCGCCAATACCAATCTCAAGTAGTTCTTGAAGTAACATGTTGTGGTTGACAGTGTCAAAGGCCTTTGACATATGAAGGAAGGCAGCCACTACGTAGTCACCCTTGTCCAAGGCGAGCATCCAATCGTTGGTAACACAAGTCAGCAAGTCTTCGCAGGACTGGCCTCTGCGGTAGGCGAATTGCTCTGCAGGGAGATGTTGCAGTGGGGGTGGTGCATTCTGGATGTAGCGTATGAGTTGATCATGCACTATGTGCTCAAGTAACTTTGACATATGGGGGAGCAGTGATATTGGTCTGTAGTTGGAGGAGACCGACTTATCACCGCGCTTGTGGATGGGGCGAACATGGGCTGACTTGTACAGAGCTGGGAATTCACCAGACGTCAGAGATTCAGATAACAACTTGGATAGTGAGGGAGCGATCTCATCGTTGATTAACTTGTAAGCAGCAACTGGAACATTGTCTGGTCCGGTGGCTTTACGGCTTTTCATGCGTTGGATGTAGTATTGCACTTCCGGAACACTGACTGATGAAAACTGAGCTAATGAGTATTCAGGTAGGGGGCCGTGAGGCATGCAATGTGCACTATCAGAAATCGAGGGATCGTTCACGACTTTCGCAAATGTCTTTGAGATGTCGGAGACATTAGCAGCAGGTTCCTGATTTGCTTTAGCTCTGCCAAGTAGATTGTTTATAATACCCCACTGTTCTCTTGGGTGGCCTCTGTGGCAGACAAGTTGTTCTTGGAAGTATGTCGACCGTGCTCTAAACTGTTGTACGAGATCTGACTGGTCTGGGTGTCTGAGCATTGCACGGTGCGCCCGTTTGCGCTTAAACAATAGAAGGCGGAGTTCATCATCCATCCATGGGGCTGGAGCGTATGCTTTCTTGATATTCACACGTTTAACAGGGCAATGCTCGTCTAGTGCACCCTGAACTGCAGTCTGCCAATGTACAATGCGTGTGTTTAGAGACTCTGGCGATGAGGCACTAGCGTGGTGAGACAGGTTGAACATTTTCTCAGCGGCTGTTTCTTGGAAATCTATGATATTCAGAGACCGAACTGATGGCTTACGTATCTGTATTTGTCTACTCGTCTGGTGTGGCTGAGCATCAGAATGGACGGTGAAATGAACATGAACCAGATTATGGTCTGAAATATCACACGCAATTACAGTCGAACTACTGAAGACTATATCAGTCCCGCTGAGTACTGCAGGTGGTGTGGTGAAAGTGGAGTTGGGTACTAATACTAGATCTATCGTTGTTCCGCTTGGATATCTGGTTGGTGCGGTACTAGCCTGCTGGATGGCCCATGTATTATGTCATACATTATGTCATGCATTACGTCATGCACTGCCGTATTTCCCCGGCGATTATAAGTCGCACTTGATTATAAGTCGCGCCCCATTTTCAGGTTTGAGCCATGTTGTTTTGATATCAGCGGCTTCAGTTGTAAGTCATGCTCGATTATAAAAGTCGCATCCCCTTTTTTACTCTTGAAGTTTAGTGTAAAAGGTGCGACTTCTATTCGGGGATATACAGTACATCATGCACAGCCGGGCACTACAATGATTACATCTAGTCTACCCTAGGCACTAGTACATTAGCAATATTCATAACTCTGTTTGATAGTCACGAAGTATTTGGAAACTAATATAGTAATTATATATCAAGGGATAGACGAAAAACAAAACTGGAAAAACAAAAATCCACTCCAAAGTTTGAATACAGAGACGGTCACCGCAATATTTTACAACCGTTCATTGCCAAATATGGAAGGTATAACTAATGTCTGTGAGTACGCTGGGATCAGCAATGCACTGTTCAACACCGCACACGACCATGCCCAGGTGGCTGTGTGGGGTGTTATGTGAGTACGCTGGGATCAGCAATGCACTGTTCAACAGCGCGCACGACCATGCCCAGGTGGCTGTGTGGGGTGTTATGTGAGTACACTGGGATCAGCAATGCACTGTTCAACACCCCTGACGACCATGCCTAGGTGGCTGTGTGGGGTGTTTACGGTAGAAATTACGTCATTGCGCAATTTCTACCCACTCCCGCATTCCTCCTCGGGGTCCGTAGTGCAGCCATCCCCGCTGACACGTTTACCGCCCTCTGAGAAGCTCTGGCCGTGCTCCTGCTCCGCACTAGCGGTGACATCGGCATCGGCATCTACTGGGTCGGCAGCAGTTGCACCGCCACCACCAACAGAGGCTCGCTGAGGTGCCGCAGCTCCGCCGGTGGGTCTAGCAGGCCTGGCTGAAGCGGCAGGGGTCTTCTTGAGTTCCTGCCGAAGTAGCAGAGCGAGCTCTTGGTGTGACAAAATCTGCATCGGGTCCTCCATAGCCTCGACTAGTTCGAAAAAGGCATTTTGACCGCCACCTTGTATGTGGTCTAATAATTTGTCCGCCTACATCGGAGCAGCACAGACACAAAACACATGCGTATGCGTACACATGCACATAAACAGACAGACACACACACACACACACACACACACACACACACACACACACACACACACGCACACATACACACATACACACACACACACACACACACACACACACACACACACACACACACACACACACACAGGGTATTCAGAAGAAATTTCGGAAAGATGACTTAAACAGCTAATGAACCGTTCAACGACGGAGGCAAACACACCTCAAAACCCCAGTAAAGGTGCACGATACTTGATACTACAGTCCATTCAGAAAAAGATGGACTTCTAGCTTTTGGCCATAAATGGGTCAAACGTTGAGTTTTTTTAGAATTTTTTTCTGGAATCCCCTATGGAATCCTCTTCCAATTATGTTTCTGAAGTCTATTTGTCCAAAAAGCAAGCCATAGCAAGAATAGGATTTCGGCCAGGTTTTGCCCCAAGAGCACTGAATTGGGAAAATCCATCAAAATCCAGCCCGTTTGACCCTGCTTGCAACAGTGCATTGTACGGTTCGAATCCCAGTTCAGGTACCCTTTTTGGACCCTTTTCAAATTTCAAATTTCGCAGTACTGCACTGTGTACGATAAAATCTTGAAAAATCGCCTAATACGGGAGCTCGCCAGAGCCAGGGCCCATCTTTTTGTGAATGGACTGTAGTGTGATATGCTGAATCAGTGAGAATCCGATAGAGGCCCCACTAGCACTACTGATCTCACAAGAACTAATCATACACCGATGCACGCACATAGTCTGGCAAAGAGACAGGACCAATTGCAGGCAGGGAGATAGACAGACAGATAGACAGGACACATGCAAAGGGGCCACAGACAGACACACAGACAGACACACAGACAGACACACAGACAGACACACAGACAGAACGAAACAGACACACACACACACACACGGAGGATGCAGGCAAGCACATTAGCAGGCCAGGCGACAGACCAGCACGCCTTTCTAAGGGCAAACATAGTCAAAGAGCATCAAAAGAACTGCTACAGGGGTCGGTGTTGCTATGTGGGCTGAAGCAAGACTACTGCAAGTCAACAATTTTCGGCCCGGGCATTATCGGCCTAAAATGCGTTGCGGCCGAAATTTCGTTTCGCAAGGTTCAGTGTGACAGTGTATAGGGGCAGCAGCAGTACAGGCAGAAATTTATATCAGGCCAAAATGTCCTTTAGCCCTGGGAGGCCGATATTTAAGCGCGCCTAAAATGTGTAGACTTGCAGTAAGCCAACACCAACCCAACACCAACCCAACACTCAGCCAGCCAATCAAAACTCGTGAATGACCTTGTCTCCTCACCTGCTGCATAGAAGTACGTTTGGTATTCATCTCCGTGTGCTGTATGTCATGTTTGACTTCGTCGTCGATCACGAAACGCGAATACAAGACAGGTAGCAGTGATGCAGCGCTGATGCCCGTACGCAACTTGTCCCGGTTTGCTATAAGTACACGCTTTGTCCGGTCATCCATATCCGTGTGGCACTGTGAGTCACCCAGATAATATCAACACAAGCGAGGAGTTGCACCGCTTGGACACAAACACATATCTGCAAGGTCGACGGTGTACACACACGCACACACACACACACACACACACTTGTACTTGTTGCTCACTGCTAAAACGGGTCACGTGGGTCTCCCCAGGAGAGGGGAGAGAGACTCAAAAGGAATCTTGGAAAGATGACTCAACTGGCTATTGAACCGCCCAACGGCCGACACCCCCTGAAATCCCCAAAACTCTGGGTGGACTTGAAAATGATCCCACTTATGGGCTCACCACACCTCAGTAAGTGGGTGAGGACAAGATGCAGAAAAAGGATTGACGGCATCAGGGTATCCGGCCTGGGATCCAACTGCAGTTACCCCTAACCCCAGTGAAGGTAATACTTGCTCCTAGTGTGGGTGGCTAAATCAGAGTGGATCTGATCTAAGCGTCACAAGCACCATTGATTACACAAGAGTTAATCTAGCCCGAAGCAGTCCATGGTTAGCAGGTATGTATACTTCAAATAGAAAGTATATGAACCCTGAAACCAACACAGGTGGAAGAGACAACAATACACCTTCAAACAGCCGAGCCTGTTGGCAACAGACCCAACACAATCAGGCATACGTGTTCCCAGCAACCGAACTAGCTGGCACACACACACACACACACACACACACACACACACACACACACGCGCGCGTGCCCCCCCCCCCCCCACACACACACGCGCACACACACACACACACACATGTGCGCACACACACACACACACACACACACACACAACACAGCCAATTTCAAACAACAAGACTGCAGGAAGATACAGTGGGAATTGGTCACACGGAAATGCAGTGATGACTTTGACACGCACTCAAACTACATGTAAAGTGCTGCTCAATGAAATGTGGCCCAGTATCAGCGAGAATCGACCTTCGGGTGAAAATCATTTTTTTCAGAATAAGTCATTTTCTGCAACGGCAAAAAACTCTTGCTTCGCGCTCTGCACATTCAAACAAAAAATTAGTTCATCGTAACAATGAATGCTTTTGATCGTCCTAGTAGAAGGAGAGTTCGTTCACGATGGCCAAATAGCTGCCGTCCGGCTCTGCCAGAAGTCATTGGATTTCTTAGGCAGGAATCGTCGCGTCTGATAGAGAACAACCACAGTTTCCAGAAGATGTTTTTGTCGACGCCCAATTCCTATTTAGCGACCAGAATTTCAACTTGATTTAGGCGCACCGCCAAAGGAGCTCTCTGCTGGCAAAAGTACTTTCTGACATCTGAAAATCCTTGTTGGGCCCTTCTGAATTTAGTACAGCTCTGCTCAGGAGAAATACTCAACGAGGAGAAACTAGTGAGGCGACGGCAACAGAGGTAGACGAACTGAAATGTCCTGGATCAACTCGAGTCAGGACGAAAGAGCGCTGCCGCTAGTGACATGATCTGAAATTTCCCAGGCTCCCACCCTGAACTCTGTGGTGAACACCAAACCCCTTGGACGGGGCAAGACGCCAAGAGCTGAACATTGATTGATGAGCTACGAACTCTCTGCGCTCAGTGCTGGAATCATGGCGCACTGACGCGCATGCAGCCAGTTCCCACAGAGCTCAAATTTCACAGAGGTGCAGCAGTGATGGACTACCTCTAAATCGTGTATGAGATGAAGTGTAGGGTGTTAGAATGTTGTGCCTGTGTCGTATTCCCTGTGGGATGCACAGACTGGGACCCCAGGTGTAGTTGTAGCCACCCTCCCTCCTGTTCTGCATTTCTCTGGATTTTCAGCAGACTTGGGATGGCGTTCAAACAGTTTTCATTGGTATGCAGATATGAGGATCAAGGCCATCCATACTCTATGCCAGAGGTTGCCCAAGACTCGCAAGAGTTGTTTTACAACAAAAACTGGATGGATGATTTATTACACTGTCTATTTTTTATTTATTTCACTGTAACACATAGTATTCCGATATGGAAAACACTGTGATAAATTGTTGTATTTCCTGATATGTACCTATGCTTGTTTGAGAAGCTTCTCGGTCATCAATATTGCTTTGTTTGGTCTAATACTTTGCCATGTGATCACTAGATACCTATAGATGACAACAGCAGAAAAAAGTCATTTTGTGAAAAATCACCCTAAGGTCCATTTTCGCAGATACTGGGCCATGTGATTGAGCGAGTGAATGCCAGGCTGGGCGCTGTGCAGCCCCAATCAAGCAAACACTGGGATGTGAACTGGTGCAGGGCTACGCAAACTTGATATTCACGCAATCAGAATTCAGTGAATATCACTGTATTTTCCCTGGAAACGACTTTACACATGTACACGTGTACCTGTTTAATCCGTGGACAGCATGTTACAAGGCGGAGAACGCACTGTGTCGAGAACAGTCTGTCCCTCCAGGAAATCGCGATTCCACGGATGCAACAAATTTCGTGATTTTGGCCAAAACCCGCGATTTTCCGCGTCTTTTGTTGTTTTCTGCACTTCTTTCTTTACATTTCTATGCAATTTTCACGCAGTATACAGTGTTTTCCATGATCCTGTACGTAGGTTATTTCCACAGTACGCAAATAGCGATTCTAAGTACGCAACACATTTTGTGATTTGGCCCAAATCCGCTATTATCTGCCAATAATTCCGCGAGTTACTGGCAAGTTCCGCTTTTCTCGCCGCATTTTTTGTTGTTTTCTGCCGCAATTTCTTGCGCAAGTTTTCGAGGATTTTTTCCGCGAATTCCCGCAGGGACAGAACCGAGTGCTCCCGACTACAATCATCATCGGTTGGCAGAGCCCCGGCCCGGCCTTGCCACCCTTTGAACCGTATGGGGTCTGGCCCCAGGTTCGCAGCCTCATTTATCATACTAGGGAGTCATTCTAAGGTATTTCTTCTTTGTACTCAAAGTCCAGCCGTGTTGCTTTGCACTTCCTCAGCCCAGCACTACTACTACTAGCCTATTTAGAAGCACGTGCAGTACAGTGATTTGTGTGTTCAGTTGCGCTCAAAATTCCACCATGCCACTCACCACAACAGCCGGTAGGTAAGGATCGTCCGCTTCACACCGTTTGCGCGCCTATCCTCCAGCTAGCGCAGGGAAAGAAACCTTTCACCGATTCCTATAGGAGTTGTGCTATCCTATCGATCCTGTGCTTCTTGCGAACTCGGTTGCGATCCTCGCGATGTATGAATGTTGGCCAGTGACTGATCACAAACAGCGTCCGCACTCCGCAGTGTGCAACTGAGACTACCGTGGCCCACGGCCACACGAAGAACACGGTCGCTGGTATTTGTCTCTCTCTTTCTCTCTCTGCAACTGCACGCTACTGGACAATAGAACACACAAGACGGAAAAAGGGGTTGCTTTGAACTAATACTACTGTACTGTACTTGTTTGCACCTCAAAACCAAACTGGGCATACTACTACTAGTACTAGTACTAGATCATGGGAATCGTTCTAGTGGCTCTGGATTTCCCCTCCTCGGATCACGCTCTCATCCATGCACAACACTGGCCCTGGGTTTTCATGGTTTTCCCTCGCAATAAAACAGTAGCACAATCATCACGTACAAGCACTGCCAAGTGGACTGTCTGATCGACGACACTGACACTGCACTGTACCACTACCACTACTGCTTTTACTACTGGCAGTACTAGCATGACCAGGGCTAGGGACTCGTAAAAGCTTTTACTTTTTTAGGAGACTCATGCTATATGCACTGACTGTGCATGTGCCTCGTGTGCGGCCACCACTACCGATACCACTACATACTGTAGAGGCAGAAAATTTCGTCGGTCAATAATTTCGTCCAACTCCAAAGAAAAGGAGTTCGTCCGGTTGAAAATTTCGTCCATGGATCATAAGAGTGTATAGAAAAGCTGGACGAATCGATATTCGTCCTACATTTAATTTAGTCCAAAAGCTCCATGGACGAAAAAGACGAAATTAAATTCCAGACGAATATTTCTGCTTGTACAGTAGTCATTGTACTATCCGATCCACCACACAGTACCAGCGCAGCATGCAGGTATCTACCAGGTAAGTCAGTGAGCTCATGCCATGGGCATGATGATACATTGATATTATGATAGTAGTGGCACAACTGAGAGAGTGTGAGTCGATGGTGAGTGCTAGTACTAGATCTAGTAGACTACTACTAGTGGCAGTGCTAGCACTAGCACTCATGCATGCGGCTAGGCTGGGGCCAGTGGCGCAGTGGGGGCTCGCTGTGTTTCGATTTCGGAAAGGTAGGTGAGCTGTGAAGAGTGAAGTGAAGGCGCTCACATTGCTCGGACTCCTCGCAGCTCTGCTTCAAAAATCACAATCCGGAGTCTGGTGTTGCTGCAGACTTTGATGTAGATATCTAGGCGACGCTGCTGACACGAGGCGGCCTGTGAACTCTAGCCTGTGCGGGTACAAGAAGCACCGACCTTCACCGCCTGCAACACAGGAACGCTAGCAATCCGCTGACTACTTGATTCTTGACACGTAAGTGAGCTTGGTATATGCTCACTCAATTTGTTTTGTCCATTTCGTTTTGCTTGTTCTTGGGAACACAGCCCCATGCTGTGTGATCAGTCGTGTTGAGTGAAAATTAGCGACGCGCCTCACTAGTAAGATCATTCATCGCTATAATTTTGCAGAGAACTACAATGCACAAGGCTAGTAGAATAATAATAAATAATTATTTGTAATAGTTGCAGGCTCGGCCTCATTTTCTCTGTGCTGCGCTGATGAGTCCATAAAGGACGAAACAGTTCTGTCCGCAGATTGAGTAATACTTGCAACTGTGAGTTTCATGCTAGCAATCAGCAGGCAACAAAGCTGGAATAAAACCGATCGTTGACTGTTATAATTATAAACATGCTGCCAGTCACTCCGGTGTTCAAATCCACACCACACTATCATCCGTACGATTACACAGAGGTTTGCCCTGTTGCCTTGGCGATGTGCCGAATCATGCCGGGGTGAATATTTCATTTTTTTGTTAACTCAGGATCTAGGAGTTCATTGGTGTAGAGCATGCCGGATGCTGTCTAGACCTATTCCAGCCACTGTGGATGGTACCGTTAACTGTAGATGGTCCAGCCACTGTCTGTAGATGGCCCAGTCAACTGTAGCCGGTACAGCCACTGTAGATGACCCAGTCAGCCACTGTAGATGGTCCAGCCACTGTAGATGGTCCAGCCACTGTAGATGGTCCAACCACTGTAGATGGTCCAGCCACTGTAGATGGTCCAGCCACTGTAGATGGCCCAGGCACTGTAGATGGTCCAGCCACTGTGGATGGCATAGCCACTGTAGATGGTCCAGCCACTGTAGATGGCCCAGTCAGCCACTGTAGATGGTCCAGCCACTGTAAATGGCCCAGGCACTGTAGATGGTCCAGCCACTGTGGATGGCATAGCCACTGTAGATGGTCCAGCCACTGTAGATGGTCGAGCCACTGTAGATGGTCCAGCTTCTGTAGTGTAGATGGTCCAGTCAACTGGTCCGGTTCAGCGAACTGAGGATCGCCCAGCAAACTGTGGGATGGTCCGATCCAGCGAAATGAGAGTGGTCAGTGGCCAACTATGGATGCTACTGCTAGCCGAGAACCGTCCGGTCGGCCGACTGAGGGTTGATCTATCATACGTTGGTGCCTGTTGGAGATTTTTTGGCGGGTATTTTTACTAAAAAATGTCACCTTTCACTTGAGACTCCGATAGAGTTTTCACAACTTTTCAGCATCCGTAGGAACGCCGCCACCCTGCAGAGATCAAAGGCGTAGATGCAGCTCCTGAAGCGGTGGGAGGTGAGTAGATAAGCCCACCAGCAAAGTGGTCGAAAACCGAAAGTCCCTTTGGCTGCATCCATGTTTCCCTCGTGCCACGCCACGTGTTCCCAATTATCCATGGGTCGCAGCACTCAAATGACGTGGTTTAACTTTTTAGAGCAGACGTGCTCTTTGCCATTCACCTTGCAACAATATCAAGCTCGCTTATCAATCAGTTATTGCAACGTTTCGGCAAAATTGCCGAAACGTTGTGATAACTGGTTGATAAACGAGTTTGATGTTGTTGCAGGGTGAATGGCAAAGAGCGGGTGTCCTTTAAGAAATTTTTCCTATGAATGAATCTGCAGGAAGCCTCGCCACTGCTACGTTTTACTCACGATAAATTCAGATAAAACCGAGAGATAAGTTGATGTAGAAAGGAAAAGGACATTATGGATACGAGTTAAGGGTAACTCTCCACCTCTGTACCATGATATACAGTCAGACAGTGCAACAACTACTATGTAGGCAGAAAACTGAAAGAGTACTGAAACATTCGACGTCCTGACACGTAGCTTCAACACATCTCCTTTCTACATTTATTATTGGCTCAACATCCGCCTGCTGAGTTTCAGATAATTTGATGTGCAGTTTTAGGCACCTGTTTTCCTCTCTCAACCTTGCTTTTGTGAAGTCACTCATGTTTGCATTCATTTCGCGGTGGTGTTCTTCTCATATGCCACTCGTTACTGTGTGAATGCGATGGTTCTCTGCAGGAATCTGCAGTCATCTACTGTGGTTGTTAGTACAATGGACCCGGTGGAAGCAAAAGTCCTGAAGGGCAAGCACATGGATTTGCAGAAAAGCCTGCATGTGAAAGGAACTATCCTCGACTACTTGCAGTCTAAATCAATCGTAGGGGAGACACAGTATGAGGATATCATGAAGAATGGAGGTGTGGAGAGAAGTCCTCGTGACATGGTACGTCTCTGCTGCTGCTGCTGCTGCTGTTGCTACTGCTGCTGGTGCTGCTGTTGCTGGTGCTGCTGCTGCTGCTGCTGTTGCTACTGCTGCTGGTGCTGCTGCTACTGCTGCTACTGCTGCTACTCCTGTTGCTGTTGAACAGGTCTAGACAGCATTCGGCATGCTCTACACTGATTTTCACTGCTGTGCTGTGGCTTATACTCCAGTGTGGCTTATACAGTCAGACCTCGCTTAGCCGCACACATCTGTTTTCTACAAAAAATATCTGGATAGGCGAGGGAACCGGATAACCGAACACCGGTTATGTTGGATGCATCACGTATGCTGTAGATATGTAACCAGCTATTTTCTTCCGGATGGAAAGGGATCCGGATAAAAGGGGGCCGTATAAGCGAGGTCTGACTGTACTCCAGTGTGGCGTATACTCCCGTACAGCTTATAACTCAGTGTGGCTCATGTTTTCAGTGTACATATGTGTGGCTCATACTCCGGAAATACGGTACCTATAGCATAGTAATCGGCTCTGTCGCCGTATCAGATCCACATACGGAACTGGCCTCCAACATCAAAGACTCGACGCCATTCCCGATTACTCAAATTTCAGAAATTTTCGGTGGTCAATATTTTCGGTATGAGGGCAACAGGCCAGGTTAGGTGAACAGAAATTTTCGGTACAGAGAA